CCAAAGGAGTTTGCCTGTAGTCATAGCCATGTAGATGATCCCACACGCCCAGATATCCAGAGCGCGACCATCAAATTCCTCTTGCAGGAATGCCTCGGGTGCAATGTATGGTTCCGAGCCACAGAGCCCAGAAACTGCCCGGGTTTCCGTCTCCCACGCCAAACGAATACATTCGCTGCAATCAAAGTCGCTGATCTTGAGTTGGCCATTTCTGGTGAGCAGCAGGTTCTCGGGTTTCAGATCACGATGGGACACGCCCATCTCATGCAAGTACTCGACTCCGCACATCAGCTGCTTGAAGAAACAGTCTGCCTCCTGCTCCTCCAGCCTCCCTGCGGTGTGCACCAGCATGTATAGATCGCCGCCTGCACAAAACTCCATGGCCTTGCAGTAATCCTCGCTGGGGCCCTTGAACAGCCCAAGTGTGCGGACCACATTGTCGTGATCTAATTGTTTTGACATGGCGAACTCGGCCTGCAACCTCTTGCTGTACTTTTCTTTGGGCTCCGACGGAACGCGCCGCACGCATTTGATGGCATGCAGCGCATCGCTGCCGGTGCTGTGAGTCTTTTTGCGCGAGAGCCACACGGTGCCGGTCGCGCCGCTGCCAACCACCTCGTGGCATCTGCCGTACTTCTCAACCATGGTGTCCACCGAGTTGAGTGCTTCCTTCTCCGATGTCTGTTTACCTCCCCCCAGGAACTTCTTCCATGTGTTGGCCCGTTCTTGATATCCTTTGGGCTCGATATAATGCGCATGACCACCTGGTAGCTGGGGCCGTATGGAGAATCGCTTTGACGGCGTGTCTGGGACTTTGGCCCGCTTGAGGCCTTTTAAGACCATATTGGATGAAACGCTTGGCGATCTGTCACCACAGAGTCATAAGACGTGAGTGAGAGGGCGAGGGTAATGAGTGTGTGGGATGCAGGGGAGGGTGAGGCTGCGTTTTGGTTCACCGACAGCCGTGATGCGCACATGAGCTGGCCTGCCAAGCCTGGACGCGTAAACAGAGCGCACAAGACGGTCACTCTACTGCGCGTGAAGCTGCGGGGAAAGAGTTGCTCGTTTGACGGTCTCAGAGTGGGCTTTGCTGCCAAGAGAGATGCATGCAAGACACATCGTCCCACCCTGTTGCGAGCAGCGAGGGTGTGGCGAGGGAATAAGGCATTCGTGATAATTCCTGCAGGTGACTCTCCATTGCCAGTTGGCACAGGCCACAGCGTATGCACTTAACGGGGTCTTATGTAACTATGCAAGTACGGCAATACGGTTGCGATTAGCCACCAAATGAAACTCTGCCAACACGTGAAATTAATCACTCATGTAAACAAGCAGAAATTTCTTATTAGTCTTGCCGCTCCCACTTCTTTCACCGTCTTCTGGCGGGTGATCCATGCACGCTCCTCTGGGCTGATATTACAAGCAAGGTGATGTCATGCACTAATAACCAACTGAATCAAGGACAGAGAGAGGTGCACACACCGCAGTTGTTGCATCCTGCATGTAGAAGCTGAGAATCCGCTTTAGTACATATAATTGAATAACCGGCTGAATAGCAACAAATTTTTGATTGAAAAAAGAACAAGAGTATCTTTTTGTAGCATTTGTATCCTGCCCAAGACGCCTATCATAGCACAGGGAATAGACCTTTAACCTGTCTATAGTGCGAGGTCATGATGGCTGCCTAGACTCGCTAAGACAAATAATCCGCTGGCCATCGACGATAATATTATGAGAGATCACATGCATCGTCTCTAAATGATTTATCTTCAATGTCGCTCCACTTTTCACCGGTAATTCTTCTCCCGGGCCAAATGGAGGGACCTTTGATTGGATATATTCACTCTGATGCACCACCTCTTGTTCTCTCCGAAACCGCAACGCGGGAGGCCTCTGGAACTGTTGAACTGTCTGTTGCTATGGAACGATCATGACGACAAGAGATACAACTTTGGAAAAAGCAAATAGTGTACAAAGGGGTATATTCGGGTACTCGCTCACTGACTTCGCTGCTTGGACTTCAGGATTTTCCCTGGCCCTTATAGAAAGTATATCAGCATTCAACTCTTCGTTAAAATTTATTTATTATTTATAGGTTGCTTATGTCAACAGGGGACATCCGGATAGAAGAAATCCAACGTTGGTGGTCATCACAAATACAATGCAGTAATTTTCAAAGGGGTGGGTTAATGCCTTGATCACATCTGCTTGGAATTATACTCAAGAGTGACCTTCATATATTGATCAGTATCGCGATATATGTGTCTCTCTATCTATGAAGTCCAATAAAACAAGGGGAGAGGGCCTGATTCTATTTCTTGCCAATGAGAATAGTAAGCTTGCTGGGCTTTGGGGTCGTGAGAAGGCCGGATGCGTCCTTGCCACCGGTCGGAAGAACATCATCATAAGGAAAAGTGTATCCCTTTCCGTCCGACTGATGGGCATGCACAATACGGCTGTAGTGGTTGGTCGGGCTGACCGTGTAGTATTTATCCAGGCCCAGATTAGGCTGGACATTACCACCGCTAAGAAGGAACGTAGAACGGTGGAAGGCGGCACAGAGACGAGGAATGATGGCCTCGGCGACCTTGTTGTCCCCCGCATTCAGCTTGAAGGGACCGTTGTCGCAACTCCAGATATCATTGATCGTGGGCTTAGCGAAGCTGCGGTTGGAACCATCACACTTCATGACGTTGCTGCTCACGCGGCATTTTACACGGCCGGCACTCATTTGGGTGGCAACAGTCAGAGATTCCTGGCCATACTTGGTCCAGACCTTGTTAACATAGTCTTGGTAGTAGTTTCCAAAAGCGGTCGGCTTGTTGACTCTGAAGCTGTTTGGGGACAAGATACGGATCGGGCCGTTGGAGCCGGCCTGGCACAAGCCACCCCAGGGACGTCCATCTTTCTGTGCCTGTTCCTTGAGCTTGACACATGCATTTTTAACGACACTTGGACCGACGCCGTAGGCAGAAAGCTTGCCGCCGCCCTGTTTACCGAGTTCGATGCCAAGAGGAAGGCCGACAAAATCGACGTAGCTAAGGTTAACCCAGACACTTCCGTCAGCGTTGAGGGTTAGCTCGACGAAACCCCAGTTGACTCCGGCGCTGGGATCGGTAGGGTTCTTCTCATCAGGCTGAACGAGTCCCGCGCCGGTGGGAGTGCGGACAACGCCGAACTTGAGAGCCCCGGCGGAGAAATACACACGGCCAGAGCGCAGCGCCTTGAGAACCTTCATGTTGATGCGCTCACCGGCCTTGACCGGAATTTTAATCTTGTTCTGGTCGATCTGGACGGGGGTCGAGGAGCCGCCGGCGCTGGGGTAGAAGAGAGATCCATCCCGACGCACGAAGACGACGGCGTTGTTGCTGTCAAGGCCCGTCACGTATGCATTTACGGCGCCGCCGAAATTGTTGACGAACTCGAGGGGAAGTTGTGCGGCAACTGCAGAGAGACGGATCTGGCTCTGGTCATTGTCATTTGAGGGGGGGACCGTGAGTTCATCTCCCTGGTAAGTGCCGTTGAGGGTGTTCTCTTTTGTGATCACTAGAGATGCGAAATCTCCGGGCTTGATCTCGGTAAAGTTCTCCTCATCAGACCGGATCTCGTTCAGGCTAAGTGGAATAAGAGCTGCAGAAGTAGCGGTGGCTAGGCCCAGAAGGCCTAGAGTAACCTGAACAGCTCGCATGGTAAGATAATATGTTATCCAATGGTAAGTGGTTAAGAAGCTGTGAGATCGTCTGAAGATGAGTGAGAAACCGAATTAAATCTACTGGCCTTCAGCCTTTTATAACAAAGTGTCATCTTAACTTGCACATTACGGCATGTATTTGAACTGCGCCCATGTTACTAAAGTCCCATGCAGTATCTGACCACGGCGAGATTCAAAGTTCTTAATGTCCGAGATGGGTGTGCTAAGAGGGTTGTTTTATCAGTGGCGCAACAAAAGGGCCCTCCTTCCGCAGCCTCAGCGGACTCATCTCGTTGATAATTTTTGATACGAGAAGGAACAGATGGTGAAGATACCCAACTGAGATATATTCGAGCACATTACCTGCTTGTTTGGCTTGGACTGGATTGTATACTTAGACACTGGCTGGCAAAGAAGGCAGTTGGGGCAAGTGAGACGCACATCCATGCCCTGGCACTGGTCAGATTCTTACTGTCGTATGCTCCTTAGTCTGGCCTCTCTGGAATGATGAAAATCCTAAGCATATTTATCACGGGTGGTTGTGCTTGCAGCCACTCAATAGAATGAGGACTGCACCGGGTGATCAGGTAGAAGTCAGACGCTTTGAAACAATGTTCTCAGGGCTCTCTCTATTTGCGTTAGGGAAGCGATGTTAGATTGGTTGAAGGCGATCCCGGGGAGGATCTCTCTATTTGGGCCCAGCCGTTGAATGTCAGACCTATTGGACCTTCGGTTTCCCACAAAAGTGTGTGGTCAGCGGAGGCTGTTCATGTGATTTCCAGTGCCTCTGCCAGGAGGAACCAGTCAAGCCACTGTTTCTGTTCGTCATCAGACTTGGAGGGAGATCCTTCTCATTTAATTACCTGTGTCCATAAAAATGACGATGCAGAAGCAGCTGTATTAATCAATGAAATTTTATTATAGTCGTAATGAAAGTCGAAAACAGATTATATGAAGAGCTACGGGGTGCAGGCCATATGATTCATCCCGCTAGATTGCAAGTATCTACCTTTTCACTCCTCGGATCGTGACAGCGATGTCGATGTTTTCTTCCATTCGGCCATGGGATAAGTTGGGGCAAGGTAAGACTTAGTCCTATCTCCTAGTATTGATCACCAAAGTAAACAGCAATAGCAAGAGTGAACGAAATAATAAAATTCGATAAATTCATACTGGTCTTGCTAAATTTAGAAGCCCTCGGGTGCACAACGGCATGCAGCTTCTAGTTTACCAGATCATGATGCTTTAGCTTCGAGGAAAACAAGTGCCTTTGAGATAGCAAACTCTGGCATCTAGCTTAAGATACTATTTACTTATTCCCAGAACCGTATCCGTGCTCTCTTCGCACATATTCCAAGATATCCTCAGCTCCGCTGGCCGCTGCGAAATCTAGCGAGGATCGGTGTTGATCATCCTCGGCCAGGATGTCAAGCCCTTTGCCCATTAGATAACGGAACCTTCCCAAACCTCTACCCTTTTCACGTCTCCTCTCGTCATCACCTCGAGCTGCCGCAACATGGAGCAAAGATTGTCCGCGGGTACTAAGACGAGTCCAGTCCACGCCAACTCGGCTAAACAAATCCATGACAATGCCTTCCAACCTCACAGCGGCCTCACACTCCATCTTGGTTTTGAGATTTAGGGCGGCGAAATACTTTTCCTCATCACGTGGTGATACTTCAATCTCACTTTGCGGTACTTTGACCTTCACAGTGCCTGTGCGCATGAACCGGAATGCTGGTGTCTCGCCTGCCAGGTCTTTTGCGTTTACATCGGCTCCGCGAGCAAGGAAACTGTCCAATAGCAGCTGTCTTCTTCCAGACACAGCTGCTGCGTCGTCGCCTCCGGTGGCGTCAATGTGCCACGAGCCTCCGAACAGGAGGTGCAAAGGTGTTTCACCTGACTCTGGATTTGCTGCTGTGACATCAGCGCCATTCTCCAGGAGGGCATCGATGCCTTTCCCCATCTCATCCACCCAGACTGGTTGTCCAAGCGCACAAAGAAGAGGGGTTCTGCCATCTTTGTCCACTTGGAGTAGAAGCTCAGGAGCCAACTGTATGAGGCGGATGAGAAACTCCCTCTGCATAGCCACATCGGTTGTTCTGATATCCCCATAAGTGGGCTCTGTCATGAAATAAGTATGAGAACATAAATGATGAAGGGCATTCCTCTTGTCACCGTCCCGTGCCGTAACTAAAGCGCCTCTTTCCAGGAGTCCCTCAGCGACGGGCAAATCTACAAGCGCACATGCCCGCAAAAGCAGCGTCGCGCCAGTTGCATCTGTTGCCTCGATATCTAGGCTGGGGTGCTTGAGCATCAGATTCAGGTACGGGTTTTCACCAGTAAATATTTGACCGTAAAGTCCTCTCTTTTCTAGGATGCGGTGCACCAGTGGTTTACACTCGTATCTACTATTGAGATCGGCGCCATGTTCCAGTAAGAGGTTGAACATCCGCGTTCCAATTGCCACGTGGTAATTGTTCTGCCTCCTAGAGTCACACGTGACTAAATACTCGAGCACGTAAAGCTCGCTGTTCGTACTGGGGTCTTGTCTTCCAGATCTCATGCTTCTTCCATCAGCCGAAGTCCATGACGGGACTTCCTTGCCCAGTTCGCGCAGATTGGCGTTAACCTGGCCTGTGGAGAGTATTCGACGGAGGGTTTCTACATCTCCATCGTCGATGACATTTAATAGCTTCTGGTGTATGCTGGCATCTCTTTCTTCCAGAGACATCTCTTCCAACAACCCAGGGATGATGCTTTGCAACAGTCCAAAACTATCGGATTCGACACCATCTTGGGTTTCGAGCCTCGTAATCAAAGAATCACGAGCATCCTCTAGACATTTGACTGTATGTTCATTCTTCTTCTGGGAAGCTGATGCAATTGCTTCATCCATGAGTGTAATGTCAGATCCTGACCCTCTGGCTATAAGGATGCTGACGACCTTGTCAACTTGTTGTGCTGGGTAAGGATTTGACTGAAGGCTAGAGGGTTTTGGCCGGAGATTGTCAGCAATCAGCACTCCTCCAGCATCCGGTTTGTAAAAGGTGTTGTCGTGGTGGACGCTGGAGCCAGTAGATACCCGGATCCAATTCTTTTGTTCGCCCTCAAAATCAGCGACGCCATTCCATGTCGACCCGATGAATGTCTCTGTGTTGGCAGTTGCGCCAGAATCGAGAAGGACCTGGACTGTTTCATTGCTACCGGAAGCACACGCGTAGTACAAAGTTGTTCGACCCATGACGTCCCTTGCATTCAAAAACTCATCGATGTTTCGGTCTGCTCTATTGGTCCTAAACCAATCAACAAGAAGCCATATGACATCGGCCTGCCTTGAGCGTGCCGCCAGATGGAAGACTGTCAATTTCTCATGTGTTGTCTTGGTGATGTCGGCGCCAAGTTCAAGAAGCCTCCTTGTAAGATTCGTGGAGCACGTTGAGGTGATGTGCAAAGGCGAAACTCCGTCGCGGTCTGTACTGTTGATGACGTCCGGATTCGTCTCTCGTAGGAGGTCAAACGCGCACGGATATTCCTTGCGAACCGGAGTATCAGGCATTGCCTTCTTGAAACGGCACAAGACATGAAACGGAAGTACGCCGCGGCTATTTCCTCGATTGCAACTCACTCCGAGCTCCTGTAGATCCACGAAGACTTGTTCTCTCAATGCCCGCCCTGAAAACCAAGGAGCCCCCTCGTGCCAAATGGTGTTGCCCTCAAAGTCAGGCTGATGAGGATCAACCCCCTTTTCGACGAGAAACTTAAGTAAAGCCCCATCAACTCGACAGAGCCGGATTGCAACGTGGAGGAGCGTTCGTCCCTTGTTGTCCGTCACGTCAAAGCGCGCACCCCGCTCGAACATGAGGGCAAGGAAAGACAAGGCGTGATTCTCTTTCTGAGAATCCCATTCGTCGAGGAAAGCAAAAGTAATGGTTCTGCCTTTTCCATCCCGGATTTCGACATCAGGATTTGTAACATCCAGGAAGGCCGTAAATTTCGTCTGATCAAGGTAGAAGGAATTGACCACCAGATGCAATGCCGTCTTCCCATCCGAATTACGAATGTTTGGATCCGCACCTCCCTCGATCAACTTCTCGAGCAATTTTCGATTAGGCATCTTTTCGATTCCTGGAATCTTCACAGCATGATGCAAAACACTGTTACCACTGGAGTCAAGTATCGTCGCATCAGCGCCTTGATCGAGCAGCTTGACAGAAAAGTCCACGTCCTTGGCCACCAACGCCCGCGTCAGGAGTCTTTGCCCCGGGCTTGAGGATGGAGCATTGACATCAATTCTGGGGAGTAGAGCTTCAATTATCTTCAGATTGGAAGTTCGTTGCAGCAAGGTGTTTCCTCTACAGTCCGTAGCATCAAGGTTTGCCCCAGCTTCCAGAAGACACATCACTGAGACGGGGTCTCCCGACACATGAAGTGGAGTTTCGGCGTGATGGCCAACTTGATTCACTAAGAACTCAGTTAGTTTAAGGCAACCAAGGGATTTTACACAAACGGATAGAATAGAATGATAAAATAAGAGCTAGTTTCTTACCGTTTGCGCCGGCTCCCATGATCAATTTGAAGCACTCGATCGTTTCCTCATTCTTTGCTTCATCAAATTTATAACCGCGGAGTACAGGGTTACTATAAGGATCCGCAATTGCGTGCAATGCATTGTATCCAGGTAGGAAAGATTGAGAAATTTGAAAAAACTCTGTGCTATGGGGTATGTTTGGATCTGCCCCAGCATCAAGAAGAATGCTTATCAACTTCGGATCTCGCATCTTACACGCTGCATAGAGAGGTGTCATATGAAAATACGGAGTCTCTCTGCTTTCCTTTGCATTAATTTCTGTGCAGGGGTGTCCCAAGATCATTCGAATAATCTTCACGTTTTGATCCCCATGAATTGCCCAGCTAAGGGCCTGTGACGCGCCTTCAGTATCTCTGATGAAGGGGATGAACGCCTCTGCCATTGCCTCATCACTCTGAGCAAAGATGAACCGTATGGGCGGCATCAGTGGACGCCCAAAAGTCGTATCTTCTACGTGCTTGTTCTTGCCAAGAGGTTTCCAGGGGTTAGCACCAGCCTCAAGGAGGACATGAGCCACTTTGGCATTGCTCTGAGTACTCGTTTCCTTTCGTTTATTTCCAAGATAAGCAGTTAGGTGAAGAGGTGTAGAGCCGTAGCTATCATGCTGGTCTAACTGGGCTCCATGTGTAACAAACAGGCGGACCATATCCTCGCTGCCTTTGGCCACCGCATGATGCAACAGAGGCTCGTTATCTCGACCGCCATCATAATTGAGTGTTTCGTCCCCGTGATGTTTGAGGATAACAGTGGCTAGTTCTGTCAATCCCAACTCAACAGCAAGGTGCAAAGCTTGAATCTCGGGCGCCAGAATCTCTCCATCGTTTTGACGGCCAACCTTCCCAAGCTTTGCGAGCATTATTAGTTTCGCCGCATTCTGTTCTCCACTCAGAACAAGTAGCTTATACAGAGCTTCCAGAGTATCAGGTGATTTGAAACCATGGGCAATAGCCTTTTTCAGATGCGTGAACCAGTTACACGCCGCGTACCTCGTGAGCGGGGCATAGACTTGGCCAGGCTTGAGGGTCATATTTTCCCCAACAGACCCCTTCTCCGTCTTGACAAGTTCCAAGCAGCCCGATGCCAAGTATGAAACACAGAGCCGTGCTAATAGATCATGTGTCGGCCTTGACTCGATCACGGGAAACTCTCTTTCCTCGCCTACATCGAGCCCCAAAAGATATTCTGCAAGAGAATGGTGGATAACGCAGACCGTCTCGTCTGGAAGAATCTCTAGGAGAGGTCCACAAACGGATCGCACAACGTCTTTGATTTTCCCACTGTCATCGCCGTAGTGAGGCTGAGTGACTTTGATACAATCGGAGATCTCTAGCAGGCGTAACGGCCTGGTTGCATGTGTTACAAGCTGCAATACTAGCATTTGGAGCTCCGCAGAGTGCCCCGTTCGCTCAAGGTGTTCTTTCAAAAGCTCTTTGTATACGGCTGATAAATCTGTCGGCAGCCTTTCGAGAGTCTTCAGAGCATCAGACTCGTCTTTCATCTCTATAATAGCTTCAATGGCCAATTTTGCGTAAAGAAACAGTCCGCCAGACTTGTGCAATATGCTTTCCACAACTCTGGGATGGCTCTCGGGGCTCAAATGGATTTCAGCAAGCTTATGCCGGACATAGGCCGATATGTCTGGTTCCATGAGGCTTTTCTCAAGACGAATATCCAGCAGCTTGATTCCCCTCATACTTTGCTGTATGCTGACAATAGGCCTGCTAGTCATTATAACCTTCAGTTCCCTGGGGCGGAGGTTGCCTAGTTGGTCGAGCAGTTTGAGAAAAGATGGAAGGGCGGCGCTGTCCATTTCATCCAAAGCATCAACCACACAGATGGCTTTAGGGAGATTCTCCAGCGCCAGTTGCAGCAGTTCATACAACCTCTCTACTGTCAGAGAGTCCACGGGCTTGGATATTTCTTTTGTCAGTGCAAGCTGCAGAGGCGGACTTGATGTCAGGACCTGTGATAGCCAGTCCCGGATCGCCGCGTCCGGACGACGATTGGATTCAATTGAATGGCGAAAAAAGAAGTACAGAACAGGGCCCTCGTTCAATAAATGGGTGATGAATGTTGATGCGAGAACTGATTTGCCAGATCCAGGGATCCCTCGCACCCATAGGATGCCATGCTCCTGGCTATCATGCCATTCCCTGAATTCAGGGGAAGTAAAGGCCCATTGGCTGGTGTCCTTCAAGTGTGATGCACAGTGTCTCTGGTATTCGCTACCATCTCCTGCGTATTGTGTGGGATTGAGCCAGGTCCTGATTTTCTTGATAATCGCGGCCTCTTGCGGCAATATGTTGGCTGTGTTGAATTCGGCAACATCTTGGTGATCAAGAACATCAAAACCCTCGAGAGAGATGTCCGAGTCTTGGAGGCCATCAAGCCCCGCGTCCGAAAAATCAGATTCATCTGCCATTGTTTCCTGGTAAGCGTTTGTCCAGGTTGTGCGGGGACAAGTTGAGTCATAGGATGCTCTTATAAATTCATCTGCGGGGATTGCAACTCTTGGCGTCTGACATGGGTACGACGTTGCTGCCTGGGTGGGCTGATATCTCCAAATGAGATGTCTTGGCTTATGAGTATATGACATGTGAAGGATTCTGGAATCTGTACCCCGAAAATTATAAACGTAATTGTGGTTCTAATTAGGTACCTTTTGTTTCCGGTAGCCCGCGAAAGCGAAATCAGAGAAAGCAAGCCCCAAGTTTACTCACATTGATATCTTGAGTTTGTCTGTTGCCTAACCAAATACTTCATCTGGTTTGAATTCTCGGTCTTCCGATCCTCCACATGATCCAACCTGCTTGCATGGACCTTAGGGTCGTCCTCGTTGTAGTAGGCAGCAGCCAGTTCTTACTCCCTCAGTGCTAGCGGACACAAACCAGTCGTCGAACTCGGCAGCAATCTACTCCAATGACATATAGCAAAGTGATGTCTAGTGTTGCAGGAGGAAATCATCCTGGGGGGTAAGAATAGAACGAATTGGCCATCTGGGGTGGCCTATGGAGTTGCAACATTGTCGTACGGATAGAACTGATCATGCTCTTCTCTCACCACAAGACGCAATTTCTCCCCGCAAGACGGAGTCGAAATGTCAGCCCACAACTAAGCTTAGGTCCGCTTGAAATCAAGAGCGAGTAACGCTTTTGACCTTGTGAGGGCGACACCCATATAGAGCAAAATAGCATCTACCATTCCGATATCCTATATTATCGCAAATTGGGGAAAATAAGGAGCCACCTGAAATTGAAAGGGTACAGAGTTCAGTGAATTCGCGGCCGCTACAAACAATGAGATAGGCACACTTCTGGTCCGATGCTTACAAACTCGCGGAACCCCGGATGGGCAGTCTATTGCCACAAGGTAGGTTGCTTCAGGGGAATGGAGTAGAGATCAAAACAGGCAAAGCAATCCGATAACAGTAGGAGCCTCGGATGTGATCATTAGAGTGTTCCATTACAAATATCAAGGCCTCGAAAATAAACTTAAGGTCAATCCTGTGGTCAAAAGTTCATACATCACTTCATATGTATTTGATCTTATCTACATCACTTATAATTGGCACTACAACCGAACGGTTGATACATGTATTCTATGCAAATGCTAAATCTCTTACATGGTATATATGTCGAATACTGATGCTAACGAGTTACCCTTCAAAAACGATCTCTACCATTTAGGGATCTTGGGAGAAAAGTCGGGTTGAAACTTTCTCATGTACGTCGTGTCATCTCTCTTTGTCAAGCCACAGTCAAGGTAGTTCTGATGAAGCTGTGCCAGTTTTGCCCTGTCCAGCTCTACTCCCAAACCTGGAGTGGTGGGAACAACCAAGGCGCCATCAGCCCACTTCAGGGCGCCGTCGGCAATGACATCCTCGTCACGACGCTTCCATGGCCAATGAGTATCGCAAGCGTAATCAAGGTTAGGAGTTGCGGATGCCAGATGGGTCATGGCAGCCAGAGAAATGCCGAGATGGCTGTTGGAGTGCATGGACAGCCGCATGCCCCAGATAGCGCAGATGGACGCAAGAGTCTGCGATCTTCGCAGCCCGCCCCAGAAGTGGTGATCCGAGAGAACCACCTGGACTGCGTTTTGTAGGATGGATGGAGGCAAGTGGGAGAATGCTACAACAGCCATGTTGGTAGCCAATGGCATGGGAGAGTCCTTGGCCACCGCAGCCATGCCTTCAATCTCAGGAGCCGGGTCCTCCAAGTACTCCACGATGCCCTTGAGCTCGTTGGCAACCCACTTGGACGTCTCAACGGTCCATGCAGCGTTAGGATCCAGCCTCAATGGCAAATCTGGGAACGCTTTGCGTAGCTCTTTGACAGCTTCGACCTCTTGGGCAGGGGGGTACACACCACCTTTAAGCTTGATTGCCTTGAAACCAAACTCATCAATGATCCTGTGTGCCTGCTTGATCAGGCCAGCAGGGTCCAGCGCCGGACCATATTCATCATCCGGCTCCCCGGGGTGGCCTCCCCACTTGTAGAAGAGGTATGCTGAGTACTGGACGCTATCACGAACACGGCCTCCAAGTAGGTCGCTGACTGGAAGCCCAGCCAGCTTGCCCTGGATATCCAAGCAGGCCACCTCAAAGGGAGAGAAGACTTTGTCAGCGACGGACGCGGTAGTGACCATGCCAGCCATGCCATCACCGCCCGTGGATCTGTCGTCTGTGAGAGACTCAACACAAATCTTGTGGATTGCATTTGTGTCGTATACGGTCAGACCCTTGATCGGACCAGCTGCTCTCTCCAGGCGACCCAGATGGGTAGAGTCTCCATATGATTCGCCGAGGCCGTATGTGCCATCTTCACACACGATTTCAATAATACTTCTCAATGCCCAAGGCTCATGCACGCCGACGCTATTCAATAGGGGCATATCATGGAAGGCCACGGGAGTAATGACAACATCTTTGATGACGCCGCGTCGAGACATGGTTGTGTGTCTCTCCCTTTTCCCTCCTGTTTCTTGGTATTTTGATGGGGGGTTGGGTGGAAAGTATGTAATTCAGGGGTCTTTTCTCGAGAAGATTGACGTTGGAAACAGTAGAAACAAGTCGTGAATGCGGAGCTAATTCAATGGGTAGATGCTCTTTCATAGGCCTGGGGCGGTCCCCTCACACCTGACTCAAACCATTCGCATATCCGCGGGTGCTTGGCATCCCCATACTCTCCTGGGACTAAACTCCCCGCATTCTCTCCTCCACTTGCTCGGTTACGTCGGTACTGACAGCTAGAGTTTCACCCGCTGGCGGAAATAAATCCTGACAGGGATCGGCTCAGCCCCAACATCCGAGGAACTTGGCTCTGCACCATCCACCTGGCATCGGCCATCAACGTCGCGCTGAACTGCCATCCGATCGCCTGTTGTTCTCACTTCCGAAGCGTTCTGAGGACCTGTAGTATTGTACCGTTGATGTACGAACCGTCAGGGTCGTCGGAGCCCTTGAACCAGCGAATGGCTGACTCTCAGGACGAGGCACGGCCGTTGAAGCGATCGAGGGGGGAAGAGATACGGCCACGCGTGAGTAGGGCATGCGACCGATGCAAAGCGTGAGTTCTTCATTGCCCTCTCTGATTTCTCAATGTTTCAATTGCTAAACCTTACTGGCCATACAGTCGTAAGACCCGGTGTTCCGGGACCTGGCCTTGTGTGTTTTGCTCGCATCTTAAAGTGACCTGCGAGTTTACGGCGGCTCGTCGAAAAGGATTTCGGATACCTGAGACAGAAACTGAGACGACCAATACGGCGCGAAGGCATTCATCGGCGCATGAGAGACCACCGACGCCCGTCCATACGACGTCTGAGCATGGGAGCAGCCCGGTCCAGGGCCACAGCGATCTTACCATACATGCTGCGCCGCCTACACAACTGTCACCGAACTCTAGCACGAGAGATCCCACCCTGGCAGAGACGGTGATACAGATATCACATAGCCCCAGCAACAATGAAACCGTGAGCGCGCAAGACAAGCGCCAAGACAGTGGCCCCCTCATTGCCCTACAGTCCTCCCGGAACTCCCCAGAACCATCGCAAACCGACCAACAAGGCCACTATGTCGGTCCTGCTTCCGGTGTATCATTTTTGTTGCGTATTCGGAGGAAGCTTCAAGTACCATCCACGGGGTACTTGAGCTCCTCCATCTTCAATTTTGGGGACCGGCCATTGCCCGGGCATGATGCATCTTTCGTTATTCTCCCGCCCAAACATGCAGCAGATGCCATGGTGAAGAGGTATTTCGATTTCGCGGCAACAACTCACAGGTTCTTGCATCGGCCCACGATAGATTCATGGCTTGAAGAACTCTATGGCACCAACGGCGCAATGCTATATCAAGAGTCCGCCCGGAGTCGCATCGCCGTGCTGTTTATGGTGTTTGCCCACTCGAACAACTACCAAGGAAGAATGAATGGCGACTCAAACGAGTCAGCGGCGGATGCAGCCGAAAACAGGTGAGTCTATCTCTGCCCAATATCCTTCCTCCTTCTGACGATACCTCAAGCGCGCGGTACTTTGCCGTGGCAGAGCATCAACTATCGATGGAGAAGGGCCAGATCAAACTTAGTAATGTCCAGGCACGGCTTGCACAATGCTTCTATCTGCTGGCCCAATCCAGATTGAATCACTGCTGGACACTTTTTGGGATCACGGCCCATCTGGCTCTGGCCCTCGGGATCCATCGGAAGTCAAGAGTCGATGCCAACACGTCAAACCGCGTTGATCACATTGATCTAGAGTGTCGAAAAAGGACGTTTTGGTGCGCCTATAACCTCAACACATATCTTAGTGCAGCATTGGGGCGTCCAATGACATTCCACGATGAAGACATAGACCAGGAACTACCACTTGGTATTGATGACGAACGTCTTCGGTCAAGTCCCCCGCCTGGGCCATCGATGCTAGGCCCATCTATCACATCGGCGACCGTGGCACAGATCAAGTGAGAGTCTCTAATTGAGCCGACGGCTACCGCCATGCTAACATGTTTCAGGCTCTCCAGGATTCTCGCCAGGATCCTCAGAGTTCTTTACGGTATACATCCGCCATCGACAGAGGAGCAGTTCACTCTGACCGCAAAATTCTCCCGGGAGTTGGAAGAGTGGCGGGAGCATATCTCATACCTCCTTGACACAGACGGCAACTCGGCCATTTTTGTGAGACTTGTGTTAAGACAGAGGGACGTTCTCAAACTTGCATTCTGGCATGCGCAAATCCTCGTCAGCCGCCAATTTCTCTTAAAAACATTCACAAGCTTGGCAAACTACGAACCCAGGGCTGGGGGTCCACTGGCTCAGCGGAAAGAAGAGGTGCAGAAAAATGTCAAGACGTGCATTGAAGCCGCAGAGCACATCATCGAGCATATTGATCGCATCAGTGCGGCTGGCGAGCTTTACAGCACCCTCTTTGTGAGTCAACGTATTCCATGACAAAATCACACAATACTAACATTCCATGTCTCGTAGTTTATCCCCTATTATGGTTTCAACGCCGTGGTCATCCTCTATCTATACGCGATTCAAGAACGAAGTGAACGCCCAGAAACCTACCTCCGCCACTTCCGCGCAGGCTCGAAATGTCATGCGCAGCTGGAGAAAATTGCGACCCACGGTTCTCTGATGCAAAGATACGGTGTGGTTTTACAGGAACTACGTCTCGAGGTCCTTCGAAACAATGCGTACCTGGCGTCTGTGTCTACACCCCATGCGGAAGAGGATTCTGCTGAAGGTGAGATACGGGAGAGGAGAGGAGACGTAGCAAGGACAATGAGTGTCAGTAACCCTGCTGCGGAGCAGCAACACCATTTTAGAGCCCCCAGCATGAACGCCAACGATTCTCGGCTCGGAGTAGCGTCAGCCCATAGCTTGGAAGGCCCCCGAGGCGGAAACGAAGATGCCTCGTGTATCGTACCAGCTGCGAACACGGGGTCTATTGATGGAATGGATGATTCCTTGACCCATGTGGCAAGCTGGGGGCTGTTTGATTCATTGGTAAGTCGCTACCAGAACCCTTGCGATGATATTATTTGTTGCTGATGTTGTCGGAAACAGGTTACAGGAGGGACTGGAACCCTTGATATGATGTGGGATAACATGAACTTGACGGGGTTCAACAATTGGTGATATGTATAAACATTATTCATTGTGTTGAGTTGTCGGGCTCTGGCAGCTTCCATTGCTGTTGAACTTTATTCTCTTTCTCTTACGTATAAACACAGTGATGATTGTAAACAATTCAAAGATTTAATTTGCCAATCTATACATCCACCTAGCTCATCAGTCTCTTATTGATAGCTGTCAGAATCACAAACAAGGTCTCAATCGTCTTGACGTCCAACCCCAACTCTCGCCCCTTCCGCACCGGATACCCAAGAATGATGTCGACCTCCATGGGCTTTCCATTCTCATAGTCCGTCCGCATGCTACTTCCGATCGGGGCCATGCTCAAGATCTTATCAATGTGCTTGTCGATCAAGTCATATCCGATGGGAACATCCAGCGCCTTGGCCACGTTAATGACCTCCGTCATGATGGTCCGAGTCAAAGGCGTCGAGTCCTCTGACGAGCTGAGCCATGAATGCGTGTCCATGAGGGTGAGCGTCGTCAGGGAATTCCATGCCGCATTCCACACAACCTTCTCCCACCTTTGTACCTGGATGTTGGGTACCACTTGAAAAACAGTTTTTCCAGCTGTCAGGAATGATGCAAATTCATTCAGACGCCGAGTCTCCCGGGCTTCATCGGCGGAGGGATTGGGGAATAGGCCCAGCTGCATATTCTCGGATTTGGTATGCGTGATGATGCCGGGCTGCGGCTGTCGAACACCACACCAAGTCTATGAGTGTCAGCAAGTAATGCTTCGAACTGAAAAGATTATTATTCACATACTACGGCAGACAGAATAGTCGCGGACGGGAAATATTGGCGGAAGGGTTCCTCGTTACCCACGCCATTTTGGATAATCACAATGGTCGTTCTATCCTGGTCAACACCAGCTGCGATCTCAGGTGGAGCTGCGGCTTGGTTGATGGCTTTGTGTGCGCAGACAATATAATCAAACTTCTGGCCAGCCTCGGCAGCACTTCTCACAACTATATCGGCAGTCAGTGGGAAGTTCGGGCCTTTTCGGCTCAATCTTTATGAATTCTGTACCATCTTACCTCTATGGGGTTTTACATGGTGTTCGCCATGGTTCTGGCTGCTTATCTTGAGGCCGTTGGCTTGGACAGCATCGTAGTTGGACCGGGCAACAACCGTAAGACGGACTTGATTGCTCTGGTTCAAGATAAAGGTATAGAACGAGCCAATGCTAATCTCCCATGTTAATCACAGTATGGAGTTCCAGTTTGGCATCCACTCACGCTCCAAGCCCATAGATCAAAACTTCTGCTGGTGGGGAAGACATATTGGTGCTGCTTTATATCGACGAGCTCATACGGCGAATGATCTCTGACCAAAGAAAGCAACTCACCACTGCTAAATACGAACGAGCTGGTGCCCAGTGAATGAATATGGGGCTCGGGCTGATGTAACAGTACAGTTACTCCGCCTGTATCCGCGGAGAAATAGCGCATACGTGCATTCCACGCCTGCTTCCTCGGAACCAGGCCTTCAGGGGACTTTAGGTGCGAGTTGACAACAACAAATTCTGAGATGCCTCTTCGGAATAGACTTGACGTTTATTTGAATTTATCTACAGACTCGCTTCGATGCTAACTAATGCCGCAATCTGTTCCTCAATGTTCTTCTTCTCCGCATCACTCGGTGCAATGTACGGCCGCCGAGGCTTCAGCTTCTCCACAGCATTATCAATACCGGCCGCAACAGCAGTGTTCAGCGCAGCAGCGTACTTTACGGAAGAGATTCCGGCCTTGCATGGCTGCTCTGCCAGAGCCGCCTTCTTGTGCAGGTCCAAGGCTTCTTGGAACTTGCCTTCCTTGTAGAGGTCGTAGATCTTGACAATGGTCTTGGGGAAGACATTGGCGAACCCAGCGATTGTTCCTGCAGAACCCGAGGCCAGGCCACCGATGAGGAAATCCGACTGCCCACCGTAGGTAGAGAATCGCTCGTCTGGGAACTCAGCGGCCAATCTAGTGATCTTGGCCACGGCACCGCAGGTCAGCTTTACGCCGACGATGTTGCTGTGCTTCTTGGCGAGACGGGTGATGGTGGCAGAGTCCAGGTCGATGCCATTGCAAACGACGGGGAAGTTGTAGATGACGATGGGGAGCGAGCTCTCCTTGGCGACATCGTCAAAGAAGTTCTCAATGACAGCAGGCGTCGTCTGCTTTCCAAAGTATGCGGGAGGAAGGAGCAGTACCGAGTCAGCGCCGGCTTCCGCAGCGTCGGCGATGAACTCGAGGACTTGCTTGGTAGAGTGGCCGCCGACACCAGCCATGATGGGGAATGAAGGGCCGGTTGCCTTGCGTGCCGTTTGGAGAAGCGTCTTGCGCTCCTCGCGCGTCAAGAGGAATGTCTCTGCATTGGTACCGAGAATTACCAGACCAGCGAGGCCCGTCTTGGAGAGGTAGGCGTAATATTTGGCTTGTGACTCAGTGTCTAGAGAGTCGGTCGAGTGGTCGAAGAATGTAATGGCTGGTGCCCAAACGCCGTGTGGCGGTGCTTTGAATGATGACATGGCTGGATGCAATCTCTAAATGAAGCAATTATCTGGTCTATTATGGTCTGTTGTCAAGAATCCTGCCACGTTTGCAAAGAGGTTGTACTTAAGCCATTTTTGGGCCCAGAAGGGGGGCCATGGAAGGCTTTATCCGTCCATGTTACGACATAATACCCAGAATGTCGTCGGGTTTCCGCAGGAGGAATTGCTGCGTCGTAGCACTGCTCAGATGCCGCATCGGATATCTGCCTCTCGGAAGTTGCCCCGACTTTGAGAGGAGCTCCACCAGCCAAACATCCGAGGAGAAGAGGAGCGCACAAGAAAATAACCTCACGGTGGATGGTTTGGAGAGGACAAGTATTGATATGAAAAATAAAGTAATATACGAGATGTATTGATAATCAAATATCGTTCTTTATATAGAGGTTGCAAGAATCTATACCACCTTACATAGATATCCATAGCATGATCAAACTGACTTGTCGGCCAGCATTCGCATTTGTAGTACCCGAATAATAATGAGCCTCCAATTGTATGACCTATTCGGATGCCATTTGGATGATTTCATGTAAAGGGTCAATTTAATCAATGTGTTTACGATCTCAGGGGGGAAGCCTACTAAATGCCTCATCGATAACAGTGAGACTATGGATAGGAGCAAATGCCCACTGGACATCACATAAGATTGAAGATCGCTTGAAATTCTTCAAATTCATGTCTATTCTGGTGTATTTTTTTTTATACTTTAATCTAAATATCTACATCATTCTAAGCCTTCTTGTGCACATGTCCAGGGCTGGCCTGGTGGCTTGGGAAGATCAAAGTGTCGGCAACGACAACATTCTCCCTTCGGCTAGCAGTGAAAACAATGACTTCAGCAATATCTTCGGGTGTCAAGGGCTCTTGGTTACTGTGACCAGGGGGGAAGAAGTCAGCTTCCATGAACTACCAAATGTGGCCGGATGCAACGGGGAAGGGGGAGAACGTACGCATAGACGGCATCGGCCTTGCTCTTGTCACCGTAGAATCGGACCACAGAGAACTCGGTCTCCACTTGGCCGGGATCAATTCCAATGACACGGACTCGCTTGCTAATCAGCTCCTTGCGGAGACTGTCTGTGAAGGAACGGACGGCAGCCTTGGTGGCGCAGTATATGCCGCCGCCGGGGTAGGGCTCGCGGCCGGCAATGGAGCCAATGTTGATGATGTCGCCGGAGCCTTCGCCGTTGTTGCGCTTGAGGAAGACGGGGAGAACGGCTTGGGTCATGTTAATCAGACCAGTCACGTTGGTCGCAAACATAACATTGATGTCCTCCTCAGCGATCTCGGGCGCCTTGGCCACACCCTTCACCAGACCACTGTGATTTTCTGTCAGTAAGACGGCGAGATGTTCGGAAGAGATAAGCTTGACTAAACGGGAGAGACACTTACGCATTGTTGACGAGCACATCAATCTCCTGGAACTCGGCGGGGAGATTGCTCACAAATGAGCGCACCTGGTCGGGGTTGCTGACATCAAGCTGGACCGGGAGAACCTTGACACCATCTCCAACCTCCTTGACGATATCCTGGGCGATCTGCTTGAGAGCATCAATGCGGCGCGCCGTGAGGACGAGCTTGAGGTTCTTGGGGCTGGTGCGGGCAAACTCGAAGGCAGTGGAGCGACCGATGCCAGACGAGGCACCAGTGATGACAATGGTCTTGCCCTCAAGGCGCTTTGCTGCGGCGGACGACATGGTGTATGATTTCTATAGTGTAGGGTGAAAAGCGAAGGAGGTAGGGGAGGGGTTTGATGAGAGATGTGATTCTGGTCTTGACTCTTGGGAATGGGAATAGCGCATACAGCCGACGGACTGACCAGATGGTTGATATAATATTCGCTCACAGTTCTCCCCAGTGCTTCTCCGATAGTGCTCAGGCTCCTGGATCGGGGGTGAGGGGTTTTCCGCGGAGGAAACATGCTTATCCGGCCGGCAATCTCTCCTCCGATGAGGGCCGAGGGACAAGACGCCGATTCGGATCGATTTGGAGCGGCTCCAGATGATTATTAATGGCCACAGGGTAGGTCAAGCTTCCAGTGGCTCTGCCGGATGATTAATAATCCGTTCTCCTTCCCCTTCTTACCTACCCTACACACCCATGTTGCGGCCTTATCAGATTATGTCGCCATCATCCTGCCAGCTAACGCGTACTCCTCCAGAAATTAACAACGCTATAGAGCTCTCGGATTTCTTCTGTGATGAATTTTCCGGTTTTCAGGCTGGCTTTATTCCCATATGGTGTGGCTACCTTTCACGGAGGCGAATTTTGTGTCTACATCCCAATGCCTTGTATATCACCATTCACACCATTTTGTCAAACATCTTCACCTGGCACGGTTTTTTGTTTTAAAAGGAAAAGCTTATTTGCGCTAAAAGGTATTTCTCTATCGGTTCCTGCTTCCAGCATGCCACTATGTATGGGTGACTCACAACGATCAATGGCAAGCGGAAGAGGATGATCACAAGCAACGGCTCTGTCCCTCTCTAGCAAGTGGAGACGATCGAAAGAATGGCTGGCTGGGTTGTGCTGCATTATGTAATCCCAAATTTTGATCGCCAGTGACAGGGATAAAAAGACGAATACGAGGGTTGGCGTAGAATTGGACCAGCATGAAACACTAAAATATCCAACAAGCTGGGTGCTCAATCTTGAGTGAGCTCTTGCTTTTGGTACCAAATTCGGTGGCGGCCGATCCAAGCACTCGTTGGCTGAGATCCAGTCACTTGGGTTGCATTATCATTTGCCGGCGCCCGAACACATGCCTGAACAAACCCGGCAGTCTGATCCAGGGGGGCAGATGAAGGCCCGACAGATAGGGAGCCCATGTGAATCTCAGCGATGACCCGATCTACAAATATGGTTATTACTCCGCTTCTGCATCATTAGAAAGAAGCAGAATATTGCAAAAGTCCGAGGTTAGGCGCTTGACGGGAGCACTATTGGCTAGCTCCAAATCTGAAGGATTTGGCACCTTCAGCTAGTAAGCGAATGCAACTAATGCATGAGCAATGGAATGGGTGGTAGGTACATACATTCATAGATGGTCCAGGCCCGCCAAGACTCGCTCAGATGCCCCTTTCCGGCCTGGAAGCCTGAAAGAATGCAACGTTGCCGATTCGCCAGCTGCGAGGGAGAGATCCGAGGAGCTGAGTTTCATTTTATTGAAGGTCTTCTTTCGAGATGATGCATAAAAAGAAGAGTTGTCTAGCTAAACTCCACATCACGGGTAAGGCGTTCACTAAGGCGGACGAGAGAGCGCCCGAGATGGTCCATTCTCCCATGGAGGCCTGCGTAAGCTAGTCAATTTGCCCTGTGGCCAATAGGGTCAAGTACCCGGCTAGTGCTGAAGGATCGATTGACAACAAATACGATGAATAAGAGCTGTAGGGAGGCCTGCGAGGCCGATTCGCTGGGCTCCAGCGGGATTTTATACATGCGCCAATCAACTTGGCTCCGGTGGGGAGTCCTCCAATTTTCAGCCTTACCCATCCCCTTGGTCTCCGAATCCCTTGGCTTGGGGATGAATCTGACTCTGTGTTGGTTGGTTCGTATTGCCTAGGACCGTATCCGTCGGATACAGGGCTATCGGACCTTTAATAGGTCTTCCAGGGTTAATATCCCTTGGTATTACAGTGAGAATCCAAGATTGGACCAGTGGTAGTAGACAAAACCCTGTGCTGCTCACGAGGAGGGGGTAAGGATTTAGGTTACATGGCTAATTGCAGTGTGGAAGGTCATTGACACCCTGTCATGCTCTCCATCCCAACCCTGCCCTATCGCAAGCTCACTCCGTACATTATTAATGGGTCTGGGGAGAGAAACTAGCGGGAGCCGATATATCAAGGAGATATTAGCATTTAATTGTGGCTGGTCTAATAAACTTCTTAGACTATGCATAATACCGAGCCAGCTTAAACTCACTGCTCCCTACAACACTCAACCAGAAGCGGTCTTTGGCGCCTCTTTTCTGGAACGTGACCATGAAATCGGGAGAAGGGTCATGGCTTATGGACACTGAGCCCATCTCACGAAGCCCGAGCTACTGGAGCGATCGCGACAAGAAACCTTCAACTGTTGTTGCGTTGGAAGATCTGAGAACCGGGCCTTTCAGTCCCAGTCCCGAAGTCACCTACAACTACGTCTATAATGGTAGCGAGAACTACATCATCGCTGATAACGGCGACAACAACGGCCACGTACAAAAGAGCCACGACGACTTTCTAACCAAGGCAAGATCGATCAGTGGTTTACTATGGATATTCGGCATCTTTATTCTCTTTAGTTTTCTCTACTGTCTCTTCATCTACTTTGTATTGATACGACGCATCGTGATCGTCGGATCTACCATTTTCGACGCGTCCACGACCAATTTGCTGGTATCCATCTTCTCCCAGGTATCCGCTCTCCTTTCTGATACCGCCTTGCGGAATGTTTTGTCATCTCTGCGGGTTCATTGGGCCGCCAGCCCGACAGGCACATCGGCCTTCACCTGGTACGGACTAGGACCTTCATCGCAATGGTGGTCTACTGCCCAGTTGACTGTTGCATCGTACATGCTGAATGCGTGGTGTATGGCTAGGTGCGAGCTTTTCGTCGATGGAACTAACTTGGTACATGTCTATTAAGCTAACCTTGGGAAGACTGGGCTTACCGCTGCTTAATCTTGGCTTCGGTTCCGTTTTAAAATGTACGCCAACTCCAACCCGGTTATATACTATTCACTAACTCTGGAGCCGATGAACAGTCCAAGCAGACTTCGAATACTACTTCGTTCCTGGAACGACCGAAATGCCCGTCTTTGCTGGCCTGATACCTATCGACATCAGGTTGGTCGATATGTTACAGGCGGCTGAACTGGCCCAATACTACACCACGTGGAGTTCGAGCTTGCAGAGCAACAGCAGATACGCAATCGAGACAAGGATAGAAGGATGTGAGATCGGCTGCCGGGCTCTCATCTGGCCTGGAGGACTTCAGACCGTCCGCCAGATTAGTAACGTTTTGAACAGTTCCATTATGCACGATGGCATCTTCCAGAACGACGAAGCAATCAAAATAGAAGATGCCCCTGGTTTTATCACCACTTTCAGTGGACTGAGTGCAGACTTCAAATTCGATGTAGAGAAGGAGTGTGCTCTTGGAGGGCAACTGGTCGACGATGGCATCAAGGTATGCGTGAAACAGGTGGGGTTGGACGTCGCAGTTGGTGAGTTTCTTTTTCTCTTTTACCTTCTCGCCTCTAGGGATAAAACATCACAACATCGTCACTAACTCGGGGGAAATAGGTTGGTCGACTTGTCCTCAGGCCATTTTCGACGCCAAGAAGTGTGATATTGATGATGGATGGAAGCAAGACGGGATGAAGTCGCAAACCATGATGAGCGCCTACAAGCAATTCGCCACCACTACGTACAGCCGGGCGAACCTCTCGATCCTTCATGTAGACCCAATCGACACGCCACAGCAAATCAAGCTGAACGGGACGGACTACCTCAAGATTTTTAAAACTCTACTGATACCCAAGCCTAACGGCAAGAAGTTCGACAACACGAGTATCGCCTCGCTCACGTACACAATTGGCTGGGCACACCGTATTTACGGCGAGTTCTTCCAAGACGAAGACGGAACTTTGATTTCGACTCTGCAAAATATGATGGCGATCCCGTTCCAGTTCGGTATCACGGCAAAGCAGCAGGCGAACCACACTCTGACCGTCAACCCGAGCCTCATCCCGATCCTGGGAGACTTTTCTGTCCCCGATGAGATGAGAGCCATGGCAAAGGGAGGCTCCTCGAGCCAGCGGCTTCGGATCCAGAACTGGACCGGATGGGCCTTTATCGCTGGCGACATGGTAGTATTTCTTCTCGTGCTCTCGGGGATTTTCACCATCCTCCGCACCCATCGGCCGCTTCCCATGTCGACGTCGTTGACGGAACTCGATGCTCTGGTGGATGCGGATAGGCTTGTGTGCATCAAGGAGGGCGAGAAGATCTCTCTGAGTGAACTGCCGGTTGTGGTCGAGACGAGGTCGCCGATGGGGCTCGCCAGATCATTACGGCCGTGGCGGATGAAGTATAAAGATTAGGGTAATTATAATACGAGTTTCCCTTGAAGAGAATTACAAATTAGGTAGTGTGGATAGCGAGGAAATGATTATTTACCTGAAATGGGAATTCTCGCTAGGCTTACTCGTGCGGTTCAGAGGTGAGTGAGTAGAGAGGTATATCTTGAACATTTTATAGGGACGAAAGAAACCTCTGTGAGGTCTAAAGAATGAATGGAATACCAATTCTCGATAGAAAGAATGTCAATTGAAAGAATGTTAATTGAAAGAGTGTTAATTGAAAGAAAGTCAAGAGAAAGAAAGTCGAAATCAAGAAAGTTAGAAGAAAGAGAGCCAAGAAAGAAAGTCAAGAAAGAGTGTCAAGAAGGAAAGTCAAGAAAGAGAGTCAAGAAAGAAAGTGAGATCATAATCCTCAAATCGCTAAGCTCCCGGCTGAATTCATTGATAACGACTGACTTGAGCCTGAAAAGGCAAGTCAATCTCCTGTTCATGAAACAGCTCTTCAAATACAACCCCCGTTTGCGCAAACAGAACTTGGATTCCCCCCCCGCCTCGAACGACTTGCCCCGGCTCAGTTCCGACAAGCTCCAACTGGCGGGCCGCGAGGTAAAACTCAGCTTTACTCTCCGCCGATTCAGAGGCGGCCTTATCTATCGGGCGGAAGCCGAAGACCATGATAGACCGCAGATGGGGATGAGTGGTTCCACAGACCTGGGCGAAAGACCGGAGTGAGGCGGAGAAGTCGATCTGGAACGTAACCAGGGGCTTGAGCCCATCTTCAACTTCATCCTCAGCCAACTCAAAAAGGTCGAAGCCGGGGAGGTATTTGTCGTAGTAGTTCCCAGTGACCCAATCGTGTAGCCTGAGTGTTCTAAGATTGGGAGGAAGCACGGAATGTAGCGGCGACTCGGAGAACTTTGCCATCCCCGCCAATAAGGGAATCCCGATACACAAATGCTCTAGCGCTCCAAGAAGCGGAAGAGAATTGAGCCGCCGATGTGATGGAAACTCGTAGCCGTCCATCCAACCAATGTCTAGCTCCTTGAGAGAACCTTTCAGGCTAAGCAAACTGTTGTCCCATGCATCAAGATTTGGAATGTGAGGCCGCATTCCCTCGTCGCGTCTCATGAATACCGCCCGAGCGGGTCGTACGGTCAGGGCAGATAGATCCCACGTACGGCCGATAAAATTCAACACCATCAAATGATAGGAAATAGTAAGGGAAGCTCGCTTGATGCTGCTATGCATTGGTAGGTTCTTACGAAATTGGTCGGGATCAACCTCATCCACAGCATCAGCCTTGAAGTCAGTAATATTGGGCCCTAGCAAGAGATTGAGACAACTTGACAGCGGGAACGTATGATCAGGACAATCAGGGAGAGTAGGGTCAGCTGGAGGATTGTACACGACTTCCTTATCGCTGTTGAAGCCGTCGAAGCCACGCCAGCCGGTAAACCGAACTGCCTCTAGGTGCTGTAGCGCGCAAGCAGAGAATTCGCTCTGGCGGGCGGTCTCTACTAGTGAGGACAATGTATTGTAGTGATATTCATTTTGAGGAGCATATAGCTCCCATTCGTCGTCGGTAACAATGAGCCACTTTGAGTGGGGCAATGGAGGTAATGAAAGACTCCGTAGTTCGGAAACCAAGCACAAAATGGCAGCCAAGGCACGCTCGCAAGTATCGTTGACACGGCCAGGATTGGTCGCCGCGACATGGTTTAGGATCAAGTCTTCCTGGGACAGGGGAGGCCGCGTGGTGCTCTCGATGATCTGTTTGTGAAACTGGAAATCCTCCTGGTAGCGCAGGGCGGATTTCGAGCTTTCCAGACTAGCAGGCGTGGATTCAGCATGTCTTAAGAAGAACTGACAATCAAGAGTTTGAACCAAAGGCCGCAAGTCGGGCCGTTGAACCAGAGTTCTCAGGAAGAGCGTCAGGGGCATAACGCCGTCGTCGAGTGCCACACGGGAAGCTGCCACTGAGCCCGGGATCTTGCGAGGGACGAGGGTGACATGGCGATATAGTGAGAGGGTGGCAGCGTCCCTAAGCCTGCGTGAGACGAGACAAAGAGTGACCAGAGCTTTTGTCGACTGGGCGGTTGCGGTTTGGTAATCCTGCGTGTAGTAATCGTGTGGCTGGCCCGATCTCTTGTTTGTGGTTATATCATCAAGTAAACAGCGTATGATCTTGCTGAGGATCTCACTTGGCAGGCCTGCTAATCCAGAGCCATTGGTGATATGTCCTGTCATGGTCACGATGGCATTTGATGCTGGGAGAAAAAGGTGTCGAGAGCTGAGAAACTGACGCGTGCGGGGAAGAAAAGCTGGACAGACTGATTGGCGGGTCTCAATGTCTCACTCGTCATAGAGATTGCTGCCTGATGTTTGCCTGTGTCGGACATCTTATAGGCTGCTGCATTGGTCTGCGTCATGCTCGCAACGGCTGAAACTGATAGAGCCCAATAGCTGTGCTTGTTTCAGCTCCACACTCAGCCAGGAAAAGTCCGTCATCGGCTCGAGCATTTATGTTCTACTGGACCATAATTCAAAGGCAGAGGGCACGGCTGGAAAAACTGAGTGTTTGGGATATTTGGATTTTTTTTTGGTAGCCCTAGCCCAACGGTTGGATCCTAAATGGATTGCCAATCGAACCCACAATCGCACCAAGGCCCTTCTATAATAACTTCACTCCATCCACGGCACTGTGAGATGCCCCTAGTACAGACCAACAACGACATCACCCTTGACACGGGCAGTCAGGTGCACCTCAGCCTCGAGGTCGAGCTTGATGCCCAGAAGGAGGGCGGCGTCGCGGAGAGAGCCATCGTCTTGGGTGGCACCCTTGATGAGTTGACCTGGAGAATCGAGGTTAGTATTCATTTCTTTCACATCTCGAATAAGAAGGGATGTTTGCTGAAACTTACCAGCAGGCTCGGCGAGGCCAGTGGCGGTGGGGAGAGGGACGGTGAACTGCTGAGACATTTTGGTGGGTTGGTTAAACGAAAACGTTTAAGAAGTTTGTAGAAAGGTAGTGATGAGTGTTGAAGTGATGGAGTGATGAGCGACGAGAAGGAAAAGACGCAGACTTGGGGGCTCGTCGTGGTCTTTTATGTGTTCTGGAAAGTATTAAGCATCGTTATTGCCGACTATTGACTATTGTAACTATAGGGAGTGTGGAGCTCACGAAGGCCCCATACCACGCATTTCACGCATTTCGGCATTGGAGATGGATGCTTGCTTCTGCAGTGATCCAGGATCTTCCTGTCGAATGCTCTTGCGACAACGCAGACTCCATTGACGTTGGCATTAACTCGGGAATGAGGCAATCTAAATCATCTGGGTCTAGATGCAAGACAGCCCAGCTCTCCAGCACATGAGAGGTTTGCCAAATGCCAAATGCCAGTCACTCGATTCATGGCATGGCAATGCTATGCAACGCCAGATGATCAAATCACCAGCTATTAATCCCGCGACGACCCACGCCGTCAATGCGCCAACGTGGCTGGCAGCATTACACATGTCGCGTTGGACATTTGCTGAGCTTGACATGCATTTGATCGGACAATGCGATCAATGCTTGTTAAGGAATTCGCTATACTGTAGCCAGCGACTGATCGTAGTAGCATCTATTATCACCCATTACCGGCCACTCCTCTTGTACGCCAATACCAACATTCAAATTCCGGTCGGATTCTAAAATTATGCATTGAGAGGTGATTTGCCACTTAGCTGTCACAATGTGGTAAGTATATCCATGCCAATGATTTATGTGCCAGTCACCGTCATCGCATTTCGCCTCATGGTGACAGAATCAGGAACAAAGAATAAAACCACCAAGATGCAGGTGGGACGAACCTTTGCTCAGAGGACTAGCTCAGTGTGGCTGTGAAGACTGACTCCATGTCCTGAGACTGGTGTATAGCCCCAACCAGTTGTCGCCACCGTGCAATCTTACATGCATACCAGCTCATTCGCTAGACGCAGGGAGGATTTCACCGAAGAGCCACACAAGAAAAATGCTGTTTGGTACTTTCATAGCATTAAAATCCCTCAAATATAAATAGCCCTCATTTGCCTCGCTTCTGTATCATTATGATTGACCAGCACGACTTCTGCTATTGTGTTCTCGTAAGTGCCCGGTGATCTAAAGTGGCAACTTGAAAATAATGCCAAATCGGTATAAGCGCTCTCAAATCCAATATGGTAATTCGAAACTACGAAGAAACAACTCTCCAATGTTTCCAGCCCCAGAATGGAACTGATACGTGTCGTTATGTGGTTCAACGGTATTGATGATCGTATGCTCTTTCAGGTTGTCGCGAAAGATGAATCTGTCATTCCCACCGCGATTGAAACCCACCCGAAGAATTGGCTGGAAGGAATTCCGAACTGAAGAACAACGTACGCTGCCATCAGGGTTGTAGCTGTTGGAAATCCCAAACCTGCAAGATCTATAGCGGAGCTTTACAAGATTGTGACCATTGAGCGGAAAAAAGATCCGCGTGCTCGTGAAAAGGTGAGTGAATGACGCATTGCGGATTGAAGAATCATGATACACCGGTGCCTTTAATAAGCTACCTCCTTATTCCAAGAAGTAACGTGGGCTCTCCTTTGTACGATGACATCTCGCTCTAGTGAATATTATGCCTTTGCAACTCGTTTTGAGTACAGGTTGGGGATGAAATTATATTTAGGCCCGAAACCATGTTCTCATGATCATCCGTGGTACGAACATTTCGCAGGGCTCAGAGGCAAAGAGAAAAGAGCTGGAAATGTGCTAGCTGTGCGATGAGGTCGGTCACATAGAGTAAGTGACGCCTCATGTTATCGGCTATTAAACATCTGTTGTTCTGTAACAATCATTGCAGGAGAACAATACAGAGGGGATGTCTCAGAGAGCGATACTTGGGTACTTGCTCTTGTCACTGGGATCACTGGATCCAGCCCGATGGTAACTGTAGTACTGAAGGAGATGACGACCATGCCATCACTGCTTCATTCCGTACGGGAAAGAACTTTATGATTGGTATTGCGTACTTTTTTTTTTTTTTTTTTTTTTTTTTTGCCGGAGGTAGGGGTAGAGCCCCGAACGGCGTGAGTTCCAGTACGTTCGAGCAAGGAAATTGTAGAAAATTATGAACAAATTCAGCCAGAGTTTAGCTGATCCGTCAGGTTATTGTGAGTTAAGGAATATTAGCTAAGAAGCTGTCTCCCTCTACGAGCGGTAATGAGATGACCAGCGGATAATCCCGTGATTCATAAACGAGGATCCGCGGGGAACTCCGCTCGCGGTTTTACCTGGTGCTCTTCTATTCGGCCTCGGCCTCGGGTCATGATACACATCGGATGTCCTTTACTGAATAGTAAATGGATGGCGTCTGCTCATCCCCATCTAGTTTATGGTACGGCATTTGCTTATGCCAAGGAAGCGCCCAGGTGGATTGCCCTGTTTGATGGAGTCGTCGATTTAGGCACAGTCCCCAAAGCTGATGCTGGATGTATCTTCAGCTGCCTGATTGATCCTATTCAGCTGAGAAGTGATATGAATCCTCCCTTGCACTACGCGTCTCCCCTCTTGCATTGGAAGTATTCCTTTTCCTCGGCCAGGACACAGGCACATGTCAATGTGGCAGTCCGCATCTGGTAAGAGTGGTACCTTTTCTATATAGCTGCCAAGGAGCGTGACCACTCGATTGATGTTCATTAACTGGAAACAGTCATGATAATGGGGCTCAATTTGGTGTCCCCTCGGCCAGGCCGGTGCTGGTTAAGCACTCTCACCAAACAATATTAACGGGGTCCGTTCACCTCGTGTTCTTGGCCTGTGGCAAATCCGCACTGATCAATGCCACGGCGCGTGCGGGCATCGCGGATCAATGCAGGGTGGCAAGTCGCGCACGGCACAGCAGAGCCGCGCCAAAAGCCCTTGGTTCGGCGACCTGTCAGCGGTCTCCATGGCATCCCGGCCAATATTGAGGCATCATATCGTTCGTAATTAAGCGGCCTCGCTAGCGCAGCGCGGATGTTGCCAGTGTTGCTTATGAATTGCGGATGGGTTGAAAGAGCAATTCTTCCGTTCTGGGCAAGAGACCACCGTTGCCACAATTTCCGCGTGGCCCGGCACTGGCTAGCCTGCTGTAACGTCGCTTCCGGCACGGCTAGTGTGGGGAGCGAGGAGCAAAAGCTTGTTCTGGGGCTGGCACATCGCGTCTCTGACACGCATGGTGATGGTCGAGAGAGCGTGGCTTGTGTGTATCAAGGACATGTGAACGGTGACGTAGATCGACAAAGCGAATGATATAACCAGAAAGGCGTGTAGGCGTGTAGACTGCGGCAAAGAATATGATATTGGGACCTTTTGGGGCAGCCGGAGTGGACAGGGAGGTGGCCTGGCAGACCTGACACAGCCCATCTTGTTTGATCCCCACGCGCGCGCTTGTCATCCTGGTACAAGACTCAAACAAGCGCTATTACCTGCGCTTCTGTGTATTTCACCATAAGACTTACGACTTGATGCCAAAAAAAGGAGAGTAAGAAAAGCAGGTCAAGGTAGTTCTTGGTGAGATCATACGCCTATACTGCTTGCCCCCTTGTGACCACCAGGCGGTTGCCTACAGTAGATCATGATGCCCGATGCCCCAGTCGCTTGATCGCGCCAGGCGAGAGCTGCAATCCAATCAAGGGCGCCGCCTGAATAAACTTTACTGGGCATGGTCCTCGGTGGCACGGCACAGTGGGACAAGAGGACGGCTCTTCTGCCGGCACCCACGGGAGAGCGATATTGGTGGGATGAGGTCTCCGTGCACTCCGCAGACAAAGCCTGGGGATGGCAGGGCAGATCCTTCGTCTTGGAAGAGCTGTGAATGGGTGTGATGGAATGATTTTCCTATTTGAATATGCCGGACAATCATGATAAGTCGCTAATCCCGATCCTGTGTGGAACTAAGGTTGATAGTACGTACGGCACAGAGCTCAACTCTAGCACGAGCCACAGGAACGCTGCAACCAATGGCCAGGGTTAGACGGCTGCGGCTTGATTACAATGGGCATGGCGCCCTGCCAAGGTCCCCGTGCCACATGGGGTCGACGGGGGATCCTGCTTATTGCCACTATGGTCATGAGCTGGAATATTTGCTCTGGCGATAATCTCGGTCAACGCGTAGAGTGTGAGCCTCTCTCAAAGATGTGCACATATTTTGGAACGTAAATAAATCATTGAGACACTGCCGCAGCATGTGCCACGAAGAAGTGGAAGAATACCTGAGGGTGTGGCACGAGGCTGGACCGAGCGCTGTGACTCAATAACGGGGATAAGAAGAGCCAATCATACTCATAGCCCGTGAAATACAGGGGGTTTTAAGGATGAGCAAACGAGGCTAGTGAAGGCTTTTTGACGGCCTGTAAGGCTGAGGCTTTGGACTGAGCCAGGCAGGGAACTCAATCCAGCCCAGAAAGGAATTATGACCCGGCCCCCAACTTCATCCTGAACAATATCTAGTACGAGTTGCGATCCTAGGAGCAATAACTACAGGCGTGAGTTCATTTACTCATACCGGACGCTGACCCAGCATCATCCTGCCTAACAACGCCGCACACTGAGTTCTCATGACGTTGGGAGCTCTCCTTACATGGGTCACCGCCAGCAGGCAGATGGATGCAAGCACAATATATATTGAAAGGATGATCCAGAGCCATTGATCAATACAAGCAGAAGACAGCACATCCAGAACACATTATAACAGGGCATCTGATCTGAAAGACGCAACACCAACCAAAAAAACAATCAGAATTGACACCAGCCTTTTATTCCAAGATGCCTCTTCCACCGCTCAAAAAGAGACCTCGACCAAAGTATACCTCCGGGCAGACTTCAGGGTCAGGCTCGGGTTCTCATCAGTCATCCTCGGCTACCCAATCGTCTTCCAACGACGGCAACACTCAATCGCAGACAAATACACCCTCCTCGGCGTATTTCTCTTCAGCTCCTTGGAACGACTCTGAAAAGAACGGTTCATAGATGTTGAACTCTCTTTCGAAGGAATGGTGCGCTGGAATAGTTATCCGAATACACAGCGGATGTTGGTAGCAAAGATAGACTTGAAGGCTGGCAGGCCGAGGAAGAGGGGAGATTTAGGACTCTGTCAACTAAATTCTCGTTCTCTTTTGTGTTTCCAAGTTTTCTTTCAGGTTCTTCTTACATTATGGGCGCATAGCCGCTTCACATAGATTAGTTTTCCCGAATAGGGAGTTCTATGATAACGATTTTATGGAGGAAATATTCCACGGTTCTTTTCACAGGCATTCAATTCACATATCTTGTCTTTACCTAAATTGTTAGAATAAAAACGATTACCCAATACAAGCAGAGGCTTTCTCTATAATTTCAGATTTCTGCCTGCCATTTGAGAGCAATTACCACAGGACCTCTTTCGTCCGAAGTATGCACCTTCACGTGATGCTGACTGGCTCGATTTTCTCGCAGCCTTGTATACGCAGCAGCGTCCAGTCATTCGCCTGATAGAGAGTTCTAATTTTATATCAACAAGTACACCCATGAGGGCCCACATGAGTCAGACTAATTCACTGTCAGATGGTCAATTGAGATAGCCATTGATTACTCGAGAACAATTGCCAGGTTCAACTTTCTTTATGAGATGTCTCCGACAATATTTTCAACAGCACTAATGTGAAAGGTACTAGGTGGTACTAAATCAGATAATTGTAATGGCATGGGCAAGGAACAAAAGGAGACGAGTTAATTGTATTTGCCAGTTCAAGTTGTAGAGGCTTACCATGGCGATATTTTGTGATATTTATGAGTGGACGACGCAATATAGAAGGAAAAGGCAGAGACAAACACAAAAGATCTCCAGGCGAAGGTGAAGTCCCTACGTACGGGCGATGCCGAGGAATTCATGCATGAGTATCCTCGTTGGTCAGCACCCCTTGGGTGCCTCTATTGCTGTTGCCTTTACGCGGTACTTTCGTTTTCACGCCCCATAAGCGGAACTGACACAGCCCCTGGAACCTCTACTTGGTCCAGATCCCGCTGCGCCATAATCATAATCAAATGATATCCTGACACTCCCCATTGCCTGTGCTGTCGCTTAACTATGATTTGAAACCATTCAAGGCCTAGCTCTCTTGTCTCAGCCTTGTGCCTGACACCGTTTTCTATTAATTGCAGCACATCTAATTTAGGCATCGGACCATTTCAAGTGGCTAACTGCTGCCTCTGTAATGTACATGTTTCGCACGCGCAGATCTATTTGGGAGATCTGCTAGGCACAGCACGAACCTTGAGTCATTTTAGGTGGTCCCAACATCGACAGAAGAGCGAAAGGAAGCATTTCTCAGCTACACGGGTATGTAGCCTGCTTTCAACGAAACATCTTGCGAGTTAGCTTGCACTGAGACTATCACCCGACGGGGTCCTCGGGTGTCGGCTGAACGGGGGCGTCAAACACCTCTCCAGGGAGCTCAACCATGGGATTCAGATATGTGGGAGCCGCTACAGAATTTCCTCAGAGCCTGTAACGCATTCATATGAGCTGCGTGGGTAAAAGGGGCTGAGGACATGGTCTATTTCTTTCCTATTGCCACCTAGACTGTCTGCAACGACTTAACCCGTGCCTCTTTGTCGTGATACTCCACATCGATGAATTGACTTGACTTATGCCCGGTCTGAGTATGGAAGGCGCCTCTTCTTCTCCAAGGTCTCCTGCAAAAAGGTTCGAAATGAGGTTGGCACAAAGTCGGGGTACAGCTCCGTGGAGGAGACATATCCCAGGCGCTTAATGCCGTCTGGACTGTTATCACAGTCGATGAAAGAAGAGTAGTAGTATTCGAGCCAGGCTTTGCCGACGAAGAGTAAGTAGTCTCCTGGACTTTCTGCGAGCTTTGCCTCCAGGCCAGCAATCATACCTCTAAGTCCTTCAGCTGATACCTGCTTGGAAACGGCAATGAGCTTTTGATGGATTATGTAGGTGATGATAGAGATCAGTATAATGGTATATAAACATACCTTTTTGGGTTCAGGCTTTTCACCTATTAGCTCTTCAGCGATGTGAAACATATCATTGAATGAGAGGGCGGTGCCTGAGGCCATCACTCGCTTGTTAATAGTTCTCGGGTCAGTAATAATCTGAGCGACTAGATCACCGATATCCTCATTATCAATCACATAGGTCTTTACGCTGCCATCACCAGGTACAAGATTCCTGATAAAATCCGGCAGAGCAATAGCAAAGTCTGTGCATCCTGATGGAACTTGAGGGATGAAGCCATTATACCACCATCCAACATCGATAATGGTATAAGGAATGCCAGAGGCCATGAGCTCAGCATAGATTCGTTCTTTCTAAAATTAAGAAATATTAATACCAGGACAGAGGATAAGAAGATTAAAGGGGAAAAGAACATGTATCGTTGAGTATATAATACCTCTATTTGCACGCCACAAATACCGGAAGGTGCAATAGCCATGGCGAAGGCGCTGGGAACAAAACGCTTGATTTTGGCAAGCTTCGCAGCGCGAATAAGAGGAAGCTGGGAATCCAGCGCATTAGGAGGCACCGAGGCAATGACAATATCCTGCCCCTCTAGAGCTTCAACAATCTGAATATCTGGCCCGTCGAGGTCGACTGTGACGATTCTGATGCCTTTCGTGGCGAGCTTAACGTAAGAAGGCTTAGACGCAGACGATGGTCGCGCCAAGGCGGTGATCTCCTAGATAATTTGTTTGAAACATCAGCGTTCACATGTCTCGTTCCGGTTGGACCTCGAAGACCGTGCAAAGCACACACAAACTTGGGCTCCTTGGAAGCGAGTAGTCCGTGCAGGATTAAACCAGCATTTTCACCGGCAGCGCCGAGGACGGCGACCTTGATTGTTTCGACCGGCATTGTGATATGATTGATATGAGCCCGTTAGGTTTAGACGCCTATGCTGAGGCGAGAAGGCTACAACAAGTAGTTAATGGTTAATGTGGGAGGTTTACTACGGCTGGCGACATGGATATATATCTCAAGACCTCGGGACTTCAAGGAGCCCGAAGCCCGACGCACTATAGCAAGCTTGCCGACAAGTCCCCAGTAAACCGATGTGACATAGTAGATGACAAACTTGGCGGCCTCTTGCCCTCCCTTGGCACATTGGTGCGGCTAAACCTTTCTGGTGAGGTGAAAACCCGTAAGAGTGCAATAATCATTCGAGATACCTTCAACTCGATATCCTCTACGTACTGTGCCGCGCACGCCGTATTGCTGCACATCATAAACTGCGAAATCCCGCTCCGTAGCCATGGAACCTCCAGTTGGCTGACTGTAGTGTCTCGTCTATTCATAATGCCCCCAAGGATACGGCCCAACTTAAACAAGCACGGATGTACATGAACAACGTGTCGCTGTATTATTCTTAAATATCATTATGAAGAATGTGATTACAACGAAGCTCCCGGCTACGGCACAGTCAAGTCACAAGCCACGGCTGACGTCCTTGAGATGGTGTTGGCCTCTAAGCTCAGTATCTCAGTCATGGCCAGCCAAGATTTGGGCGCTTAGTATAATCCGTTGGCGCGCACTATCCGAATACCCTCTGCATCCAGTGTTCCCTGAAAAGGTCAGCTCCCGGTGACTTGATCAGGGGTTTGATCCTATTTCCTTTGCTTGGGTTCAGCCATCCCATATCATCCCCAAGAATGTTATCCGTGGCCTCCGAGCCGACTCGCGTCAGAGTAGAGCCATCATCAGCAATTTTCCTGTTTCGTTTATCTACGATATGCATGCCCCTGGTCCATTCACCCGTCGTTTCAACACGCAAATCCTCGGGCTTTATCGTAGTCTCCCACCCACCTTGGTCTCGAGTCATGGCGTGCCAGATGGTGAGGGGATCGTGCAAGGCTAACTCAGGCTCCTTATCGTTTGCCTGCAGCGACGCGATTTGATCAAACGTGGCCATGATGAAAGACGAGGCCCACAATGCTAGAGGGCTACCAGCCTCAACATGAGGCTTGATCTGCTGCTCAAAGTACGACTTAGTCATCACATACGACAGTATAATATCAAGAGGTGCCAGTGTCAACTCCAACCTACGCGGAAGGTTGAGCGGATAACTGGGAAGGTTTGATGACCGGATGTGTAAAGATGACATGGTTGAGCTCGGGCTGGGAAAGGCAACAGGCTCGGCATAACAGTTGAACTCGGCCACCGGTGTCACGTTGCCCTCGCAATGCACGGCGCCGCCCATAACCACAACTTCCCTGACTCGAATAAACGTTTCGGGGTCCTCAGCCGCAGCAAGTGCGACATTAGTTAATGGGCCTATAGCGACAATAGTGATGGAATCTTCCGGGTTCTCTCTCAAGAGACGGAGCATTTCACGGTGTGTGGGAAGCTTCGAAGGGGTAAAACGGGCCGTCGCGCCTATCGACTCAACGGCTCCGTCCCTAGCATCCTCAAAGAGTTTCATCCAATCATTGGCAGGACTGAAATGCGGGTATGGACTGCAACGGCCAAGACCCAGAGCGGCTAATGTTAGTGTTGGGTTAGATTCAGCGGAAAGAGACTACGATCACAGTAAATTCTGGGTTTTGTTCCTGGAAGTCCCTGAATGACACCCGGGTCGTGTGAGTACCATGGCCAAAGGTGTCCTACAACGTCGCTTGCATGCCCCTACAGGGGAAAGACGCAGCTTGTGGCGAGTTTGCCACCCATTTTCATTTTCTCTTACTCTATGAGCACTCGTACCTAGAACTAAATTCCCACGGGCGGTCCGTTGCCAGGCGACAGTCGCGCAGGAGAACCAAAAATTAACGCCCTGGTCTCGAAGTTCGACGCTGCTAGTACATTCTAGGCTCTAAGGTTTATAACTAAAATCTATCCCTTGCTCAGTAATAAAAAGATATAAGCACGCTGCAGCAGCGGATAGAGAGGTCGGGCTCGTAGCAATCGCTCGTCGAGTCGGAGGACAGGTGGTTCAGGGCGGCAGCAATCGCTCGTCGCTGTAGCGACAGGCTGTTCAGGGATAGTTAAGTGCTGTAGTAACCACTCGTGGCGCTGGAAGATAATGTATATAGGTTGTTCCGGGCTACAGCGGCCATAATAAGCAGTCAATATATCTCCCTGTCCGTTGCAGCCCCTGAAAAACCTGTCCGCTGCGGCCCCGACCTCTCTGTCTTCCGACGCGACGAGTGATTGCTACAGCGTGCTTATATCTTTATCACCGAGCAAGGGATAGATTTTAGTTGCAAACTAGAGCCCAGAATGTACTAACAGCGTCGAACTTCGAGACCAGAGCGTCGATTTTTGGGTTCTCGACGAACTACTGAAACCCTATGCCTAATTGATCCCTCGGTCTTACAATGGCAAGAGTGACTGACTCTGGAGGGCCGAAGCCGCTCACTTGATGTCGCTTTGCATCGGTCTCCGCGCTTATGCGGGTCCGTCAGACGTACCTTCTGACCAGGTGAAGAGCCGGCATTTGTCATTATCAACCTCCTACAAGAGGGCAAGGGCTGGGCATTTGGGGCTGTATTGCTATCCACACTCTACCTGACGAATGCACGACAAATCTTGCGTCTTCAACACACTCTTCGACTCCTTCCTCTACTCGTTCGTCATGGGCGCCGACAACATGAAGACCATTGGCATCTTGGGCGGCATGTCGGCGAGCTCGACGCAAATCTACTACCGCCAGCTGTGCAACCTCACACGGGAGCGCCTCGGCGGGCTCCATTCCCCCGAACTCCTCATCCGCTCCGTCGACTTTGCCCGGATCGAGGACCTGCAGCAGAAGGGCCAGTGGGACCAGGCCGGTGCTATACTCAACAAGGAGGCCAAGGCCCTCGAGCGCGGCGGCGCCCACCTCCTCATCCTCGCGACCAACACCATGCACAAACTCGCCGAGCAGATGATGGCCGACGTCTCCATCCCCATGCTCCATATTGCCGACGCCACCGCCGCCAGCATCAGGAGCCGGGGGCTCAGGTCGCCGGGTCTGATGGCGACGGCCTTCACCATGGAGCAGTCGTTCTACGTCGACCGGCTCACCGCGGCCGGCCTCGACGCCATGGTCCCGGTCAAGGAGGACCGCGACGAGACGCACCGCATCATCTACGAGGAGCTATGCCGCGACATTGTCACTAAGGAGAGCGAGGCTGCGTATGTGGCCATTGCGAGGCGGATGGTCGAGAGGGGGGCCGACTGCCTGATTCTCGGCTGCACCGAGGTGTGCATGCTCCTGAACGGCAGCAATGTGTCGGTTCCAGTCTTTGATACTACGACGATACACTGCGAGGTGGCGTTGCAAAAGGCACTTGAGGGCTGATCTGACTGGGGAAGGCTATCAATATGTACATACAAAATAGGTGCTGTAGAAATACATTTCTCATTCATTCCTGCACATTAAGAACGAAATCACACGGATGATTGTAAGCCGACGTGGCAACTCTGAAGGGCCATCACAGCACGGCCACCAGTCTGGGCCGGCTCCTCCGGATCAGTCGATAAGCATAGCGAATCCAGCAACTGGAGGGAGACCGCTTGACCTAGACATTCTGAAACGCTCTGCGGGTATCCTCGGTCTAGGCCGGGGTCGGTGCCGCAAGTTCCTGGGTCATACAAGAGAGGCAAACCCGGTTGCCGCTCTCTTCGTGTCCTCGATGAGTCAAAACTAGTCGAGAATGTGTTCCTGGTCCAATAACATACCATCAGCGGTAAATCCTCGGATTCCAAGTGATATACTCATGGGAGTAACTCTGTAAAAGAATTTCCTCTTGATCCAGTGTGGGAGAAGCCTTGCGGATCTCGGTGATGACCCCTGACAAGCGTAAAGTCTTAGCTAGCATGGACAACTACTATCGTATCCGATTGAGCGAGAATTATTCATATGACTAGCAATAAAATTATGAACTAGAGGTAAAAACAGAAATGAAAAGCCTATTGGCCCTATTGTTGAAATAGGGCCGGCCGTACAGGTCGAACTTCAAACCTGCAGTCATCCTAGAATAGAGTCACGACAAGCTTTTCCAACTGGGCAACGACATCTCCAATAAGATCTTTGATGCAGTTTTCTGCCTTGTCTATCAACATCTTCCAAGTCTCTCTATCAGCCGGAAAAAACTTCTTCAAAAAGGCCACCGCACAAATAGTGGCTAAGATGTCCTTTTTTACATGCTTCATCACAGAAATAGGAGGCTTCTTCTTTAGGACGTCCTTAGTAGTAAATCCTAGAACTTTTTCAAGCCTAGCACCCTATAGCCAGGTGCAGTCAAACGTCTGAAGAGATATAGGGGTCTGGATTTTGCTAGAAGAATCAGAGCTCTCAGTAGTGGTTGTCGTCGTTCTTCTAGCCCTCCTCCTCGCAGGTCACTCCGCTTCATCAGGAGATTATCTCTTCACTAACGGGGCATCCGCTCCGCTGCCAGCCAATTCCTAAAAGTTTAAGGTATTTCTGAGCCAGCAATGATATTAGCGATCATACCATTCTCTCCGACTTCTATATCTTATTAAGGGGGGGTTAGAAAATCAATAGCATTACTATATTAATTCTTTAATATATAAGTGGGAGGAGGGACTATAAGATAATATATATAGCTATATACACCCTCAATCGAGACGCCGGCTGTGTATAGGTTGGAGAAGGACCATAACCTACCACCCCGAGATAATCTAAACATAGCTTTATGATTAAATCGAGCCTTCCCCTCATGATCTCTCCTAGCCACTAGCATAGTTGAAAGAACTACTCACATCATACGCTTTCCCTAGAGGGATGATTTAAGGTAATAAGATAGTTAGATTTATAATTATCTAATGCCTGTAAGCTATTTTCCTAGTAAACTGCCTTAGTAGCCCAGACAATTTATTTTGTTAAAGTTATGTTCATTTGCAGTTATTAGACACTCTAGTAGCACTCGGCAGCCTAACTATCAAGCTGTCTATAAACGCATATTAACTAAAGCATTAACTAAGTACGTGATTAATAGGAGCTGCCCAATTGAGAAAATCGAGGGCTCCCTTAGCCAGTTCTTTATGTTGTTTGCTGTTTCTTATAATAGAGACGCCCGGAGTTCAGAGGAATTTGAGACTTCTCATTTGTTCAATATACGAACTTCAGATCCGCCTCAGCAGGCTTGTTAAATGCCAAGGGTGCAAGCTGTATATATCAATAAATGTATATAATGTGTGATACATTGGAAAAGAAGAGGGCGTTGTTTAACTAAATGAGAACTATTACAAAATATGTTTACCCGAGACCAAGCGGTGTCAATTTGTTATAGTCAATCTGCTTAGAAGTTCCTTGGCTTCAGTATCCTTTCCTTGGCTCTCCAGTACAGATGCAAGACTATCCACACTAATTAAAGTACTAGGATGTTGCGGCCCAAGCGATTCGGAGCGTAGGTCCAAAGTGCTTCGTAGTACTCTTTCCGCCTCATCGTACTTTTCCTGACCACGGAGAGCAGAGCCAAGGCCATCCATACTCGCGAGCGTGTGCGGATGTTGGGGGCCAAGGATGTCCTTACGCAGGTCAAAAGCTTGGGTGTGCATCTCCTCAGCATGAAAGTATCTCTCTTGGTTGTGCAGCGTGGTGGCAAGACTATGCATGCTAATCAAGGTATGAGGGTGCCGAGGGCCAAGGGTTTCTTTTCGAAGCTCGAGTGTCTCTCGATGAATAGGCTCAGCCTGGACATCCTTTCCCTGTTTATTCATAATAGCTGCGTGGTTGCTCATGCTACTAAGAGTATTGGGATGTCGCGGCCCAAATATTGTTTTACAGAGTCCAACTGCTTGCTTGAACACGTCTTCAGCTGGGTCATATTTCTTCATGCTGTTGAGGACTATTCCAAAGTTATTCAAACTAGTCAGTGTACCGCTGTGCTCTGGGCCAAGAACTTTAATACGTAGATCGAGGGTTTTGCGAAATAGGTCCTCTGCTTCTTCATATTCTCCTAAGCCATTCAGAATTATGGCGAGGTTGTTTGTGCTACTGAGGGTATCGGGATGCTCTGGGCCGAAGACATCTGTGCATACTTGGACTGTTTTCCGAATAATTTCTGCAGCTTCTTTATATTTCCCTTGGCATTCTAGCGTGGATGCCAGGTTATTCATACTGGTCAGAGTGCTCGGGTGCTGTGGTCCAAGGATCTTCATGCGTGCGTCCAGTGTTTGCCGATGTATCTCCTCAGCTTCTTGACACTTGCCCTGAATGTCTAATATCGATGCGAAATTATTCAAACTGTTCAGAGTCGCCGGATCCTGCAGTCCCAGAATCTTCTTGCGTAGATCAAGCGCCTCACGGTACATCGGCTCAGCCCCCTTGTAATTGCCAAGATTGTCGTCGCTTCTTGCGACAAGGGTCATGAGATGTGCCACGGAGGGCGCATCCCTGTATCCTCTTTGACTCCGGAAACTTAAGGCGCGCCGGGCATGCGGAAGATAGCACAGCCAGAGCCCCTTGTTCTCGTGTTCTGGGGGGTCCGGATATATCTTTCCTAGCCTCTGTAGGACGTCCATGATATTCACCTCTACGTCCGTCTTGCCTGCTATCCAATTTCTCATGGCTAGTCCAACAAGTCTATGCATATCGTATGAGTCCCCGCTCGCTCGCTCGACGATGAAGGTGTAGGCTTTCAGAGTACCGATAGCCTCTTCCATATCCAGCTCATCATCGGCAGGAGGCAGGATATCTTTTGGTATCTCCCTCTCGGAGAGGAAACTCACGAAACCTAGATATTCTGCGGCTAACTTTTTGTCCCGGGATATTTGTCGGAATGATACTAGCCACGTAGTAGCAATAGGATTCAGGCTCGTCTTGTATCGTCCCCTATCGTTGAAGTCTTTGCTCAGAAGCTTGATCAACCGCGCCTCACTAGACTGGCAGTGCTGAACATATTGGGAGGCTGATATTCTTGTCTGAGCCATATATGCGGCAGCTTGCCTGATGGCTAGAGGTAAGTCCATCAGGATGTCAAGCAAGTCTGACGTACTGGCTGGGTCTTGCATCTGGTTCTCTTTTAAGTATTGTTGGAGCAATTTTGTTGCCTCATGCCTACTCATCTCCGCTACACTCAAAACCCCATCGAGAGGCACATCCAATTTTATGGCCGTCTCATGATTGCGAGTAGTGAACAGTATAGATCCACGTCGGTTGGATGGTAGATATTCAAAAAGTCCTCCCTCTTCGAAGAGCAGCTGAGAGTCGTCGGCATTGTCAATGATTACAAGCCAACTACCTTCTTCACGGTCCAGGGCGGCTTTGACCAGTAGTTTTACATCTGCACCTTTCTCGTCGACTCCTTGAACATTGAGTTTTTGTCCGATGCCCTGGTATGCCTGCTCAAAGCTCATGCGATTGATGGCTGGCACCCAAAAGATAGAGCAATCCGGGCACGTATCACGCACCTGATAGGCAATCTCGAGTGCAAGTTGGGTTTTGCCGATACCATCAAGTCCCTCAATGACAGTATACTGGCAGGTATCCGGGCTTGATGCGGGAGGCACGCGTGCAAGGAGTTGAGTTAAGATTGAGACTCGTCCAACGAAGCTTAAATTTCTATCCAAGGGAACTAAGAAGTGGCATTCTAGAAGGGCGAGTAACCAGATCAATTAACACCTAGTGTATCTCTATGCGTTTGTGATTGTTTCACGCACCTCTAATCTTCTTAGGCAGAATTGTGTGCAAAAGTCCTTTGGCATACGCAGCAGCCATTGCCGACGCATAGGGCTGCCAGTCTTTGTTATTGTGATGGTCGCCGTAGGCACACACACCGCGGATCACCCCCGCAGGTATCGTATTCATCGTCCCTGCTGCCTCCATTTCCAATCCAATGATACCGTACTTGTCGCGGAGCGTATCTCTTTTCGCTGCATCCCTCATGAGCTTGTCCCCAGACCCGATAGGGCCATACCACACCCGTGTTCTCTTCGGTTCAAGGCGAGAGGATCGGGCTACAGTCTCCTCGCCGTCATAGAGGACATCTTTGTCTTGTCCAGGATCGATAAACGTGCCGAGGGGGGGCTCCGCATCCTTCATTCCCTGATAGTATGGCAAGAAGAGATCTGTGTCCTTGGGCGATTTGCGCTTTATCTTTCCAATAGCTGAGCGAATGACCGTCTCCGTTTTCGCTAATCCATGTCCGCCATCTAAGAGTTGGATCCCAGCCTCTCCAACCTCCTTCCCCAAGTCATATGCAACGAGTCCAGCACTGTCGCCGCTCGGCAGAGCAACAAGAACATCACCAAGCCGAATATCTTGCGGCGGGGATCGGGAATGGTCTGGCAGACCCGCAGCGACGCCAACGAGGAGACCGAACCAGAGGTTAGGAAAGAACATCTTGACTTGGCCAGCAAGAGCGCCCGCTGATCCGGTTCCGTATGGTTGTCCAGGGGGCAGGGTGGCGAGCACAACATGATGCCCGCAGACGATACCCGCGTCGAACACATAATCAGTGCCTCTCGCCAGAGGAAAGTCTCCCTCGTGGATTTCGTCGAAGAGGCAAAGAGCAGCACGAGCCTCGATTTCTAGTGGGGCAATCCATGCAACGGTGTACAGTGAAGGATCAAGAACAGTCATCGTGAATATGATAATCAGGCTTTGTGTGATGCTTTTTGGATGAAAGAAGAGAGAGTGAGAGATGAAGAACGGTGCGAGCGAACAATACTAGTCAGCGGCCTAGTTTTGGTGCATTGCCCCCCTTATGAGGCAGATTTGCGAATTTGGCGCCTAATTTGTGAAACCAATGAGGCTGGCTTTCATATACGCGCTTATAGCTGTTACATCGCATATACGCGTGACCAAACATTGGGCTCGAGATAAGCACTAGCCCCATGTAGATATATTAGCTGTTTTTGCTTTTCTTTCCTCTACTTACAGCGACCTTATAGTGCCAAGGATCCAAGGGTAAAGTTAACCTGCCGCGTGTTTCCAAATGGAAATATTGGAGGCTTTTTCAGCTCGGTGGATACTTTCAACAGCGATTACATAGTTTAAACCAATAGCATACATAGCATAGAACAGGCTCAATATCGCGCGGGGGGCGTAGTCGATATAATATAAATTAAAGATTCACTAGAACTAAGCACAGAAAGTCTTAGCTAGTAACTCTAGAGAGCATAATCCTCAACCGCCTTATAGAAAGGGCACCTAATTTCGCTGATATATTAAGACTCTTAAATTATAGTTAAAGTAGCTTAAGAGACGCGGGAATTTAAACATTAAAGGTTAAATCTATTAAGAGAAAGAGCTTCCTATAGCTATACAGACTTAATACTAGGCTTAAGCTATATTTACTTTTCTTCCTATTTTCCTTAACTTACTTAACTATAAGCTAGTTACTTCATATAATTCCTTAGTAGAGTTTACTTACTATATAATTAAAGCTTATAAGCTACCTTTTTCTATAAAAATATATAGATTTAGGACTCTCCAAGTTGTTGCCTAACACTTTGTCAGTCGTGATCATTCTGTCTCTTGGTTTGCAAGATGCTTTGAGGCTAACCTTGTCCAAGCGTTGGCGTTTCCGCTTTTCCATTCATTTGGCACTTACTCGACGCCAAATTCAAGCTTGGCCCGCCCTCGTCCCGGTGCTATAGGGCTCTGAAGGCTTACGATAGAATCATGGAGGGCTTCCAATGCCTGTGCGAGAGCGCCGACGAAATGCTCTCCGATATCGAGAAGATTGTTGATTACATCAAAGCTAACGAACCTCTCGAAACCACAAGCTGGAAGAACATGGCCAGCCCAGCCCCGAGAAGGATATTAGATGTGTCAGCATCTCGCCTTGGGAATGCGTAGATCGATGTATTCATCGACAAGCCACAAGTCTTCCTTCGAAACGCCATGACCGTGAGCTTTTCCCTCTCGCGAGGGCATTTTCCCTCCGAATCGGACTTCCCGAAGCCTTGCGTGTGATTCGAAGGGATGAGTATGAGACAAATTTGGGCCCTCTGTCACTCTTTACAGAGAGCCCATGGTGGAAGGGTTTTAAGGACGTGCTGGAAGAGAACTTGGGTGGGTAGGTTTTTTGTGGTCTGCCTGGCAAATTAGAAATGGATGGCAGCATATCGCGTGAAGGTGCAAATCAACGTTATTCACAAGCTGTCCTGGCTCTCTATTAATTACCTGCCTGCCTCACACTAGGTAGCAAGTTGTTCTTGACACTGGAAAAGAGACCTAAAGCGTTGAGCTATTTTGCAGACCCGTATCTAATACAGCAGCTTAAGCTGCTATAGCCGACTATCGTGCCCTAAAGTTTTACCGCATAGAGCCTGTCCACTCGCAGTGCATATAGCGGGTATGTAGGTCCTCTGTTTGGGGTTTCGTGGGGTCACGAGATTTTCCCCACGGGGAACCGCCCATTGTTAAACAGTGTCCATCCCTCCGTCATCCACGTAACTACCCCGTGCCATCTGTGTGCATTTTCAGGCTTTGCTGCGTCGTCCCGCCCATCTCCCAATTAATCCAGACCAGCAACTATGCAGGCCTGTGACCGTTGCCATTCCCGCAAGACACGATGCGACCGTCGCTTCCCACAATGCGGCTCCTGTGAGAAGGCCGGAGCTGCCTGTGTCCATGCAGACAAGCTACGGCAGCGCAACCCCCCTCGCGGTTATATTGACAGCTTGGAGACCTTGGTAAAAACCTTGAGGGCTGAGAACAAGGACCTCGAACACAGCCTGGCCCAGTCACAGGCGGAGCTCCATGTCCGCGACAACCTCGCGTTGGACCAAGTGTCTGGAGAGCCGGCTGCCAGCCCCTCCACCAGTTCTTGTTCCCAGCCCGCTCCTATCATCAGACCCAGCACGGGTCTGGAGGCCGCTTCTGAGACAAGATTTGGCCACAATCCCATCGCTGTTGAGGTCGGCTATTTGTCGCTTGTCGCCACGGGAGAGACGAGATATCTGGGTTCTAGCAGCGGACTTGGTCTCGCCAATATCATCAATACTGTCATCAGTTCACAGGGCGGAATGGACTTTGGACCTATGGGAAAGGAACCGTCGCCCCCTCAGGGCCTACGGAAGAAGACGTTCCCCGTCTCAACGTCAGACGCCGCCTTTCCACAGCTGGCAACTGCCATGCCCTTTATCGACGCTTACTTCCAACACACACACGTTGCGTTCCCGCTTCTGCACCGGCCGATCTTTTTAAAGAGCGTCAAGAGGATATACGAGGAGCCCGGATACTATGAACAAAAGACTTTCAACGCCTTCGTTTTCGACATGGTACTCGCCATCGGTAGTTCTTCCTCTAACCGCTTCTACGATTCCTCCGTGAGCTCGTCAACATATTTTGCCATGGCACAGTCCAAGGTCGCGACAGTCGTTAGCGTTCCAGGGCTCCAGGCACTAAAGGCCATCTTGTTGGTATCGCAACACGGCATCTTCAGCAATCTGCGGGACACTGCAGCAAGCATGTGGCATCTGGTGGGCATCGCGACTCGCATGTGCTTCGAGCTGGGAATACACCTGGAGCGCAATAAGCCTGGAACATCATCGCCTGGTCGTAGGATTGTCACTTACGAAGACGAGATGGCTAAGAGGTGCTTTTGGTGTCTGTATAATCTAGATAGGTAAGATCTGGATACTTGGACTCTTTTTTTTTGACACTTGGTTTTCATTATAAATAAGAAAGAGAGAGCTATGCTGACTCCTGAATTTGATAGGGTCGTCAGCTTTACGCTAGGTCGACCTGTCGCCATAAGAGATGATGAGATTGACGTCTCCTTACCCTCTCATCTTGACGATGATTGTTTCTGGCCAGACAAACCCTTCGAGCTGGTCAGCCCACGGGATGATGGGCTGTCCCCATTCCTGCATATTATTCGGATCAGGCGCATTTCCGGGGAGATACTCGGGACCTTCTACAACTCGAGGCGTCAATTGGACATTCCCCTCAAGCAAAAGCTCGGCATGAGACGCAAATTTCGTGACCAGATTAATGCATGGATGGCCGACACGTCGAAGCTCAACCTGATACCGATTTCTGGCGGGTCTGAACCCGTGTCGAGCTTTTTAACCCAGGAATGGTATTACGCGGTATACAACAACGCAGTCCTCCTTTTGTACCGGCCATCTCCATGCCTCCCACACCCCAGCGAGGAAAATGATTTGATGACGTTATTCTCTGCGACAAGGGCATCTATTGAATCCTAGAGCAAGCTACATCAGAGCAGGAGACTAAACTATTCATGGATCACACTTCACGGCATCTTTATTGCTGGCCTGGCTTACGTATACAGTCTCAGTGGCGTGGTTCGCGATCCCAAGATGCACCATGCACTCCCAGACGTCCTGAGCATCATCGAGGTCTGCCGACGGTGCTCCAACGTCCTCGTTGCCATATGCGAGCGGTGGGATGCTTCGCGCCGGTCGTGCGAGATATTCGACAAGGTCAGCACAGCCGTCATCCGGGACGTCTTGAACCTCGGGTCCAAGGGTGATTGGCGCCAGCAGCAGCAACAACAGCCGTTATCCTCCGCGCCACGTGAAGCCCCCTCTCAGCACTCTGCCGGACAGGCCCCGAACCGAGCTCGACAGACTGGGGTAGGGCGAGAACAGAGTATCCAGACCCCACCCCAGGAGGATCAAGCTAGTCGGCGCTTGGTAACGTCAATGACTCAGGTGGAGGAGACCCTTGCCATGGATGCTTCAATCACGTTCCCTGACGTGCTGGATTTTCCAAGTGAAAGCGAGCAGCTTTTCTGCGGGGAAGCTCTGGCTGGGTTTCCGGAGACCTGGCCGTTTGACTTTCCATTTGGCACTGATGGGGCTCTGGATAGTTCACGAGGGGATAGGGATAGGGAGGATTGGTTTGGGATATGAGCATGTACTTTTCACATACCTACTAGTACATTGTTGGTTAAAATGAAGAATATTGCATCATTGAACAATCCAACCAGATCAACTGACGGGTGACATGTGGTTGCTGCCTCTCTATGAGAGTGTGGGTAGATAGGCTGTAGCTGGGGTCTGCGGCCTTCACCGAGTTGCAATATTGGAATGTGCGGGGTGCGGGGTACAGGAGGTTCGGCATTCGCCGAACGCTTCGCCAGTCAAGAGTTTTTGTTGACTGGCTAAGGTGACATAGTAAAGGGTACCTTGAAGCGGCATGTATGCATAGATTGGTCAATGATTTTTCTAACGCCCCGGATAGGACTCAGAGCCACACAAACTACTTAAATACCCTCGAGCTTTCTAAAAATAAAGACTGGCTTGTTAATCAAGTCTGCGAGGGGAGACAACCTGGAAGCACACCTTTGACAATCCCATTCATCAATCGTTGCAGTAACAATTCGTGTTTGAGAAAGCCACTCTGCCCTCGACTAAAATGAATTCTCCTGTAAGAGAGAAACTCGATGCCAGCCATGTTGAAGATATGGACAAGCCATGCGGAAAGCAGAATGCCCTGGACGCTGAGAACCTCCCGTCTTACGATGACGATGAAACCAGAATGGTCCGGCGCAAAATCGACTGGCGTCTGATTCCCATGCTTACTTTGCTGTATCTGCTGGCATTTCTCGACCGCGGCAATATAGGCAACGCGAAAGTGGCTGGTATGAACAACGACCTCGGGCTTACCCCCACGCAGTACAACCTTGCTTTGACGGTAAGAGCTATTGAATTGATGTAAACGCAGTCTGTGGTCTAACGTGAAGGCAGGTCTTCTTTATACCGTATGCCCTTTTCGAAGTCCCAAGCAACGTGGTCCTGAAGCTGATGAGGCCTTGTCGGTGGATCGCATTTCTCGTCATCTCATGGGGAGCGGTGAGCTTGGTTTGTGAATTTCTACCGAAGAAACTACTGATATGAATCAAGGTCATGACCTGCCAGGGACTTGTACGGAACTTTGGCGGCCTCGTTACAACACGCGTCCTTCTGGGTGTGTTCGAGGCCGGATTCTTACCGGCTAGTACCTACCTGCTTGGTGAATGGTACTGCCGATTCGAGCTGCAGTGGCGTCTGTCCATGTTTTTCTCGGCTGCGTCCATGGCTGGAGCATTCTCCGGTCTGCTGTCATTTGCCGGTGTTGGTGGTCTGGAAGGGTGGCGATGGATTTTCATCCTGGAAGGCATCGTCACTGTCGTTGTTGGGGCGAGTATCCCTTGGACATTACCCGACTCGCCAGAATCGGCATCTTTTCTAACCCCCGAAGAAAAAAGATTTCATTAAGACTCGTCTCGAAAATGACTCAGGCACTTCGTCGGGGAGGGTACAGACTTCTGAATCCGAGTTATTCAAATGGGCATACCTTAACTCTGTCTTGCTCGATTGGAGGATTTGGTTTACTATCTTTAATATCTGGGGAAATACGTAAGTTTGAGTATCTCTGCCTCTTGGTTTGAGCTCTTGGCCATATTATCTTCAGCCCCGTCTGTTACTTGGACAACATGATAATGCTATCTTACAGCATCCCAGTGTATGGCTTCACTTTCACAGCGCCAACTATCATCCATGAGCTCGGGTACAGTGCGGAGCAAGCCCAGCTGCTCACCATCCCAATTTATGCCGTGGGTTTGGTTGCTACCCTCCTTGTGTCCTGGCTTGCGGACAGATACCACCGAAGATGGATATTCATCATGATTCCTTATACAGTGGCTCTGATTGCTGGAGTATACCCTCCTGCCATCACCTTGTTCGCGTGGCTTTCCAATAACCTCTCGCCGACATGGAAACGCCGCGCCACAGGCATGGCCCTGAGCATCATGCTCGGCAATATCGGCGGTGCCATCGGCTCCAATATTTACTTGGCACGAGAATCACCAGTGTACCGTACTGGTTTCAGTGTATCTCTCACATGCCTCGGGCGGCTATCATTGCAACGTTTGTGCTTAGAGGCGCATACGCAAGCGCAAATCGCAAGCGAGATGAAATGTCAGAGGATGAAATCCGAGCCAAGTACACAGAGCGTAAGTCGTGAACCGACTCCCAATACCGAATCTACTTTCTAACGTTACCCAAACCAGAGGAACTGTTGGACCTCGGAGATCGGTCCCCATTATACCGGTATGTCTTGTAAAGGTACATCTGCAAAGGGTTGCAGCTAGGGCTGGCGAGGGTCGGGGTTTTAGTTGAATTGAAGAAATGGACGGCTATCGAGTGTGCAATGACTTCACCTCAATTGGGAAATGCCGAATTTACTGTCGTCTGCCCGTCCATACGTGCCTCGTTGGGGCACATGCATGATCGATTTTATAGTTTGGCAACGCCGAATCCTATGAACATGAAGGGTCTGGTGGCATCTATATTGTGATAGGCTACTGGCATCTTCTGAAGTGCTATCTCCTATAAGTGTTTAATGTTATTGTAATTTGCGTTCGAAATGAGACTCGCTAACTACAACCGAGGAAAAGGCAGCTGCAACCAAGGGACGAACGTCAGACTAAGTGACAACTCAGCTCTTTGCCATCTCATTCCTTTCTCATTAGAATCTCCAAGGCTGGAAGAACACTACTGGTTTTGTTAAATTGTTGTAGTAAATGAATTTGGAGTTCCTCTGGGCCTCCTTGATTCGATATGAGGTGATGATGTCCCGGCTTAGAGGGGGAAATGCAATGCTGGCCATCCTCCCGGTTGACTGAGCGGAGAAGTTGTTCCGCGGCAAGCAAGTCAGACAAACTAGGGATGGTCCCGGCTGCGATGCTCGGTGGTGGGGCCGCCGCGATGACCTGCTAAGCAGGCACGGATCCGATTACTGCATTCGTGTATTGCTGGGGTTTGAATTGCCGTGGTTGAGGGTCGTCGGCCTGGGTCGGCCCCAGCCGGCTTACACCGCTGACTATGAGGCTAAGGAAAGCAACGGCATGCTGTTGTGATATCGGGCTTAAAAAAGACGCCACCTAGAATCATTAGAGTCTTAAATCTGTATCTGTGCGAACCTTCGAATGTTAACCCTTCCACTTATCATCCAATCTAAGATGGCTACCACCCAGAAGAAGCCCGTTTGGGAGCCACATGCCGTTGAGGAGACGAACGTCAGTCAATTCATTGATTTCATTAACAAGAAGCATGACTTAAAACTGCGGACGTACGAGGATCTTCATCGATGGTCAACGGCACCAGAGTCTCTGCAGGACTTTTGGCAAGATGCGTACAGCTGGCTTCGCCTTGCCCCTCCTGGAGCCCCGAAACCCGGCCCGATGCTTGCAAATAGGGTGAGTAGTCGCCCGAAAGCATCTAGCCAGAATGCTTGACAGTGCATGCATAATGCTGTCATCGAGCCTCTGCTGACTGGACCACTGTAGAGTACGGTTTTGGTAGACATGTTCCCGCCTCCGACATTCTTTCCCACTGAATCTCTGAACATTACAGAGATAATCCTGAGAGATCGTCAGGACGATAAGGTTGCTATTCACTTTGCCCGTGAGGGCACTTCGGACATTGAGAGCGTCACATGGAAATCATTCCGGGAACGTATCCGTCGATTACGGAGCGCCATGGTTCAGTCTGGAATCGTGGCTGGCGACGTCATTGCAAGCGTGATATCAAACTCGGTCGATGCCATGGCGATATGTCTGGCGGCTCTTTCGATTGGCGCAGTCTGGACGTCCTCTTCATGCGACCTGGGTTCGGCTGGCATCGTTGATCGCTACAAGCAAATAAGCCCAAAGCTGATATTTGCCGACAATGGTTATATCTATGCCGGGAAGACGATAAATCTTCAGGACCGCATTGCTGACTGGTCGCACAAGCTGGGCTACGATACGAGTAAGCTGACCAACGTAGTTGTTATCCATTACTGCGAATTCGAGACGGATCTCGCCAAGGTCTACCTCGGGTGCACCCTTCAGGCATTCTTGGAACGCGGCTCGGACGACGTGTTAAGCTTCAACATGGTTCCGTTCTCACATCCAGCATTTATCCTTTATTCTTCAGGGACGGCATGTTTCCCCCTCATCTGGTCTGACCAATGGCTGAATATCTATTTGGCTTATTGGCAAATGCTGTGGCTAACATCTCAATTCTAGACGGGGAGCCCTAAATGCATTGTTCATAGCACCGGAGTAAGTCCCACGAATCCGCTTAAGACCATGCAAACAACTAAATTGATGTCGACATTAGGGAGTGACTTTGAAGGTCAAAGTCGATATGTCGCTACAGCACGACGTGCGAAGGAGTGATGTCGTTTTCCAATACACAACGGTGCGCGTCTGACCCCAGTCCCGGAGTGACCATTTCAACTCATCTTATATTATAATAGACTTCCTGGGTCATGTGGATTTTGAATCTTCTCAATCTTTCATGCGCAGATTCCATGTTACTCTACGACGGATCCCCTTTCCATCCTCGTCCCTCGATACTTCTCGAACTAGCACAAGATATTGGGTATGAAGAATTCCTACTCTATTCTCATATGGAATACGTTCGGCCGCTAATATCATTGCAGAGTAGCAGTATTTGGTACCTCTCCCCGGTATCTCGCGGAACTGAAGAGTCGAGCCATCGTACCACGTATGTAGGCTGCAAACCGTGGCGCTTACCTGAAGGATTCTCACATTTTGCAGGTGAAACTTTTGATTTAAGTAAACTACGTGTCGTTACGTCCACCGGCTCCGTCCTCCCCGCCGATCTCTACGACTGGTTTTACAAAATAGGTTTCCCCACACGGACTCATCTGATATCCATGAGTGGTGGTACTGATATTGCGGGATGCTGTATGTTTCACTCTCGGATGACGCGTTGTTACCAACTAACACTTCCCCCATAACTAGTTGTTGGCGGCACCCCCCTCCTTCCTGTCTACGCTGGTGAGATCCAATGCAAGGTCCTTGGTATGGCTGTGGACGTCTTCGATGCCACGCGGACCGAGCCTCTGTCCGTGGAGGGTTTGGATGAACCGGGTGAGCTAGTCTGCACTAAACCCTTTCCCAGTCAGCCTCTTGCATTTGTTGGTGAGAAGGGCCAAGAGAGGTACGAGGCTTCCTATTTTGAGAGGTTTGGACGAGCCATTTGGTGCCAGGGTGATTTCATAAAACGCATTCCGGATACCAGGGGGTTGGTTATACTCGGACGCTCGTAAGAACCCTCCCCACGCTCAGATCAACTCCAACTTAGTCATTGTGGGCAATTTTCTAACATTAAATGACCAAGTGACGGCGTTCTCAACCCTTCTGGAGTTCGGTTCGGATCCGCCGAGATCTATGCTGTAACCGACACCTTCCCCGGCTTGGCGGATAGCATCTGCGTGGGACAGAAGCGCGACATCGATGCTGATGAGCGTGTATTGCTGTTTGTCAAGATGCGACCAGATTCGGCATTTAACCCACAGCTTGTTCGGGGTATTCGAACTGCCATCCGAGAACGATACTCCCCGCGCCACGTGCCGAAATTCATCTTCGAAGTCGCCGACATCCCTTACACTGTCAACGGCAAGAAGTGCGAGATCAACGTTAAGCACATAGTCAATGGCCGAAAAGCTGCTGTAAGCGGTACAGTGGCTAACCCAAGCGCACTGAAGTTGTATGAAAGATATCAAGACCTTCCAGCTGAGGGACCCACATCGTGTTCAAGGGACGCGAAGCTGTAATTCATGAAAGCACAGGGGGTTTGGACACAAAGCAGAAGATGTCTAGGCATTTCCAGTATTTCAGTTGGGTTTGGTGGTTTCCCCCTGAATCGAAGACCCTCTCCCACTTTGTCAATATAGCAAGCCGGGCGGGTTTCTATGATCTCTCAATCCATTACTTGTAGTATAACTCGGAACCAAAGTAACATAATCTACTCATTGTGTAGAGATGTCGGGTCTGGTATTTTTCAGTGCTGTTTTTATAACTCTATAGTTAAACTCTCTCACCCGTATGCTATGCGTCGGGTCGTTTATTATGTTGCGTAAAATTAGCTACAGCTATTTTTACAGCAGCAACTCAAATGATTCGAAGAGGCCGGAAAAGATTACAGTGTACACATGATGGCTATATTGCATGAATTTAGCCGGGGTCAACTTGCCTAAGACGCTAGGAGCCCTCGTCGCCTATTCTCATATCTGTCTCTTTGCCATTTGGGGCAATATCTTGAGCATAATTTACTATATAACTGGACCGTGATCTCCTAGGCACGGGAATTGCCAGCTACTATCTTTGTGTGATAAGAACTAGTTATGCAGCCATGTTGATAAGAACCGTCTTCGGCGCAACGCGTACTCCCCGAACTCTCGTCCAATGCTGCTCTGCTTCTTCCCACCAAAAGGCGCTTGCAGGCTTTGTAGACTGACGCAGTTGATACCGACCACGCCAGACTCCAGCGCTGAAGAAACTCGTAGAGCTCTGGTGATTTCTCGCGTAAATACACCGGACATTAAACCAAATTCTGTTTCGTTTGCCATTTTCAAAACCTCTTCTTCCTTGTCGAATCTCTTGATAACACTGACGGGGCCAAATACCTCGTTGCGGTAAATTTCGGCATCCTCCTTCGGGTTCACAAATACTGTTGGTTCCATATAACATCCATGGTTGCCACATTGGCCACCTCCAATCACCAGCTCAGCCTCAGATTTTGCTCGATCCACCATCGATTTCACCCGTTCAAGATGTGATTCATCCACCATGGGTCCAAACTTAGTATCCGGATCTTGAAGATCTCCCAACTCACTCGCCGCTGCTTGCATCTTTGCCGCGTATTCTTTGATGAATTGGTCGGCAATACTCTTTTGGGCATACACCCTCGAGGCTGCTACACAGAGCTGGCCACTTCGTGTCAAAATGTCGTTGACCGTCCACGTGAGCGCAGTTTCGAGATTGGCATCCCCAAACACAACGGCCGCCCCCCCCCCCCCAAACTCGAGCGTGACTCGCTTCAAGGTTACTCTAAGCGGCGGCTATCTGAATCTTCTTTCCTGTTACTACTGAGCCAGTGAAGCCGATTTTGCGTATCCTCATGTGCTCTGCAAGTAGAGCGCCAGTTGATCCTGACCCTGTAATTAGTTGGATAACGCCGGGAGGGAAACCAGCCTTGTCGAAGAGAGGTGCGATGGCCAGGGAGCCTAGCGGAGTTTTCTCACTTGGCTTCAAAATCATTACATTTCCTGTGGCAAGAGCCGGCGCGGCCTTGAGGAAGAAGGTTGCCAAGGGTGCGTTAAAAGGATTGATAGCGGCTGTAACACCAAGTGGCTCATGCCGGACGAGTTTTACGAACCCTGGGATAACTCTTTGTTAGTTAAGAAGAAGGAAGTGAATTGGTCAATCAAGACGTACCATCATCCGCGGGGTAATAATCTCCTTTCTGTTTGTCCGTCCAACCAGCGTAATATAAAACACAGTTTCTCATATAATTGCGCTCACGAACCGGAGCGAGAGAGACCGGGACCCTGGATGTCAGAGAGTCTAGTGTCAGAATGGGCTCAAGCTCTTCATCTAGTAATGACGCCAATTTAAGCAGACACTCGGTTCTCTGGACGGCAGTGAATCGACTCCATGGCCCGTGAAATGCCGCCTCTGCGTACTGGACGGCCGCATCAACATCTGCCGGTCCCGCGATCGGGACCTGAGTAGTAACGATAGTATTATCCTTGGGGTTTTTCAAGCTGTATGCTTCTTGGCTTTGTGCAGGAGCGTATTCCCCATTTAGATACAGCTTCGTGTAGTTATTCGGATCCAAGATTTTAGCAACCATCCTGGCGTTTCGTAATAGAATTCTCTACTTAGACAGATCAGCTGGATGAATCAAACCCTTGGTGTAGAAGCTTGACCAGCGGATGCTCGAGTCGATGTGCGTTTCCTAGTGGGCATCGTTTTCTGTATCCCGGCATATGCCTAACTCCTTCGGAGCGGCCCCGACACCGAATCGCCGCCCCCCAAACCCACATGATTGCATTAAATCATATGTGTTTATCACAAGACCATCATGTAACTTAGAATGATTCCAGCAGCTCCATATCTCACTCAAACTTCGCGCTTACTGTTCAGTCTATAGTCATACCTCAAACCGCAGACTATTTGGTCAACATCAATGCCAGACTTCATGGATGTTTGGGCCCTCACTGAGTGGGACACCCCACTGCGAAAGATCCGCCAGCCCATTCCAACACCGAAGGGGACAGAAGTCCTGGTCAAGGTCACTCACGTTGGTGTTTGCCATTCAGACTTGCACTTCGCCGAAGGTTTCTATGACCTCGGGGGAGGCAAACTCTTCTACGTCAAGGACCGTGGCATTCAGTTACCTGTGGCCCTGGGACATGAAATACTGCGGCTTGGATGTGGTTCCTGTACGCGCTGCGGCCAAGAAGCAGATAACTTGTGCGCCGCCCAGAAAGGACTCGGCACAGTACAGAATGACGGCTTCGCTGAGTACGTAGTGGTACCACATCCCAAATACCTTGTCGACCTCGGCACGCTCGATCCAGCGGTGGCATGCACGTTTAGCTGCTCCGGTATCACAACACTTAGCGCAGTCGGCAAAGTTATGCCCATTCCACCGAGTGAGCCCGTCCTGTTAATCGGCGCTAGAGGGCTGGGACTCTCCGCAATATCAGTCTTGAGGACGCTTAGACACGAGGCCATTGTTGTTGCAGACATTAGCGACGACAAACTTACCGCGGCTGCAGCTGCTGGAGCCACCAAGACTGTCAATACCTCCGGTCCTTTTGCGTCCAGGGACATTCTCGCAGCTACAAACGGACCAGTCATTGCCGTGATTGATTTCGTCAACAATTCGAGCACGGCAAGCTTAGTCAATGGCTTGGTTGCCAAAGGTGCTAAATGGGTACAAGTTGGCGTAATGGGGGGTTCCATTGAGCTCTCACTCGTCGCGAATATCTTCAAGGGTCTCACGATCTATTCAAATATCACGGGGAATCTGGAGGGGTTGAGAAAGCTTGTGCAACTGGCCAACGAAGGGAAGCTTAGCCCTGTTCCCGTGCACAAGATGGCTTGGGATTCGGTGAATGAAGCGATGGAACTGCTCCAGTCGGGCAAGGTTTCCGGGCGGATTGTATTGGTGAAGTGACAACATGATTTGGAGGAGGTCAGAGAGTTCACGCAAAATGTCTGGCCTACCCTATATGCCGCTCATTTTCAGTGTGCCTCGGAATAGACCCAGATTAAAAGGCACGGCTTGTGCTTCATGGCACCATCTTTGCCTACTATTACATGTCGTCGTTCTTTTCATTCATTCGGGCACGCGAATGAGCTCATAATTCTTTAAATGCCCCAAACAACATCTGATGTTGCTGAACCGGTTGCTGAGAAGAATGTGTGACAACCAACCCAATCCACCGCAGTTCCCGCTGTCCGTTAAGCAAGACTCCACAAAACGAAAGTTCAAGCACGACTCCTATTAGAAACATTCAGCCAAGTGCCGATATTACCCTTGACGAGCTCTGATTGCAGTAGCAATGACGGTAAAAGTGTCTCCGACGGCTCCATTCACACTCGGCGAACACCAAAAGTCCACAGTGGATCTCGGCCGAGAGAAGCCCCACTTGAACTCTCGGCCTCCGGTCAAGAAATTGATCATCAACTCCCCTTGGGGAAGACCGATCCAACTTTCCGACCCTGCCGAGCCCAGAGAAAGGGCGGTTATGCATCGATGATACTCACTACGAACCATGATAAATCCCCCAGTTTCTGATGCTAACTTAACAGCCGTATATCAGTATTGATATACTTCAAGTATTCTACCATCTCCAAGACACCAGGCCGCATCTTATTGTTGCAAAAGCTTCGACTCCTAACTACATTCTGCTCTGAGTAGACACCCGTAGTCGTTTGGCTTCATCATGTCACCCAGACGCCCAATACGTATTGGAAACGTGGCCGGGGCCATGGAAGACTGCCCTCACGCAATGTATGTATCTTCTCGCTACATAAATCTTCTGCGGACGCAAGTCTACTGCCCTTTACTCTTGGTTGGCTTTTTGTGAAATGATAGAAACTGATAATCCTTTTCACGAAGGCATCGGATGATCTCTAGCGGCCCGCTGGATGCGATTGTTGGAGACTGGCTGTCCGAGCTGAACATTGCTTGGAATGCCATTCGAAAATACGACGACCCAACAAAGGGATACGAAGTGGGCTTCCTGGAGCAACTAGACGACTGTATCAATATTATTGCGGAGAAAAGGATCAAGCTCGTCAGCAATGCCGGCGCTCTCAACACCCCCCAATGTGCCCGGCTTGCCAAGGAGATATGCGACAGGCACGGGCAAAGCCAGATCAAAATCGCTTACATCGAGGGCGATGACATCTCAGAGGCCGTGGCCAACAAGAGTAAACGGGACGAGATGGGAACTATTCGCCACCTCGACCACCCGGAACAGACACTAGAAACCTGGGGCAAAGAGCCATTGTGCGGTCGAGTTACGGATGCTAGTCCAGTCATAGCATTGGCAGCGTGGTGGCATGAGTGGTCCCATGATGCTTGGGACCAGCTTGCTGGAGCACTGGTTGCAGGGCGTGAGTTTTACCAGCTGTTTTCCTGTCCCCCCTCCCCTCTCCCTCGTCTCGGCCGTGACAGCGACTAATAATACAACTCATGCAGACCTCATCGAGTGCGGGCCTTACGTCACTGGTGCCAACTTTACGGGAGTAAGACCTCATCTAGAAGGCATGGTCGATTTGGGGTTCCCTATTGCTGAGATTGCACATGATGGGAGCACCATGATTACGAAGCATCCAGGCCATGCGGGAATCGGGGATGAATTCAATGTGCGTGCCCAGTTCCTCTACGAGATCCAGGGTACGCAGTACATCAACCCAGATGTCCTTGCCGATATTAGCTAGGTGAGGATCGAGAACACCGGAGACAAAGATCGTGTTTTTGTTTCGGGTGCAATAGAGAGTCCGCCGCCGCCAACCACCAAGGCAATCGTAGTTTCCATTGGCGGATACCAAGCTGAGGCAACATTCTACATGAATGGTCTCGATATTGATGCCAAAGAGAGGTTCATGAGGCAGCAGATAGAGCACGCCTTTGCAGATTCTAACTTCACCGAGCTCAGCATAACCCGGTATGGATCCAACGCCGTGAACCGAAGCAATCAAGCCCTGGGAACCACGTCCGTCCGACTGTTGGTCAAGGCAAAGACCAAACATGACATCCGGGAAGACTATTTTCGTAAAAAGGTCTATGCACTCCGGATGCAATTTTATGCTGGTAAGTAGCATAGCGGCCATATTTGTTTTCCCTAGGACGGTTATTAATGTTCGTGTGTTGCCTAGGATATCACATGTCCTTAGATTTTAGGACCATGTCCCCAAAGATGTTCATGGAGCTATTCCCAGGCCTGATATCCTACGCGCGGCCGCCGCACCGCGTCATTATTGAAGATAAATCCATCCAGATCAAGCATCATGGCATCACGACAGCTCCTTTAGGCAAACGACCAAGTTATGAGACCTCAGAACCAGTGAATCTTGCTGACTTTGGCTTCACAAGTCGCGTCTCTTTGGGTGCCATTGCGCATGCGAGATCAAGCGATAAGGGGGATAACTGCAATGTTGGTTTCTTCGCCCGCTCGGCTGATGAATATAGGTGGTTGAAATCATATTTAACAGTGGCCAAGATTGTCCAGCTTCTAGGCGAAGACTACCGGGAATCCGTCACGGTTGAACGCTGTGAGTTTCCCCAGATCTGGGCAGTTCACTTTCGGTTTCTCGATTTCTTGGGTGGCGGTGCTGCAAGTAGCACTCGCATTGATATGCGGGGCAAGCTAGTTGCTGAATACTTGCGGAGTAAATTCGTTGATGTGCCGTCCAAGTTCCTCGCAAATCCCATCTCGTTAGGGTAAGCCCTAGAATATGAGATGAGAGATAGATGCCTATCTACCTTCTAGATAAATAGTTTAGTAGACTTATAGCTGTTAAGTATAATATAAAAGAAATATCTCTGGTCATTACCGTAAATTCTAGAATGGGAGCATAAAACGTTTCTCTAAAAGCAGCTCGATTGGAGAACCAAGAAGTTGAACACTTATTTGTTTAGGAAGCTAATGTATGCTTGGAGCACCCCTTTCCACAACTACTAAATACTCTTCAAGTTTTGATTAGAAATTGTCGGTACTTATTCGTATCTATGTTGCTGTGAAGTCATATATCTATAGTTGACTTCATTGAGAGCCATTCACGAGACCATTCACACCATTCACATCCTTAGGTGCACCCCAACCTCCACCGCCTGGAGTGTGAATCTGCAACTGCTCACCAACCTTCAGCTGTATCACACCCTTGGATCCGATGTTGACAATCCGTCTCTTGCCACTCGGGTGGTCCAAGATGGCCTTGTTAATACCGCACTCTCCAGGAAGGCCACCTGCCATGCCGTAGGGCCTAGTCGTACGACGGTCGCAACTAAAGGTAAATGTCATGGGGCATCTCGGCTCAAAGATTCGGATGGCGCCGTTGCCGCCGTTGTGTAGCCCTTTCCCACCCGAACCGGCGCGGAGCCCAAAGTGTCTGAGCAGCACAGGCATTCGCTTTTCCATGACTTCTGGGTCCATGACTCGAGTGTTGGTCATGTGCTGTAAAAACGGGTCAGCCAACGTCCGTAAGAATAGGAGTTTTGTTAGAGAGGGAAGAGCTTACCGTATGGACACCCGAGACGCCGTTCCAAGTAGGTCCCGCGCCGCTGCCGCCGCAGATGGTCTCACCATATACATATCGATAACCGGCAAATGGCTCGCCAGGCTTGGCCTTCTCAACGGCGTACATTTGTATGCCATTCATTGTGCCCTGGCTGGCGCCACATACTTGAAATGCTTTCAAGATCACGTCTGTCAGGCGGTTGGAAGTCGCAGAGTTACAAGCATAGACAGCAGCGCCGGACGCAGACGACAGAATGGTTCCATCGGGGATGACAATCTTTATGGGGTTCAAACAACCCTGGTTAAGGGGAATATCGTCATTGATGATACAGCGCAGAACGTAGATGATGGCGGACCATACAATAGACGTGGGAGCGTTGTAGTTCCCAAAAGTCTGGATTCCGGTGCCCGTGAAGTCAAACTCACCATGTCCGGTCTCTGGGTTAATGGTGATTTTGAGATGAATTCGAGTTCCATCGTCAAGACCATCCTCGGCAACAAGAGGTTCTGGGTGGCGGCGAGCGATTTTCTTGAGATGGTTGCGAACGGCGGATTCAGCGTTCTTTTGAATAGCTTCCATGTAGACCTGGACGGCATTCGGGCCATATTGATCAAAGAGGTTCTTGATCAGAGAGCTTCCTCGGTGACTGGCGGCCACTTGAGCTTTAAGATCGGAGATATTCTCGTGCAGGCTGTTCGAGCCCGTACATCCGGCATATTGCGCCGGACCGTCAACAAAAATCTTCTTGACGCCTGGATAACATTAGCCAAAGTCCACTTTATGGGTAGCTAGAAAATCTTACCGTCCTCGTCAAATTTGCCTTCCGATACGACCTTGAAGGACTCAATAACCGCACCTTCCTCCTCGAGCATAGTAGCACGCGGGTTACCAGTTATGCCTTCTAAGCCGCCTATATCTCGATGGTGACCTCTCGCTGCGGTGTAGAAAAGGATCTGCTCTCCCTTGTCGTCGAATACCGGCAACACCACCGTAAGATCTGGAAGATGGGTTCCTCCCGCAGCTGGTTATCGTTAGTCTGATTCCTAGAAGAAGACATGGAAAACTCACCCGGACTGTTCGTCAAAATAGCATCACCAGGCTTCAGTGTACCAGCGAGAAGTTTGTGTTGATACTTTACAGAATTCTGCATGCTGCCAAGATGCACAGGCACGTGAGGTGCATTGGCAACCAGGCCTCCATCGGGACCAAAGATGGCGCAGCTAAAGTCTAAACGTTCTTTGATATTCAGGCTCAGGCTGGTCTTTTGGAGAGTCTGGCCCATCTGCTCAGCAATGCTCATGAATCTGTGTCCAAAGATGGATAGAAGAACCGGGTCAATGACGTCTAGACGGGGCGCTTTGGCTTCGGAGCTCCCCACGTTGATGACGACCTTGTCATCTAGAATAACGGCATCGGATCCAGGAAGAATAAGTATTGTCTGTGTTGCATCCAGAATGATAGCAGGCCCCTGGGCTCATCAGTACAGTCTTCATTAACGCGCTTCTTGATGTGACTTACCGTCACGCGTTGATTTCGCGACAGGCTTCCCAGCTTGTACACGGGTGTCGAAACCCGCCCCGTGTCTTGAAAGTATACCTGAGCTTGGTCGCAAGCATCTGAATCGCCGGTGGGAACAGAGTTCGCCTCGGCATTGGCCAGCTGCTCTGCAATACCTTGTACGGAGGTTTCTACGGTGTCAAGAGCCATACCCCGGACCCTGATATCGTCAACCTGAATCGGCCTTCCGGGCGCCGTGAAAGAAAACTCGCTCAAGTGGCGGTTACAAAAGGCCTCTTCAAAGCTTTCTTTGGCGGGCTCAAGAATCATAAGAGAGGAGTTGGTGCCCTGGTACCGCAGATTCAGATATCTCTCATACCGTATGCATTCGTCGGAGAATCCCTGGGCCACAAGCTGAGCTCGAGATTTTTCTTGTAGGGCATCTAAGCGAGCTTTCAGTTGAGGGAGACTCTTCTCGGATAGGATCTGTGAGCTGGGCTCTAAGCTTTCGTGCACGACATCGGCCAGTGCCATGCCATATGCCGAGAGAATCGATGAATACCTGTGTACAGCAACTTGGTCGATGCTGAGAATACGGGCGACAGATGCTGCGTGTTGCCCACCGGCTCCGCCAAATGCGGCGAGTCGATGGTGCCGGGCATCATGGCCTTTGCCTTCCGTGAGTGATCGAATCGGGCGGCACATGGCCTCGTCGGCTACGTTGAGGAATCTAGGCACAGTATTAATATATGCTTGTTCTCAAGTCTTAGAGCCCAGGTATTCCGGGAGACAAAGAGAGGAGGGCGACTAACCCGATAGCCACTTCTTCCGGGGTGAAGTTGTTACCAGTCTCATTGTTGATTGTGATAGTCAAGTCATGAAACTTCTGTCGCACAATCTCGATATCTAGCGGCAAGTCCTCCGTGGGACCGAAGATCTTGGGGAAATACTCTGGCAGCAATCTCCCAAGGAACAGGTTGGCGTCAGTAACCGTGAGAGGGCCGCCTTTCCTGTAGCAAGCAGGACCAGGATGAGCCCCAGCACTCTCAGGCCCGACGGTAAACAGGCCGTTCTTCCAGAAAAGAATAGAGCCACCACCTGCGGCAACAGTATTGATGTCCAACTGGGGTGCTTGGATCGTAATCCCAGCAGTCGTCGTTTCAAACACATGCTCAAACTTGCCAGCATATCGCGAGACATCAGTACTTGTCCCGCCCATGTCAAACCCAATCAGAGGCTTTTCATCTGCTGGATCATACAAGGCCTTGGCATAACCAACTAAGCCACCGGCAGGCCCAGATAGAATTGCTCGAAGCCCCGACAGTAGTCTGAAATCCACCAGGCCCCCATCAGATTGCATGAACTGGCATTTGGTGTCAGTCTTGTTCCTCAGGCCTCCATCAAACCCCTTTTCGAAGCTGCCCACGTAATCCTTCAGGACTGGTGTGAGATAGGCGTCTGCCATTGCGGACATGCCTCGAGGGGTCATCTTCACCATTGGCATCAGCTGCGACGACAAGGAGATATGTGTGAAGCCAAACTCTGTTGCAATGTCTGCAACACGCAGTTCGTGGTCGGGAAAGGTATAAGAATGAGTGAAGCAGACAGCAATAGACCGAAATCCTTCATCATATAGTTCTCGCAAGGCCGATCGTGCTTGATTCTCATCTAACGCCAGGAATAAGCACACTGCACATAAAGCAAAGGAGCAAGAGTAGTGGGGGATGGCAAGAAGTCTCACCAAGAGGTTGAAGTATCCGAACCGTGTCGCCGCTCAAGCCGCTGGTTGTGGTGCCGATATGGCCGTCTTCGGAAAAGTCATGTTCGATTGTAACTCGCTCCTCAATCTCGACGCTCTTTTCATATAATACGTCCGGCCGTTTAATGTCGAGGTCGAAAAGCTTAGGCCTCGACTGATGGCCGATTTCGAGGGCTTCTCCAAAGCCCTTTGTGATTAGAAGAGCGGTCTTGGCCCCCTTGCGCTCAAGTAAGGCATTGGTGGCGACGGTGGTGCCCATCCGAATCGAGGCTGCTTGGGTAAGTGGCTTGGCTTGCTTCCAGGTTGTATGGCTTGTTGGACATGATCAACGTACCGATGTTTGCGGTGTCCAGAGGCTGGCCGCGAGGGTACTTCTGCCCAGTTGCCTGCTCTAAGATCCGGCGAATACCTTCTGTGGGCGCATCTTGGTAGTTGTTTGGATCGACTGACAGGAGCTTGACAACGATGTTCTCTTTGTCCGGTACCGTGCCTATACAGTCGCAGAAGGTGCCGCCTCGGTCTGCAGAATGTTGGTCAAAAGTTCCAAGACGCATATGACGTCTGGGCGATTTGTATTGCACTTACCAATGTAGACTGAAACTCGCCCATCGCGACCCTTGTTTTCCACGTGGTTGTCCGACATGATGGTTGTAATGATCGCCAGCGAGATAATCTGGCGCGTTCATAGGTGAAGTCGAGAGTTGCTTTGGGGTTTGCATCTTCATAAGTATGTCTCGGGTGGCGGAGCTCTACCACGACGCGAATCTCTGCGCTCCAGCACCGATCGTAGTCCTCCCAATTCTAATCGAGCCAGGGCCTCACGACTCATACCCAGATCCATCTACAAGCCCACGACCGAGCGCTAGCGGCTCATGACCGCCTGGTAGGGTTGGCGGAGCACGTCCGCCGCTATTCGCACTACAGTCGCCTTTCGTCGGATCATGTCCGCCCCAATCAGACCAGAGGCAAATGGCTGATTTCCAGACGATAAGGCCTAGATATCAAACAGCATCGAGTTGGTAATATGGCAAATCTCGCTCTTTTGCATGTGCATTGAGTTCACGCGGCTTCCAGATGGTGGACATAACCGGTTGCCCGCGAGGTTGTACAACGCCAACTTGCACTATCCACATCCGAGCAGCGTAATACAAGCAAAGTTCAGTACACGAAACACACTTGCCCCTGCATTTCGACACATTGACAACGGTGATTTCAACGATGAGGTTTTCGAGGTTTCCATGTACAAGGTCTATGCATATCGCTTGATTCTTGCTTACGCCCTTCTGAAAAGCAAATAATAGATAACCTATCCAAGACCTACGTTCACATACGCTCATGGCGTGCGAGTTATGGCGAGGTGCCATCTGACGGCAGAGGAGGAGGCGGCCGAGTTTGTCGATTGTATATAAAGTATATATTCAGCAGATCAACACGGGCACGGAGTCGTGGAAATCTTTAATGTCGACCATTTATAGACAATACGATGATATACACGTTACCCCTACAAGCTAGCTCCATGGAATGTCAGGCATGATCGACGTATCTGCCCAAAATCCTCTCATCAAGCTTGTGGGTGACAGTGATGTGTGTTTGAACAGGTCGATGTTGTTGCCATTTACTGGAAACTGTAGTTCGTTGATTGCTGGATCTGCGGCTGTGGATAAACTTGTGGTCCCATATGGGCTGCCTTCAGAGTGTTGGCCAGCCTCAAAATTCCCTGTGACATGACTCTGCTGTGGCTGTTGTGGCTGTTGCTGTTGCTGCCGGTGCCACATCTCTTGGCTCATCGGGGAAGCCAGAGAGTCAAACATGGACTCGTATAGAAGGGTCCGCGGCGAGGATGGCTCAAATTGGTTGAGCAGCTCTCTGCATTCTTCGATGCGCTTGGCAACTTGGTGAGCTGGCAGCTCGGTCAGATCATTGCGGGTTTGATACTCGCGAAAGCAGTAGACGAGGGTGGTGCATGCGGTGAATATCTGCTGAAGGTGTATCCAGTTGACTAGAACTTGTTTTCGATTGGAATAATGTCGATATAGGTCAACTGAGATGCTGGCAGCCTCGTGAAGGGTTTGAACATGTGATGAAGGGATTCTCGGCATAAGGGGTGATGGGCGATGAAGGGCAAGGATCATTTGATGGAACTGTATATCAGCTTGAGACTGGCCTACTGTTAGCACCTGACTTGAAAGAAAAGAAAAGAAAACAGCTGTGGCTGACCTGTCGTCTGACTGTGGCTTCTGTGAGGGGCACAAAGGCAGCCCTCAGTGGACTTGAGGCATACCAAGCATGCACTTGTTGTGTGTAATTGGAAATTATTGCCTCTCTCTCCTCGGCTGGCTTATCTGCATTGACATGTACCCCATATAATGACTCGTGGATCTGACCGTAAAGTTTACGGCCCTCAAGACTGTGCGCTCGCACTGCAGGACCCGGGACTTGGATGGAGATTGTAGGAGACGTCGAAAGCGTGAGCATCTAGTGTAGAGTGAGTCAGCCGCTGTACGTTGACAAGACACTCGAGTTATGCTTACCGCGACGTCTATATCCGCATCCCGAAGTGCTGGGGGCCTACACAATGTGAAGGTGGCGAGCCGATCTAGGCTATATATCGCCCAAAAGATGTTTTTCCGGCGGTCATTGTGATGCTGCAGCCTCTGCGCATCAGGATACTCATTGCTCAGAGGGGGCAGGTAGACACTGTCCTTGCGGTGTATGCCAATTGCAATGGCCGCTCGTGCTGCCATTCCTATCAGGTGCCAGAAGTCCGGTCCCTCTGGTTCTTGGATGCTCACCAGCGCCAGCAAGCCCAGAGCTTGCACGCATTCCTAGCACAAACGTGAGTTTAGTTTAGTTGACCTCGACGAGGGACGTGGTTCCTACCAGATCTTCCCGGCCAATCGTTTCGCCAACGTCTCTGAGAGCGAGGCGTCGGTACAGGCCGGTTGACTTGTACGCTTGCTGTTCTTCCGGATGGCCTGCCCCGGCGCTGTAGGGCTGGAATTGAGCAAGATGAAGTATGATGAAACACCGAAAGCGATTACGAGACAGCTGTCTGCTTGTGAGTCCGTCCGCCTCATAGACCTTTTGGAGGTCCTGCACGAGCTCCTCCTCATCGACAATGTGGTGAGATTGCTTGTGGTCGTTGAGGAAGTTTTTGCACATGTCGATGGCTTGCTCAAGGGGAGGGAGCGCCATCGAAACCGCGCTGGGGGACCATTCAGGCGTGAGTACTATAGTATCGTCTCCGTGCGATGCCGGACTGGTATTTTGCGCTGGTAGGCCAGGCGGTTGTTGAGAGAGCCCGAGAAATAGGGGTGTGATGGACTGTGACAAGCTTGGAACAGTCTCGGCTAGATGCTGACCGTAATCATCTCCAATCACAATTCGGGAGGTCTCGATTGTCTGGATTTCCGTCTCGTGCGTCTGGCTTGCATCGTGCTGGCTTTGACTGACGCCATGGACCGTCTGTCCGGTAGGAATATCGGCAATGTTCGCAAGCGCAGGATCCGCAGCAGTGACGATCCCTTCGAGCCACCGAACGCGGCGGCGGAGGGCTTCATTCTGCGCGCCCAGATCATTTATCTGTCTACAATAATGCCCTGCATGTCAGTCAAACTATTCTGTACTGTGCCATCAAAGCCGAGGTTGGATGAGCAAGGAACCGACTCACTGCACGTAGCGCTTATCCCGTTGTTTGACTTCGACCACACAGGGCACATTGGCGGCCGCACATGACGAACACTGCGGGTGTTTGCGGTCACACTATGACAGAGGTCAGCCAAGATGAAGGCTGCAGGGGGGGAACTGCGTGGACTGGACTGGCCTTGCGTTTCCGAGCGTGGCATCTTTTGCAAGAATAAGGAGTATGCGAGTGCCTGTCTCCCGCCCTGCGCAAAGAGTTGTCCGGCGGTGGTGACATTTGCGAAGACGGCAAGTAGTTTCGGTGCTGCAGCAGATGATGGTGGAGTAGAAATCCAATCTCGGGGTCGACGCTCCAGCTTTGACGCCAACATATCCTTGGCCACCCGATGAGCTCATCAAGGTGGGTTCTAGACCCCTACTCACTGATAACGTTGGAGCCAAATCGACAACCTGAACTTGGTCCCCAGTTTTGAGGAGGCGAACTAAGAGCTGGGGGCAGTAAACTAGACCCCGAGTTACAAGTGAAAATTTACTCTGTGACATCCAGGCCGCTGTTTACCAGGTGATTGATTTTAGGCTGTATTCTCTTTTTACAAATGCTTGCTGCGAACATACATTTCCATCATATCTGATCTAAGATTTATTAATGCGTCCTACCCACGCCTCTAGCACATGAGCGACATATTCACGAGCGAAACCCTCGGCATGTTACCCGAGCGAGAATTTCAGCCCGCTACACTTATATCTCCATGTCTAGACCTTGGCCTTGAGCCTAGAAATTCGATCCAGTCTCTCCTTGCTAAATTGAAAACACGCTGGAAGGCCAGTTGCAGCCCAAGAAGAACCAGTGATAAGCTTCACTAGTCCAGGAGCACATTGAAAGATTCGCGCCATTCCTGCTCATGTTAGAGAAAGAACTCTACCGATGGGGCATGTAAAACGACTCACCATGTCCATTGTAGCCAGCACAGATCCATTGCCCATCCAAACCAGGCAGCGGACCAACGAATGGCACAGCATCCGGGGTCTCTCCCACAATCCCCGTCCACACGTGGGAGAAGCCTTCCCCAGGTCGAGCGGGTCCGTTTGAGGGTGAAGACGAGAGCCTTGAGAACTCTTCAATACTATTTTTCGTTATTTGCGGATTGTGAGTCGTATCGTCAAAGCTGACCCTGCCTTCAAGATACTCCGGGGTCCGTTCAGCGTCACTTCTTACCGCCTGACCGCCCATGATGACAGTGCCATCCTTCAGCTGATTCACGGAGAAGAAGTTTGTTGGCCCATAACGCAGAGACAGCGTGCTCTTCAGTGCAGATTCGCCGGAGAGAGAAGCTGGAGGGACGTAAGCATGGGCCTGTGCCCTTCGCGGGGTAACGACGCCAGAAATCTCTGGCAGAAGATATCCAGCGTAGGCGTTTGTGCAATGTATGATGGTCTCAGCGGCGATGATTCCACGAGGAGTCTGAATATCCCATCGTGCACCGTCTGTTCCCCGGTGCTTCGATATCTTGGTTGCAGGGCAGTGTGTCCATAGCTTTCCCCCTTTCGAGATGACATCGCTCAAAACCCATTGTGTCAACTTGCCTGGATGGTTTGACGCAGCAGGCCATTCGTACGCGCTAATGGCAGCAGGGACTTTTGTCTTTGCTTTTGCTTCATCTCCCTGATAAAATTTGATATGGGAGACATCACCACCTGCCTTCCGATACTGGGATAGCACTTTGGCTAGGTGACTAGCATATTCTTCCGTCATGCACACCTCGATGGTTGTAGTATAGTTGAAATCGCACTTGATGTTGTGAGTCTCGACAAAGTCCTTGACGCTTTGCAGATGTAGTTTCTCGTTCTCAAGTATAAGTTTGGCTTGTTCTGGCCCATGGATCGCAGAAAAACGAGGGAACCCACGGAAGGCATCTTAAAAAAAAATACGTTAGATTCTAGTTTTGTAGCTGCACAATGCGCGGATATTTGGCACAATAAGCCCTTTCTTACCTGGTCGTACATGTCCTGCATTCTGTCCTGTAGCACCGGAGACAGCCTCCCTAGCTTCTAGAATCAGGACGTCTTCTCCCGCCACCCCGCTGTTGATCAGCTCCCAAGCAGTAGCCGCTCCCGTGATGCCGGACCCAATGACAAGATATTTGGTCGAAGCTGGGACTTCAGCGAAGCGGTTCGCGTTCAAGTGGGGGAACGATCGAGTCGTGCGGTGCCAGTGAGATAGGTTCGAGGCTGGAGCTGGCAATGAAGGATGCATTTTTGCGGTAGGAGATATCGCCGATGATAGAAAATAACAAGATAATCTAACACCTTTGAGAAAACACAAAGAATCAAGCAGGTTTACTGAGCTTCAAGTTAGGCTCTGGTATCGCCCACTTACGCAGTGTTGAGGGTATTTGAGAATTAAGAGGTCTTCTACCTGCAGCCCGCCGCCTTTAAGGATACCTACCAATACGATATTCATGAACGGCAACATCGCCGCTACCCCTGGCGGCGGATGTGCGCCGCCTGAGTGGCATGTTTCGTGGCGGAGGGACTCCGCTCAGTAGCGCTACATTGTGCCGAGGACAATATTGGTGGCTGTATCGATGCCCCTGATCTCTGTTGGATTATTCTGCTGCTTTGGCTGATTACCAAGGCCATTTCGCAGTGTTTCTCTCGCACCGAGTCACTGGTCACAATATATTTGAAGTCTAACTCGTAAGCATTACGACAAGTATACAGCTAATCAATCTGTGACCGACGCCTGACAATTACAGACGAGCCATTACTTTTCCGGGCGCCCGGAATTTGGCATACTCGTCGAGGCACTCCGGATTCGCAATGGAACCTCTCATCATCACCTTCTCTCCAGCGACAATAGCCTTGACAACCTTCTCAATCTTCTTCCCGTTCGTCGTGCAGGGTATATCCTTCACCTGCCAGATTTCCTCGGGAACATGCCTGGCGCTGAGCGTTTTGCGGATTTCGTCGGCGATTCTAGATCGTAGCGAGGCGTCCAAGGCTGCGCTGGGGCTCTTCATCTTGATAAACATGACGACCCTTTCATCCTCTATGTCGCCTCCGCCGTTTTGTTGACGGCGATGAACCCGTTGGCCCACGACAACGGAGTCTTCGATCTCGGGAAATCGACTGACCACGTCGTACAACTCGGCCGTACCAAAGCGGACGCCTAGAACCAATTCCAATGTCAGCCCGCAAGTTCCAACGTACGAGTAAGGCCAAGAAGATGGGGCATCCGTCAATACCTCCTGGGTTGAGGACTCCATCACTGCGGCCGTGAATAGAATAACCTCCTGTCGCGGGGCTCCTCGATGTCAAATCGCCATGGCTCCAAACGCCTGGGTACAGCGAAAAGTACGTATCGAAGTACCTGTTGCCTGTGGCATCATCTCCCCAGAACTTGACCGGCATACTGACGAAAGGCTTCGTGATGACAAGCTCGCCCAGTTCCCCCGAGTCTTCCATGCTTTCACCGTCTGCATTCCAGATCTCTGCCTTCATTCCAAGAGTCGCCGCGGCCAGCTCGCTCCCGAAAACGGGCGAGAGACTATTTCCACCGACAACTATTGGAGAGGCTCTCATGTTAGCGGTGCGCGTTCGGTGGTGCTCCAAGCTTCGGCGGAGAAAATCCATTCACTTACTACCACCAACGAGGTCGGTGCCGCCGGAACCATTATGCAGACCTACGTGCTGTGGGAAGTTATCGGCGTAAAACCAAGCGGCGAGACTGGTACTTAGAGGGGAGCCGGATACAAGGACGTTTTGGAGGCTCTCCAGGCGCCTTGCGATCGGACTGCTTTCTGGGTCGATTCTAAGTCCGGCGAGGAATTTTGGGCTCGTGCCCCAATGAGTTACCCTTAAGTTTCCAATTAGCGGATCGCATGAAATGCTTAACAATACGATGAATGAGATGAAGTCATACGTACCCCTGGGTTTCAAGAAGCCTGAGTTGAAAGGAAGGAGTTGGATGCAGTGGACTCCCATCGTAAAGAACAATCCTCAATCCGAGACTCAGAGCACCGATGAGCATATTCCACATCATCCAGCCGGTCTGGCGGCCGCAAGTGTGGGAGTTAGTTCTCTGTCGTTGATATATAAAAGTTATTGGGGAGAAAAGCAGCAAAACAAGAGACAACCGACAGTGGTGTATTGGTAATATGTTGAGTCTATGCCCATGTCCATGCCCAGGGCCAGATCTAGCTTATTTTTAAGGAGAACTGCTCCTGCAGAGTGACAAATACCTTATAGCGGGGGTGTGAGCTGTCATGGAACATTTTGTATCTTGATTTGAAGTTAACCTACACTTGGGGCTGCCTGTAGTTCCAGAGCTGTTTATCGTTAGCAAGAGCGTGTCAGCTAGGCTCTTCTTCTCTAAGGGTGAATGGATCCCAAGGTAATTGAACTGGCAACCTACGTGAACAGGATGTAGATGGGATGATCAAAAGGTACTTGTTCAAACTTGAGAAGTCGAGCAGGGGCTTCGAGGAACGCCTCAAGTGGGATTCTGAAGAGGGATCAAAAGTTAAATCATTATTTCTTAGCTGTGAATGTATGAGAGATGATGATGAGGTCGCCGCGGCGACTGACTTGTCGTTAGGAAGCTCATCCACGTACAGTCCGCTTTTTTTCCACGTGGGATCGTTGATGACTATGACCTTGTCCAGGCCTATGACCTTGGTCTTGAGCTCATCGACAGCAGCACCAAGACGCTCCCTCAAATCTCTTCTCTTGGTCGCGTATAGCACCTTGGACTCGATGAATAAGATCTTTGGTTGAATCTGGGAAAACCTCTCGACGATGCCCTTGGGTCCCGTGTCTGGCGACGTGGACGAGAAGATGGCCCCGATAGCACCGGTTGCGAGTGCAATCAGTAGGGCCTCGAGGGAATTGGTCACAATCGCTACGCACGTCGTTAGAGGTAATCAACTCCGGGGACTGGCCACTCTCGAATAGAGTTGGAGGGGTGAAGAACGGGAAAGAGAGGCCAATGACCACTTACTAGAAACGCGGTCTCCTTTTCCAACGCCAGCATTTCGGAGTGCGCCGGCATAAAGAGCGACCTGGTCTCGCAGTTGTATCCAGTCCAAGTGCCTCCAGTCCGTGCCACCCTCGCGACAGGCCGAGACGGCAATCATGTCTGGATGAGCCGCGAGACCAGTCGCCAGCACGTTCTCCGTGAAGTTCATCTCCGCTCCAGGAAACCATTGTGGCCGAGGCCACATGGCGGCGAGCGAGTTAGCGACTGCCAGCGGCGGTTTCGACGTCACGAGCCCGCTGAAATTCCAGAGCTCTCGGTAGAACAATTCTAGATTTTCGACGGTCCATCGATGCAGTGATGCGTAGTCTCGTATTTGCTCATTGTATCGTTTGTTGATGTGTCGCCTGAACGCGTCAAGGCGTGTGAGGTGCGGGCTGGGATGAACCCAAAGAGGTGCCATGTCGGACGAATAGATGAATTAATTGTTGTTGTTGATGGCCGCTGTCGCAGTAATAGTGGACAACAGCCGTAACATCTAGCATTGGTCTACTTTTATGTGAGGCATCGGCTTCAAGCTACAGTCCAACAGGGTGTAGAAGATGCCGATGGGCTCTCCCCGGCCGAGGGATGATGAGCAGTGCAATGCAAAACTTGACCAACTGCCTTGGGAAAACCAGGGGCTGGGCCGTATCGTCCGGCGGATCGGAAATGGCGCCGGAGCAACCTCCCTCGTGATGATGCTCCAATGGTCGGTTCCTCCGAGCTGCCGATCCCCCCCACACTGTTGTTGAGGCGTTATGGACACACGCGGAGCAATTGAAACCTGGGGCAGAAGATTCAGGGCTACTCGGTACTATAGACTACCTAGTGCCGGGGCTTTGTTAGTCTACTGGCAAATCGACATGTCTGGCCGTATGAGAATAGTGCCGAGGAGGCGGTACGTGTTGCCAACTCCAATTTCCGGAGTAACACATTTGGCAGAGAACAAAAACAGCAGAGCCGAAATTCTTGTCGGGAACACAACGACACTTGACACCGTGGCTGTTGACTAGGTCAACTGATACTGAGTACGCGATTGCAACACAAAGCCCGACAAGCTATCCATCCCCTCGCCTTCTATGACATATCTTCATGTCCTCGCTATTTTCCCTCGTATTAGCCAAAAGTCTATCGCAAAATTTACTTTCTCATCGCAATGCATGAGACGGACGTTGTCATTATCGGGGCTGGGCCGTCGGGACTAAGTCTTGCCGTCGCCCTCAGTCAGCTCCAGATCAAGGTATGCCACGTCTTGCTATAACGCCCTTATCTAAGGCTCAACTACAAAATATGTCGCCATGCTAATACCCCACCTCAAGTCTGTTGTCCTTGAGAAGCAGCATGACATCTGCGAAGATCCTCGAGCTATTGCGCTTGCCGGTGATGCATCTCGTATCCTTTCCCTCATCGGAATCACTGCAGAAGAGATGGACCAAATAAGCCAACGTAAGTGAGATAAGATCTGAACAAAGCGGATATGAAAGATGAGAATTCACCCCATCAGGATATAACATCTGCCCAGGCGTAGGCGATCGTGGTGGAAGTATTAGCTAACGTGAATTTGTCGACTCTGATAGCACTCTCCGACGTAAATTTTCACAGCAGCACTTTTACCTCTGTGCCATTCCTCCAACTCGAACACGATCCGGACTGGTCAGAGCAAGCCTTGCCAAATTCAAGCGTCATTCTCCAGCCAGGTCTAGGTAACATGATTCCTCGAGCTCTTTTCTTCCCCTCGCTCCGGTAGCCAATAGCAGCAAGCTCATACGCGGGCTTGGACAGAACAACTTCTTCGTGATAGAGCGCAGGCTTCCAAGTACATCACATTGAAGCTAAACTGCGATGTGGTTGGACTTGTTGAAAATCCAAGCAACGTCGAAGTAACATACGAAGAAACCGACACACCGGGAACACACGTGGTTCGAGGTAAATATGCCGTAGGGGCGGACGGGAAGCGAGGCTTCGTTCGAAAGCAATTCTTAGAGGAAAGGGGAATCAAGCAAGAAACAGGACGGTATGTTACATCTCAATATCTCTGTTGTCGCCCCTGTCCGTCATCTCCCACCCAAATGCAGGATGATCCTCGCCATTACCAAAGAGTCTAACCGGCCGACAGATACAGTTACGAAGCCACATGGGTGGCAGCAAATCTCAAAGTTACCATGCCTACTCCTAAAACCCACCCGCATTTTCCCCTCTGGGATCTCGGTTACGAACCAGATGAGCTCTGGGACCTCTTTTGGCCCGGTGGATTTCAGTATGTGACACCTAAGGTAGACGGCGTTGGTTCTTCAGGGCTATGGAAACGAACATAACATGGAATGGTTCTTTATATTTTATCATGTCACTGACTGCAAGGGCGAACCAGCTTCTGCAACCATCCCATGATGCCTGTGGCTACGGGTCGATTTGGCCCTACGGCGGGAAAATACTGGAGGTATAATATTCCCAAAGATGCTTCTCGCTTGATGTTGTAAGATTAAGGTTGCTGACCTGGGTGAAAACAATACAGATTCGAATATGAGCTGCCCCCTAACTTCGAACTCCCAGAAGATGCCGTAGGGCATCTCAAGGAACAGATGGAACCGCATCTGACGATTGCGCCCTCCAGCCTACGGTAACCATCCATTTCCTCACGCAGTCCGCGTATTGAAGCTTAGCTAACACACATCAAATTCTAAATAGTGGCCAAGGTCGCCGGGTAAATACTACTGTACGGTTCCCATGGGATTGTGTAGAAGTTTTGCGTTGTGGGCCAGCACAGTAAGTCAACCGGGTTCTTCACTCAGAGTCCTTACTTTTCGCATTTGGCGGAGCTAGGAAGTTTCAGACGGAATGAAATTGACGGCTCCTTCTACGCCCATCTAGGTTTGCCCACAAAGTTGTCAACAGGTGGTTCGACGGACGAGTCATCCTAATCGGCGACGCTGCGCACGTCTTCCCTCCTTTCGGTGCTCAGGGAATCGCCAGCGGGATACGCGACGCACTTGGACTGTCATGGCGCCTGTCTCTTCTTGCCGGCGGCACTGAGACACTCCCACAAAAAGAGACTGCGTCTTTCAACAAAGACTCGCTTTTGCTGACCTGGTCCCGCGAGCGCCGTCACGGTGTCGACGAATCCGCGACGCTGACCGCTGCCAACGGATCCCTCCTGCAGACCAAGTCACACGTGCTTCGTTGGGCCGTTTGGTGCGCGAACGCTGTGATGAGCTGGATGCCGCGCCTCCGACTCACCTTGCTTCGTGGCCACTTTTCAGACCGCGACGGTGTCCGTGGCGCAAAGGACGGGTTCTTCCTCGAGGACCAGGGTGGAGGAATCAAGACCGCTCAGATCTTTATCCAAGGCGCTCGTGACGGGTCGGCTGAATTATCAGACCACGTGTTTCGAAACTCCAACGCAGCCTTGACATTGTTGGTTCTACATCATCCTGAGACCGAGCAAGAGTGGACGGCTATCCAACAGGCACCAAAGCGACTTAATCTCCCTGCCAACTTCCTCGCAGCGAAGGTTGTCAGTTTAAATGACAAGGTCGTGGATTCCCTCCAACAGCAGCCGAAGTCTACGAAGATTCAGAGCGCGCATTTGTTGACGCCTGCAACAGCGGAGGCAGTTTCTCGCGCTGGACACAAACCGCTTCCACTCTATGACCCTTGCGGATTTCGAAAGAGATTTCAAGTCAGTGCCAAGTACGCGCTGGTCCGCTCAGACTTTATCATCTTTTCCCAAGCGCAGACATTGGAAGAGCTCGAGGGTCAGATCGGCCGGGCTTGGAGAATGGCAACGGATAGCTGAGCATTCCAACTCATCAAGGCTTGTGTATATTACCGCTATGAATAGGAGCAGCCAACAATTGTTGCAATTTGATCTTCTCTCCTTGTTTTCTCGTGATATTTGCGCCAGTAGGCTATGTAAGAACGGAGTCCCAGTCTAGGGACGAACCGACCTCTCCAGGGATTGTACCGGAGAGATCCCACGCGAGCTCGAGCTCATTATTAGACCAACATTCCCGGCTCCTCTCATCTTGACTGCTTTCTTCTACCTCTGTTGTGATCTCGGACAAGAGTAATAAATCCATCGAGTCTGGAGGACCACCACTTCTTGCTAGGTTAGCTGCAGAGAAGCGTATCTGCCTATCAAGCACGATGCCCGAAAGATTATCAAATGCTGACTTATGGGAGTGACACAATGGAGGGTTGGCCCAATATTTCTTTAGTACATCTATAGCAAGTTAGCTTCACTTCACAAAAGAAACAACAGTCTGTCACTGGGGGGTGTACTCCAAGCGTGACGCATACCTGATAATTGATTCGCTAAATTAACGTCAGCACAGAGTTCCAAAAAAAGAAACTCAGACCTCAACAAAGACATACCAAGGAGCCAATATCGGCCTATTTGGCCCAAGAAAAGGAATAATAAATCCATGTGGTGCGACGATCGTGCACCACATGACGTTGCAACCGAATGGATTGCCCCGTCCAGCGTCAGCACAACACCGGTAAGTAGGATGATATACGCGCTCTTGGAATCGATGGCCTCAAAGTAGTCCGGTTTCCAGTTCTGGACAACGTGGAGCACCTCGTTCGCTCGCGCTACCACGGTCTGCCACTGCCCCTGGAATGCCGACTCCGTTGATGCTGCACCTGTGCCATCCAATTGCACAGCCAAGGTAGCATGTAGTAGACAGGCACTATAAGTTTGGTAAGCCCGTTGAAAGAGTTTACCAGCAACACAGTAGCATGGGGTGCTTACCCTTGCCAGACAATTAATGTCTCCAGTCTATCCCGGTGTTCCGTTTCTGTCTCCCCAATCCCCAGGTTCCGAGTTGGCTTAAAGACCCAGGCAGGCAGAGAAAGCGTGGTTGCGGCGCAATCACTCTCCAATTCTTGGAACCGAGCTTTCCAAGCCGGTCCGCACCCTTGTTTTACTGAAAACCGGAGCTCCGTGACTGATCTCATCAAAGTACAGGCGCCGATGTATAAGCTCCTACCTCGGCATGGCGATTTGGAGAACACCATGGTCATGGTTTCCCAAAGCTTGAGATCAGGTGCAAGCACCAACTCTGAGTCTCCGATATGCTCAAGTCTTCTTTGCTCGGACCCAGGGGGTTTCGTCAGATCAGGCACTGGCGAGACGGGCAGCGTCATATTGCCCTGGGCGTGGTCGGCCATAGCATGCGACATGATCCTGTCCCCTCGCCGTCAGACTTTTCTGCGTGCACGACCTCGAGATAGAAGCAAGGTATGGGCATGCGGGTGGTGCTTACGCTATTGCACTGAAGCATGTGTCCAAGGAATAAATACACCACCATACGGTCCGTAGCTCTTCGGCCTCGTACTCGCACCGTGAGCCTCTTGAACCTTTGTCTTGGTCCGCAATGATGCGGTAATAGAGTTCTGCCATGCGGGTGATCCGTGCCATCTCAGCCACGGCGTCCCAGGTGACTGCCGAGCCAATTTTGTGTAAGCAGAGCAAAATGGACGCCTTGAGCTCGTCTATGGTTAGTTTTGTAGCATTCGCGTGATGCTCTGCCCGCATGGCGAAATAATCAGGAGATAAAAGCCATTCTTGATGTTGAGATGATGCATACCGAGAAGCAACGGCGTAGATGGACATTCGAAGCCGGGGTGACATCCTGGAGAGTCCATACCTGCCCGAGGACGATGCGGAGAAGCGTAGAAGCGGATATACTGGCTGTACGTGATGGATGTATAGCTCCAGTCTAGTCGGTCCGGTCAATCTCTCTCGTGGTGTCTCCGGGGACTATGCAGCGCATTTCAAGTACTTACAAGAATTCCTCCGCCTCCGGACTCAAATACGTGGGTGCGTAGGCCCCGCCGACAGTTTTTGACGAAATATGACGAGGTAGACTTGGTGTGGACGTATTCGTGAAGGGCATTGTGACATTAGCTCCCCCCGCCACTTCAGACCCCAACAGGCCCTCCGCCCATGACCCATCGTCGCCCTGGAAGAGTGCCTCTAGAAATTGATCGTTGCCGGTCAATTCCGAGTCTAATACGGATGCGGGATCAACAGCCTCCTGCTGGTCGTAATCCATCGATGGCGCAGAGCTGGTTGCTAAGGCCGCAGTGTTGACGAGTCGTTTGGGAGGACCTATGCGGTAGAGGAGGATTCATTAGCTAGGATTACCGCAGAAGGCAGGTACTTGTAGCAGACGGCGCAACATACCTGGCTTCTTTCTATACCTGCCATACCTGCACACTACATGCCTTAGAGAGCAAGCCGTACAGGACGGTGCCTTCATGTCGCCTGAAATGATAACACAGGTCAGATCAGAGCTTTAGCCAGGGGTATTACTAACATTTGATCTTCTTCCTGAAAGCGCAAGACGAGTCAGTATCTGAGCTACATGGCAGATTGATTATTGAGGATTGTGCACACATACACTCTACAGTGGTCGCAGACGCGAAGCTTCAGGCGGCCAGAGCCATCCGTCTGCTGTCGGCCGCTCGAGCTCGGGCCGGATGGACCCAGCCGGTCAATAGATTCCATCTGGGTTGTGGCCAGGGTATGGGTTTTCGTGGGTGTCAAACGGACCAGTTGTCGCAATATGGTATATTTAAGAGCTTTCCGAGGACGCCGGGTCGAAGAAACGAAAAAGACAGGGGAGGATAGACAAAACGTCTTGCTCTCTCGGAGGTGGAAGTATTAATAGGCCGTGTCCACTCCATTTGCCGGAGATTGCGGGGTAGCGCTAGCCCGAGGCCCACAAATACATTAGTGGCCAAGTCTGCCTTACCCTAAACACACCCATTTCTTCTTAAATACTCAAAAAATCTATTATGATCCAAGTATTAAGTTAATTATATTTAGTTTTTACTTTCATTTTAAAGATGTATTTGATTTCAGAGAATTTTCTTAATAAAGGCTTATTTTCCTACAATCTAGGTAGTGTTTAGTGGTTGTAGACTTTTCAGTTATTCGTGTAGCTCGACGTTCATAAAGTATTGATGGCACATTTCCGTAGTGGACTTAATCATGCAACTAACTACATACTACAGGGTTGCCTTTTCCAGGCCGGCTTGCAGCTTCCGGGATCGCTCTCGGAACCGTACGAGCAAGCCGGTCTGTTTGGCAAACCAGAAAGTCTCAACCTTCCACTCCGGCTCATCCGACGCCCACTCCAGGTCAAACTGTCGAAGTATCTGCGGAACCAGTTTTCCCATTTCCATAATAGAAATGTTCTTTCCGATACAGGTTCTCGCTCCCGCTCCGAACTGTGCTCAAATTAGCCTGGTTTTGCCGGCATTAGATGAGACGAGATGTAACGGTGGCTCACAGTCAGTAGGTGGCGATCCATAACTTTGGCCTTCTCTTCATCACAGAGCCATCGCTCAGGCCGAAATTCATCCGCGTCTTGGCCAAATATTTGGCGATCCCGGTGAATGACTGCAGCATTTACTCCCACTACGGTGCCCTCTGGTAGAAAATGCCCGCTGATGGTGGCACCTCCGTGAGGGACCACTCTTTCGAGAGGATACTGCACTCCTGGATGCATTCGCATGGCTTCCTTTAGACACAACTGGCTGTTTGTGAGATTTCGAGTTAGTAGCTTCTTCTTCTACTTCTTCAAAACTCTACGCCAGTTAGTTTGTCTTGGACGGCCTTGTCAACTTACAGATACTCCATCTGGAGACTCTCGGCGTAACTGATCACTGGCGAGAGTTTCCCTGCATCATCTAGATCATCTATCTCTCTCTGAAGTTTCTTGTAACTATCTGCATTCCGAATGAGATAGTAAAATACGGCCCTTAGGGAGATGCCGGTAGTGTCGCTCCCGGCCAACCTGTAAACTCACCCCATCAGGACAGGTCACTAACACGGGTCCGAGCTGTCTCTTGGATTCACTTACAAGTTATTGGTCAGATGATTCATCAACTCTTTGTCTGGCATGATTTCCCCCGTGGACTTTTGTTGCTGCCGGAAGTATGCCAGGAAGTCGGTCCGAGTATCTGTCGTGGATGTTTGTGTGTCATAAGACTTGATGGCCTCCAACACCATCTGTATACCTTTTAGAACCGATTCACGAGATGGATAAAAGAGCATTTAAAATGTGCAGGGCTAAATACCGACCTTTGTGACAATATCAATCGGGTCCCCAACGGGGAAACGACGTAAAACGTTGCGGAATGTCTTGCTTCCCAACGAGAATCGATTGAGCATCGGGATCTGTCCGAGGATCCCACCAAGTCTAAGACCCAGGTCAATCCCAGACAGGACATTCTTGACGTCCTCGCGATATTCCATGAATCCGAATCGTTTCGAGAAGGTTATGGCTCCGATGACATCGAAAGCGTACCATTGCAGCCAGACACCGAGGTCAACCACCTGACCCTGCATTTCCTTCATGCTTGCTGTGAATATCTCGCTGCATGGGTCAACAAGATATTCGAGGGTCTTGATGGAGGTCATGCTGAACTTCTGTGCCACTGGCCGCTTGAGTGCCTTGTGTTCCTCAGGGGATCGAGTTGTGAACATGCTCGACATGAACTCGCCCTGGTACATGACATCGAAGGAACAGTAGAAATCAGACTATTGGACATAGGAGTCAATCTTCACGTTACTCTACCATGGCGCCTAATTAAAGGGGGTTATATACCTTGATAAACTTGCTCCCAATTCCATAAATCAAGGATATAGCAGACGGATCTGAAATGTCTACCACCTTAGGGGCCGTCCGCACCACTTGCCCGTGTTTCGCGTGCAGTTTTCGGTAAGCTTCGGGTGCCTTGCCGCTCAATACGAACATGAGACGCCATAAGGAAGTGTATCGTGCGAGCCAGGGCCCGGGCAAGTCACGAAGACCTGGGCGAAGAGACAGGTAAAGTATCTGGATCGCCCAGATTAGAACTCCAAAGAGCCCTAGCCAGGCAACGTGCTCAATAGAAAGTGCCATCATAATAAATATACGAGTAAAATTATCGATTGCTTGGTTTGATTTAGAAGATGCGCCTCTGGGGGATTCAACCAGGCCTTCTGTGTAAATAGTCAGCTCCCTTAAGCCATACACTCTTAGGTTATTTAGCCTTCGCCCCTTTCCCCAGCTCGATACCCCGGACACAAACTAATTGCCGTTCCCCCGTCTCTCGGATTACAAAACAAGGCTACCGCCGTATGGCTTCCGTCGGCAGATCTGCAATGTGGTGGGGATTTCGGATGCACCAGTCATGGGGGTTTGAGGATGTTCCGGGGCTGTAGGCAGCCTATGAGCACCCGGCATAGCCTCTCGGACTAACGATGCCAAGTGTAATCTGCAATGAGTTTACCATGATTAGTCCATTGCTAGATGTCTAAGGGACGCGTGGTGTGCATATCACAAGATGGTTTAAAGTGGTATTCTCGCTGTTGTGGTCCCCATCCCCCTTAGCCGAGTTAGACATTCCTAGAATTTTTATCACAAGCACTTTAGCAGTCATGGCATCTAGTCGACTCCCAGAGATTCGAAATGACCCTTCAAAGGTCCAGCTTGAGCGAATTTCTCACGTCTTGTTCGAGCATCCAGACCTGGACAAATTTGACGGGTTTGCTCAAGACTTTGGTTTCACAAAGATCCAAAGCCATGACGAAAACCTAGCCCTCTATCGTGGTTATGGCAAAGACCAGTACTGTTACGTAGCACGCAAGTCGGCGACTGGGAGGCCGCGTTTCGGAGGCGGGGTCTTCCTTGCGCAGACCCAAGGAGACTTTGACAAGGCGGCGTCTATGGACGGTGCAGAGATCACAGACCTGTTTCAGTTCCCTGGTGGCGGCCGGATGGTCACCCTCCACTCACCCTCTGGGTTTCCCATTCACATTGCATACGGTATTCAAGATCGAGATCAAGCCGAGCCCGAGGCTGTGCCGTCTACTCAGGTGGAAAATATAGGACCCTTCAATGGTAGTGTCACCAAGCGAAGATTGGGTACGTTCGGTCACGAATACTCTCCCCATGGGTGTCGGCGGTGATCTCTAACTTGAAAACTTCATGACAGGAAAGTTTCAACGTTTCCATCCAGGCCCGGCCCTCGTGCACAAGCTCGGTCACTACGGCTTCGTGCTCGCGCGGTGGGACGAAGAAGTCGCCTGGTATACGGGAAATTTCAACTTCGTCCCCTCGGACGTGCAATTCGAGCCAAATAAGGAGGAATTCGACGTCATCACGTTCCTCCATCTCGACCTTGGACAGCGCTTTTCAGACCACCACACGCTGTTTCTGTCCCGCGCGCCGCCTGGCGAGCACGACCGGATGCACCACACGTCCTACGAGGTCGAGGATTTCGACACGCAGCTTCTCGGACATCAGTGGCTGGCCAGCAAGGGCTACACGAGTGTATGGGGCGTCGGGAGACACATATTGGGATCGCAGATTTTTGACTACTGGAGGGACACGAGTGGGTTCAATATCGAGCACTATGCGGATGGCGATCTTGTAAATGAGGACACAGGCACCAAGAGGAGCATGGCGGGACCCTTGTCAGTTTGGGGGCCGGAGATGACGGGTATCATGTTTGAAGATGGCACGAAGCCAACCGCTGCTTGATTTAAAACTAGTAGCAGCATACGGATATAGTTTTTGTACAGCAGAGCTACCAAATTTGCACAGTGTAGACCCAAGAGGTGTATCCATTGTGTTGAGATGTTGGGTCTGGCATCTTCCATTGCTGGTTTTTACTTTGTCCTTAAACTCTCTCACCCGTAGCCCAAAGAAGGGCATTGCTGCATCATTCGCGGGGATGGACCAAGCTTTGCTCTTGTTGCCTCCACGCCTTCAGTCTCGCCTTTGGGGATGCCACCTATCGCAAGTGCTAGCCAGCTAAGCTCCCGGGAAATCAAAAAATAGTTCCCAGCAAGAAACGCCGTCTATCTGACGGGAGAACGAGGTGGTCGAGTTGCTCCGGGTCTTTCGGAGCAACTCGTTAAATGTTCCGGGGGGTTGCTCCGGTGAGGCGGCGGCACGAAATCCGCGGCCTGCCTGAATGTACTGGTCAGCGGATGGGCTCGGAGTACCCATCTAGGTGTAAGAAGAGTTTGGATGAGCAATCTGTCGAATATCCATTTTAAAAAGGGTATCACTGTCCCGTATTGCTACTATATTTGATGTTTAGTACAAACTAGACCTGTCTATCCGTTCCGAAAGGCACCGCCTGAGCCATCCAAACCACCCACCATGGCACACTGGACACATATCGCTCACTTTGAGGCTGAGGATGGCAAAAAATATTTTGCGTCCATCAAGTCTGAATCAGATGTTGCCCGGCTATCAGGCTTAAGTGTCACCGGCTTCTCATCGTTCCTTGATTTGGTAGAGAACGGTGAAGGATATCCCGTTACAATAAAACAGGTATGTATCCCGAATTTTTCCTTCCTTCTATCTAAATACGGTCTCTCTTGAACCTTCTCCCATTGATACTAATGCTAATTCAATGCGGTTATAGGTCTTGGCTCCGGTACCATATAACGGAGACATTATCTGCATAGGGCTCAATTACCGCAAGCATGCAGAAGAGGCGAATGTGAGGCGTCTGAAATCTCATTTTTAATTCCCTTCATTGCAAATTAACCGTCTGCGTCAACCTAGTACAGCTCACAGTACCACTTGACCCCGTCATGTGGTATAAGCCCCGGCGAGCCCTTCGCGGACCAGGACAAGTTGTAATCCCGAAAGTAGCGGCGGACAATTTTCCTGATTTCGAGGTATTCCACACTGGTGTCCTTTTGTCCCATCTTATGTTCGAGGTCATGCTAACCGTAAGGCAGGGAGAACTCGTCATCGTCACATCCAAAGACGCCTTGAATGTCAGCATTGAGGATGCTCCAGGATACATCCTAGGTTACACAGTTGGGAATGATCTGACAGCTCGTGGATACCAAGACCCTAAAAGGGGAGGACAACAATTCACTCGATGCAAAGCATTCGATGGTTTCGCTCCGTTGGGGCCGGTGCTGGCGAACGCACAGTCGTTTGGCGACACGGCCGGCAAGCGGATCGTTACCAAGGTCAACGGCAAGGTATTCCAGGATAGCTACTGTGACTTGATTAACGACGCAGCTACGCTAGTGAGCTTTCTCTCGCAAGGTGCGTTTTCTCAGTACCAAACTATTGTGATGATCCTCTCTCTCTCTCTCTCGTGTCAGCATGGTTCTCACGTTCTGTGGTTTATCAAAAGGCTGACTCTAACTGACGTGTTAATAGGGACGACGTTGCCGGCAGGGTCCATGATAATGACAGGATCTCCCCCCGGCATCGGATACTTTTCCAACCCCCAATATCAGCTGAGGGATGGAGATGTCGTGTCCGTCGAAATAGGCGGAATTGGTACTCTTCTGAACACCATGGTTTTCGAGTAGAAAAGAAGTGGCTCCAGATATCATACTCTCTAGATCATGTAAAAATTATATAGATGTAGATGTACTTAACATAAATATAAGGATAGTATCTTCTTCTATGAGTCTTACTTAAGTACTATTATTATAACCTCGCACTTTACCCTATTAAGGTAATCTAATAGAGCTCCATCAAATCTTATTGCAAGGGTATGGTTAGCCATTAGTTTGTTTGTAATTAATCTTTTAAAAATGAAACTTTATTGAGCGTCTAAATACGGTTTAATTCGAGGATGCGGGCATTTGAGTTGAGGCCAATGTATTGAGAACAGTACTAGTCATCCCGCAAGTCCCGATAACACCATCACCGACCTTGACTATACCCAAGGGCGCGGTAGAGAGGACTAGGTCACACAGAGAAGCCAGGAGTCGGAAATGACATCCTTTGCGGTCACTAGAAGTTGATGTCAAGTCAGTGAACTGGACGAATGCAGCTGTACGGACAAAGCCGTGCAACTGTGGGAAGGCACTTACATTGCAAGTTGCCGATTGTGTGCATCAGCATCTGTGCTATGCGTCCTTTCAAGCAGCTGCAATTTGGAAAGTCTACGCAGACTTGAAGCAATACTACAGACTACTGCTATCGACCAGAAGTGAGAAGCCTCTAATTGTACTTGCTTTAAGTTCTTCAACTTGTAGAACCCCAAGTAGTCGAAAGCAATAGCGGCGTCACAGGTTAGGAATCCAGCAAGACCCAACCTGTTTCCCAACGAAGTGTAAAACAGCACAGGGTCTCTATTCTTTCCCGCAAGTATCTTTACGGCATCTTGAAAGTGCTGAATGTTCTTCCCTAAACGTGAGAGCCTTCGGACGAGGAAAGTCTGCTTCATAAGATGAGTCCATTTCACATAACTGCCCACTGAATCTTTGTTTCTCGCGGCTAACCAGGCAAAAAATCTTGCAAGATACTGGAGGAATCGAAGTATTCTGTCGCGGTTGATACTTGCTATTAAAAGCCGCGAATAATCGGCAAGATGTTGAGAACGAGGTAGATGGTCGATGGCCATAACGACTAGATGTTTAAAGGAGAAGGGGGCTTGGAGTTGGAAGACCTTAAGTGTAATTGTAAAGCAAATGTACCCAACTGCTTCTAGATAAATATTCTAAGCCTAATGCCCTTACCTACCTTATATCTTAAACAGTCCGTCTTTATTACGGCCAGGCCTTACCCCTCAAGTAGACCATGTCTAGGTAACTTCAAATATTTACCCCCGGTGTGTCTAGCTCTAGGGCATATCAAGCGGCAGCGTCCGCCGAAGAGGCGGCCCTATCCGCATGGCGGAAAGCCGAGCGCGAGGAGCAATTAGCAAACGAGATAGCTCAAGATAGAGTAGCATCTAATAAGGGCAACCGGTGGTGACGCGACTTTTCACGCGGCGCCAATAGCTACTTTGATGCTCGTGAACTTCACACTAAGTCAGACTCGAGATCCTTTAGATGACCATGAGCCGTCACCTGCAGACATGTTTGACCGGACCAAATGGCGACCTCTGTCACGAATGCGGACCTGTCGAGACGCAATCTAGCCACATTGCTCCTCCAGAGATGATCGAGCTGACTTTTCACACACCCTTGGGATTTACTCTTCTTCCTTAACTCAGTTAATACGCTAATTCTCGCTATATCTTAAATCTAAGATGGAAAGCCATCCTGGATGACTGGCTGTCTATCAACGTTATCCATGCAATTTCAGGAGACTTGATCTTACGATGCTGTTGGCGAGGCACTAGTGAATTCTTGGAAGCCTCTAGTGGGGAGAACATTTCTCTCTGGCGGTCGTGCTCCGCAGAACCGAGACTCAACCCCCCAAAATGCGGAGTATGCCATGTTGGCCGGAGCGGGACCGACTGGACTGCCTGGATCTAGATACACGCGGTCGAGAATATTTCACAACGGACATGCGAGAAACCCGGACTGATGGCCATGGCGGGCAAGATCCGATGGACAGCTGCCGACCTTGTCACGTTCTGTGCATGGTTTAGTTCCATGTCATGGGGGCATGTTGTTGGCTAAGTCTTCAAACTTATCGGTGCTTGTTATTTCTTGGCCAACTCTCCCGTCCTTGGACGTGATAGACATTATAGTTTGTACCCACGATGGACAGCACATCGAGCCAACGCGGCCCAACATCCCGACTTGCCCACTGGGCTGCCGCCGTTCCCCGAGAGCGTACTCTCGCTGCCAGAGTCGAAGCCCAGAGGGGCATCAAAGACTTGGTGGGCTGCCTCATCGGCGGCGCCATCGAACGCGTTCCCAAAATCGTCGCCAAGGTCGCCACATCAACGAGCGGTCAGGGGCTGTGCACAATCGTCGGCCAGACTCAGAAGGTGCCAGCCCAGGCTGCAGCGTATGCCAACGGCACTGCTGCTCACATCCTCGACTTTGACGATTCCTTCCGGCCACTGACCGGCCATCCGTCTTGCACCATTGTTCCAGCCATCCTCGCCGTAGCTGAGGAGAGGGGCAGCTCCGGCGACGACGTGCTGGACGCATATGTCGTCGGTATTGAGATTGCGGCTTGCCTGGGGCGTGCTGCCCCCAAACATCACGACTGCGGATGGCATGGAACTGCTACGGTGGGCGTCATCTCCTCTGCCGCTGCTTGCGCAAGGCTTATGAAGCTTGACGCTGCTGGCATCACCAACGCCATCAGCATGGCCTTCAGCGCCTCCAGCGGGGGCCGCGTCCAGATTGGCTACGACATCAAGAGTATGCAACCAGGAGCGGCAGCACGAGATGCTGTTGTAGCTGCCACCATGGCCGCTGCCGGCATCGTCGGCTGTTCAGAGGTCTTGACCGGTCCGTGGGGCTGGTCCAAGGTGTACTCCAACGTCAACGGCGATGGGAGCGAATACACAATGCCCGACCTCGCCGCCGGCGAACCTCTTGCCATCCAGGACCCAGGCATCACCTTTAAGCCATACCCAACCTGCGGTAGTACACACCGTACTCTCAATGCCGTACTGGAGCTCGTAAACAAGTACGATATCCGCGCCGACGACGTCGAATCCATAGAAACCACCATCCCCTTCCTCAACACTGCGAACCTCCGCTACCTGTGCCCAGCCAACGGTATGCAGGGTCGCTTTTGCATGTCATACACGTGTGCGTTGGCTGTTTTATACCGCCAAATCCTCCTCAGCGACTTCGAGGACGACGCCGTACAGCGGCCCGAGGTCCAGGCTTTCATGCCGAAGGTCACTATGAACACTCTCCCCGGAAGTGAGCACACAGACAAGACGTATCTGGAGATGCCCTGCCACACTCGTATCAAACTCAGGTCAGGGACTTTCTACGATGATACACGCTACGACCGCCGGGGTGAGGCTTCGGACCCTCTGACTGGGCGAGAAGAGCAGGACAAGTTCTATGACTGCACCAGCAAGGTCATGTCCACAAGGCAGGCAGACCAAGTTATGAAGCTTCTGGATAACATGTCAGAAGTATCATGTATCAAATCTTTGATGGACTTGCTATAATTCTCGAAATGAACAAGTAAATTTGATATTACGCACACTGTACCCTATATCTCGCCAGTGAATGCAGTTTTGCCGCACACCACATATCGCTCTAGCCTTGTGGAAAAGCTCTCACATGGAAGAAAATGTGCCATTTTACCTGTTTACGTATAACCTCGGCGAAGAATTGTTTTACCCTTTAGATGACGTCAAGAAGTTGGGGCATTAAGTCGTAACTTGTCTGCCTTTGAATTAGGTGCAGAGTATGTGATGTATTGGCAACTACAGTCACCATCAATCATTCCCATACTAGCATCATGATAACGTCGATGAAAACCCGCTTCGACCCCGTACCAATGATGAAGAAATAAACACAGAGTCATGTAATTAAGGAGAAACAACCTCAACCTCTGGCAAGGCTTACTTTAGGTGCAGAAGCAACATGATAAAAAGTCATTGACAGAGGCGTGTGAATGTGACACCCTGTTATCTCTAGTGAAGTTCTAACCTCCCTAGGTTCAAGCACGCAAGATTTCATGTATTGAGCGGCGAGCCTAGATTGCCTTGGTTCTCTTGAACCCTGTTTAGCTTATCAATGTACAGCCGCAGGTCAACTGTTGTTTGGAATCCATATTCGCCTGACCCTCCTTAGTCTCTAAAATGCTTGCATTCATGATTGGCTATAGATAGCTAAACAGGGAACAGGTAATTCCATTCTTCTAAATCTGTTGACACAACCGAGCCGAGTTGGCATATTATCAGTCTGGGCAGCAAAGTGACTTTATCCCTGTGTGTCGGAGGGGCACCGCTTTTAGAGGCACGAGCCCCAACTATCTCGGCGGACCATCTCCGCCAAAGCAAGGATTACGTCCAATAGAGGCTATTGCCCCGATTAAATCCAGGTCACTTGTCGGAAATAGGACCGCCCCCCCTCATAATCATCTATGACTGTATTCAGAGCCGGCAACTCGCAAGAACCATCATCCCAGTGGCGGTTTTGCCCCGCCCTCCTTTGTATGACTTGGATCTTATCTACAGAAACAGAAAGGCTTAACCAATTTGGGGACCCTGGAAGGAGGGATTCGGGGTAACGCAGAGATAACAACTTGCTTCGTGGGGAAAACCAAGATCTATGTGGGGACAAAGTATCAATGTCGATGTACAAATCTTAAGGTTCGGAGCTAGTAGATTATTAAGTACCTCTCCTTCAGAGACGAATTCTTGGCCAACGATAATCCTTCACCTCCACATCCCCCTACTATAATAATCTAAGAGCCGTCACGAATCTCTTTTCTCATGCTTCCTAGCATCACTTTCGTTCTGCATCGCTTCACTCGGTGTTCATATCTTTCAACTACTGCAACACACACTAAGTTAGGCATCGAACGTTGGTCTGTCCCCTTGCTATGGATTCCGAGAAAGAAATGTCGGGCAAAGGACATGAAGAGTCTCGGCTCGACACCAAACCCGCCATGATTAGCACCAGCGATGCAATTGCTGCTGATGATATCAAGTTTGGCGAGATTAGCGACGATGCTAAACGCATGGCGCATCTACTGGAGGGTGAAGAAATGAGCCCCGAGGAGAAGGAGGCGGATCGCAAACTTCTGCGAAAGATCGATTTGCACCTTCTGCCGCTGCTCATGTTCACTTACGGAGTTCAGGTGAGTCTTTCATTATATTTACTGCTCTGCAAAACCTCCTTTCTTATGAGTTCTAACGGGCGTTTTCTTTTTCATAGTACTCAGATAAGATCAGTCTCTCCTCTTCGGTCGCCTTTGATTTGATAGAAGATACTCATCTTGTTGGAAATGACTTTGCCTGGCTTTCCACTGGCTTGTGAGTGATTGCTTTCCCCTGCCTACCACCAACCGTCCCAGCCAAATAAGTTTAACGTTCCCGAGAGAAACGCCTTTGACAACAGACAAAACTTAATTAGATGAGAAGCTAATTCTAATTGATTATCAAGCTACCTTGCCTTCCTTGCATTTGAGTTTCCATTTGGATTCATCATGCAAAGGTTCCCTCTGGAAAAGGTTCTCGGTTTCACTGTGATGGGGTGGGGTGTTTGCGTGCTTTCCCTCGCCGCGTGTCACAACTTCACAGAACGTAAGCGACAATAATTACCTACCCATAGCGAGAAACTTACTAACCTCTATTCAAACAGTCATGGTTGTGCGAGCTATTCTCGGAGCTTTGGAAGCTCCTATTTCTCCCGGGTTTCTCATCATCATCACTGCCTGGTACAAGAGAGAAGAGCAGGTTGTGAGATCTCTAGCCTTCTTTTCCATGAACAGTTTCTTCAGTCTCTTCATCCTCATGTGTAATTACGGTGTAGGTCTAGCTGCCGTCGGATCCTCCATCGCATCATGGAAAGCTATCAACTGTAAGTATAAGTCTACATTCGGCAGTCAAATATATGGCGCACAACCTCTGCTAACACATATCACAGTATTCCTGGGAGCGTTGTCTTTCACTTGGGGCGTAGTTCTCACTTGGGGACTCTGCGTGCCAAAGAAAGCAAGGTGGCTTACACAAGAGGTGAGAAGTCTAGACAAATGTGGCAGAATGAAAAAGTAGCCTAACCGGTATAATAGGAGAAAGCGCGCGTCCAGGCGCGATTGGTCCAGAACAAGACAGGAGAATCAGCAGAACGTGTCAAGATTCAATGGTATCAAGTTTGGGAATGTTTCGTCGACCCACAGATTTGGTTCATCGCTCTGACCACTGTTCTTAAAACTTGTGCCTCGGGAGGTTTGTAGACAACCAAAACAAAACCTGTATTAATAAAGACCCAGACTAATGTGACGGCTATTAGGTTTCTCAACCTTTTCTACACTTATTCTCAAGTCCTTCGGTCTCAATACCGTTCAAACCATTGCATATCAGCTGCCGTGGTATGCAACTCAAATGCTTGTAAGACTTGCGTGATGCCGAATGCACCAAGAATGCTGCAGTTTTGACTTACACCTGCGTCATAGGGAGTTATAATCGTGGGCTACATTGTCAACAAATACAAGCAAAAGGTGTGTAATCCTAACCCTACTGTGGCTTGTTAAAAAGCTAATATATCGGTTTAGAACTGGACTTTGTTTATTGCTTTTACACTCTTGATCCCAGCAATTATTGGAATCCTGTTGGAGTCAATGCTGACAAATGAGCATCGCTGGGGTCGACTGGTAAATTTCCATCATGAAGCATTATGAAGATGAATACTAACTGACCTATGTCTTTATAGATTGGCTTCTGGATCACCGGTTTCTACACCTCATCCTCCTTCCTCATATGGTCCACTACCGGTCTCAATGTCGCCGGTCGTACCAAAAAGTCAACGGCCCAAGCCATCGTATTCATCGCTTTCTGTGCTGGTTTCTGCATCGGACCCCAAATGTTCTATTCAGCATCAGCACCCCAGTATCTCCCGGGCTTATATTTCTGTTGCGCCTGCTTCGTTGTTTGTGAGATCATTCTGGGGATCTGGATGGTCTGGGTGCGATTGGAGAACAAACGCAGGGACAAGAAAGCGCTTGAGATGGGCTGGAGCGAAGAGTACCAGCGGGTGCATGGTTGCATCATGGGCCTGCAGGACAAGACCGACAGGGAGGTAAGTGGATGCCTTGAATTTTTACACGCTGTCACGATAAAGTGCTTCAAGCTAATAGCCTTTTCACTAGAACCCGCACTTCAGATACCGCTACTGAAGCCTTCCCCGGAGGGAAATATAAAGTTAAGGCATGGCTTGGTCCTTGGGACTCATAAATCACTGAAGACGGATAGTCATGTTGTTGGAAACTATTAAGTAGCTGCTCTGCCAAATTGGCACAATGGAAAGTCTGGTTTGTTACTAACGCTTATGATACCAAACATACTTGGCTCCTATATGGTTAGTAGAAGAGATATTTACTTGCTGAATCTACAAATTATATAGACAGCTTATCTGAACAATAAGTTATGAAGTAGGATCGCTTGTAGAATTTATTCTTTGGGCTAGCAAAAATAGGGATTTTTTGCATCTTCTATTGTTGTTTTTAACTTTATACTCGAACTCTCTTCCATATACTAGGGGAGAAAGGCTCAAATGCGTTGTATACTGAACAAGCAGCATACAAAAACTAGCAATTTTTCGGACACGTAATATCGTTCCGGACTTATTGTTGTACAGTTTCTTGTGTAGTACGTATTGCCCTCTCTCAAGGTATATGCAAGTCCCCTACCGCTCCATCAGAGCATCTTATAGGTCCGCGTTCCAGAACTTTGTACTTAAATTAGTTGTTTGCTCGTCAACTATTGAAAGCGGCTCCATTCCTCAGGTATGAATTAAGATCAATTGCCGGAAACTGAGTTTCATAAATCCATTGTTGTCTACATGTCAGTAGACCACATGTCAGAATCCGAGTGAGCCTCATCCTTGAATCATGACGCAAACACGTGTATTGTAGATGACATAGCTACTAACCTGTTAGGACTTTGCAAATAGCTAAGATATTCGCCTTTTGTCGTCCTAAAATCGCAATGTTACTAGTTTGAGCCTTGAATTTGCTTCCGTCCGCGCTAAATTCTACACTCTGCTATCCCGATTAGCGTTTCCATTCTTCCACCTATTCTATGATCTACCTAAGAAATCTCTGTGAATAGATATATATGTGGCGATTTATTTGGCACCTTTATTTGATACTAAGTTTTTATTGTAATAACTCTACCTAGACACTTTGTTGGGCTCTGACTTTTACTTTCTAAGTTGCCCTCCCTAGCTAGAAGAATCATTTGGCCATAACTTGTATCTAATAAGCATACTTGTCCTCATATGTGGGAGGAGTGTAGGTAGCCTGCTTTGGGATTCCAGCCAAAGCTGTAATGCGAATAAAATGACGACGATAATCCATATTATCTAGGACAGCAGAGTGCAAACAAACGCGCTAGTATGGAAAGCATTAGCTTTTCACGAAAGGAGATTTGAGATATAGCAAGTCAAGTCTTACCTGATCCCAGACGCAAACGTCGCCTTCGCTCCATTTATAGCGGGCGTGGAAGTCGGCGCTCTTGGTAAGGTAGTCACTCAGGAACCTGAGTAGCCACTCACTTTCTTCGTGGCGAAGACCCTCAAAGTGGGAGATACGTTCAGGATTGATATAAATGGACTTTAGTCCAGTTGCCTTGATACAGTGAGAAAGGTGGTTAGTATGGAATTTCCAACACTGAGTGGCCAGGGAATTGGTAATAGGGCACTGGGCATCGACTTACAGGCTGCTCGTAGACTACGGGGTGGCTGGATTCAATGTCATTCTTTCTCAGTGCTCCGCCTACGCGTGCGGCCTTGGCAGACATGACCTTTGAGGAATGCACGGCTCGTAGTCCGCATAGAAACTGTTTCATGGGAGGGCTTAGGCGCTCGTAAGCCTCGACAAGACTACCCACCAAAGTATCACCGCCGGTAGGAGCATCGGCCTGCATACAGCAGAAGAAAGTCATACCAGGAGGCTGGTGCTCTTGAGACTGATCAATATGCCAGACCGCTCGTGAAAGACGGTTAGGCCACCAGTGCTTCTGTAAGATTTTAGCTACGTAATTGACAAGAGGGCAATTGGAGAACTGCTTATTGGGCTTGTTTGGGGAAGAACGCACCCTGACGGTGTTGATGTTGTCCTGATAGACGACAGAGATTTCAGTCGAGTCGTGAGTCCTTGGCTGAACAGAATTCTTATGCAGCTGGCCGTAGTACCTCACCATCTCTAGTTTTCTTTTTTGAGAGATGTCGCGGAAAGTTTGCTTGACCTTGTCGTCGCTTGCAAAAAAGACGATGCCTTTCTTGGCGGCTAAGAGCGCCAGTTGGTCTTGACCCGCTTCATCAAGGGTGGCAAGGTCTAGACCAGTCACTTTGACGCCGATGAATGGAGTAAGCTAATCACCAGTTCCGTACATTAACAAGGAAGAATGAGACAGTGGAAGATTCAATGGACCATTGGCCATAACCCACCTCTTCAATCTGTACATGGTCATTGTAAAATACCGGCATGGTGGGGTCAGCATCGAGCGCCCGGTCATGGTACTCGAATGGTTCAGCGTCAGGGAACTTGTCCCCAGGTTCGTTATGCGGATAATACTCGGGGTACTTGAGACCTTCCATGTTGACCGCTGTTGTCTTGGTACGGTCAATGATAGGAGCCCCCTTGGCCTCGAAGGTGGAGACAGTGGATGGCTGTTTCACTGCAGATGGCGCCATGGTTGATAATTGATGAGATTGAAATGGGTTAGAAATTCTAAGACGGTCGAGCGATCGAGTTGATCTAGATAGTTTGTTGAAATGTAATTTCCAGCTTCAAAGGGCGTTACAAGGACGCTTCTATATAGCAAGCTTCAATCGGCGAAGACCTCGCAGTTTTCAATAAGGTCAACTTGATAGTAAGTATTGGCCCCTGCCGCATGTTATGTCACGCTACTGCAGGTCCGGAATTTGAGAACCCGCGGAATATCAAATTCCAGTGACTAATCACACAGCTATTAATCCGCGGTAAATGGAAACCCGGATAAGATATTTCGGTAGCGTGAGCCTATTGTCGTCTAATGATAATGGCTTTTGTAACCCCGTAAGAAATTCAAAGCAGTCAGGATACATCGGAGAGTAACTCTACATGTTCTCATACATCTCAAGTCTAAATTCCCAAAAAGTTGTTATCTGCGATCCAGATTGGCATCGTGGACTGTCCTGGTATGCATCTACTTAAAAAAAATGGATGTACACTCGCAGGTCAATCGAGAATAAAAGTAGCATAGGCGGCAGTAAGTGACACTAGTTGCTCAACAATTGTCGAGTCATGATTACCGCTCGGGTATTAATTCTTGTCTCTTGGCAACTCAAGGTCTAGCAGGAGGCCCATGCCACCCCAATTATATTAGCGAATAATAAACTTCAAGTTTCCAACTGGACCAAAAAGAAAGTGCAGGGAAGCGAGAAGTTGCGGAGAACTTCCGACGTCTTATCTCTACCCATGTCGCTTTGATGGAGGATTATAAAGGGTCTGGGCGGAAGCTGCATGTCCGGTTTTGAAGACAGTTTAGAAGCCACGGACTCGCAATCCCTCGGGCAAATTTGTCTATCTTTTATCCTTGACACTCTTAGCATCGTATGATTATGGCTGACCCCAGCAAGCAACCAGACATTTCCAAGGCGTCAGAGACTACCAAGGTCCCTGCGGCGGAACATGAGGATGACGGCATAAGCCCAGAGGTCAACCTGAAGACTATTCACAGGCATGAAGACGGTGACATTGCCCTGGATTTCGCCGCACAGCTCGACGCTGGGTATGAAGTCTTACCAGAGGTCGAACGCCGGGTCCGCCACAAGATTGACTTCATTCTCTTGCCTCTCATATCCTGTACAGCCACTTTATCATTTCTGGATAAAGTCTCCAACAATTATGCCAACAATGTGAGTATGGGGTTTCAGCGCAGAGATACCTTTGGGGAAACTCAAAAAGTCGCTGACCATTTCAGTATGGATTGTCCAAAGCCCTTCATATGGAGGGCGACCAGTTCTCGTGGAGTGCCTCGGTCTTTTACTTTGCCTTTCTTGTATGGCAGCCTGCGGTTTCATATATGAACCAACACTATCCACTTGGGCGAACAATATCTGTAAGCTCATATTTTTCGAATTCAATCTCAGCCCTGACCAAAAAAAAGCCGACTGACCACGTGGCGACGCTGAACAATAGCTCAACTGTATGGCTTGGGGTCTGATCCTTCTAGGTCAAGGTTTTGTCAAGAATTATACGGGCTTCGTGGTCCTCAGATTCTTTCAGGGGCTGTTTGAAGCCTGTGTTCTTCCTACACTTCAGATGATGTGCTCGATCTGGTGGACTCGTGAAGAGCAATCCCTGCGAACAGCGTTCTGGTACATATAACGTTCTCCCCATCTCTACTCTCCTGGTCGCCTACGACTGACCTTAGCGCCTTGGAAGGTTCAACTCTATAGCAGGCATACTCGGCGGCCTTTTTGCCTACGCTATAGGCCAGTGGCACGTCCAGTCTGGCTTTGAGCGTTATCAGTACTTGTACATCACCTATGGCTCTTTCACGGTCGCCTGGGGGGTAATGCTTTATTTTGTGCTCCCTGATTCCCCTGTCACGGCATGGTTTTTAAACCATGAAGAGAAGTTGACTGCAATTGCGCGTATCAAGAGAAACCAGACGGGAATGATCAATCGCCACTTTAACCGCAGCCAAGCCATAGAAGCGATTAAGGATCCCAAGACCTGGTTTTTCGTCTTCTTTGCGTTTGTTTCCAACCTCGTAAATGGCAGTCTCAACGCCTTTTCTACCGCCATCATTTCAGGCTTCGGTTTCAGTATGTTATACATTCTCACATTGTTCGCTTACCTCAGACACGCCTAATCGTTCTTGCAGCTCCCTTAAGTACCACTTTACTTTCGATGCCGTGGGGTGTTGTATCAACATTGTCAAACATTCTTGTCGGGCTCTGTATATCTTTCACCGAAGGAAAGCGTTTGTTCTATATGGCTGGTGTGATTCTCATCCCTCTAATTGGAATATCAATTCAGTTTGCCCTTGTCGGCGGGCCTCGAGGAGTGTTGCTTTTCGCATACTACCTGACAGGCCCATACAATGTTCCATATGTAATGCTACTTGCCATTATATCATCCAATACGGCGGGAACAACTAAAAAGGTTGTCACGAGCAGCTTTGTCTGGATTGCTTACTGTGCCGGTGAGTTGAGCTGATTGAGTTTCACTCGCAGACCGAGTCACGCGTAGCTCACAATCGAGAAATCTAGGAAATATTGCCGGGCCTTTCTTTTTCAAACCGTCAGAGGCTCCCTATTATCGCATGGGAATAGGTGTTGTGCTCGGTAGCTTCACTCTTCAATGCCTCTTGTCACTTGGCTTCAGTGTCTACCTACGCATGCTCAACAATATCAAGGAACAGCAAGTCAGGGAAGCATCTGATCATCAGGAGGATAGCGCCGCTCATGCATTTGCCGACTTGACGGACAATGAGGTATGTTATCAATCACTTGGAATTAATCCAGAGACGACCAAATTGTTGACACATACAACTATAGAATGAGCAGTTCAGATATGTTTACTAGTCGCATTCAGTTGTTTCGGGAAAGACTGGATGCCCCAGTAGCGGCTAGGGCTATTACTGCTATTATGCTGTCTTGCAACATAGAACTTGCTAGGTTGACAACAACTAGTACTGATCAAGGATTCAAGGCAGATGTGAACCGGGTAATGGACGGGATTTACGAAGGTAGATGGCTTTTGTCTAAGGAAACTCGTCTGCTGAGTATGTATGGAAGGGTTTTGAAAGGCCGCTAGCGATCTTACTTTGACTACGAATATGGAACTCAGAGTACAAATCCATCAACACAACCTGCGAAGAACCCACCACCATCCAAATATGATCGTAAATGACATAAGCCTATTGTATTCATCGTAATCCGATGTAATGGTTTTGCGCTTTATTGTGTGATCCCAACTCTCTTTTCCAGCGAAATAGCGCCCAAATGATGTGTTATACATATCTTATGACTATATCTGATATACTGAATTGTGCTCAAATGTCTGCAATTAAAACATAGGTTGTTAGAGATTCCTAATATTGGCTACCTGAGCTTAGAAAGATGCTTGAGCCTCATTAACTCTAGCAGTTAAGGTGTCTCTTAGCGCCCAGGCATCCAGGCCAACCCCTATCATTTGAACTCCACGAGCCATCATACCTTTCACCCCACCACTGGAAGGACGAATGCGGCCTCCTTGCCATTTACCTGCCGCCTTTGCGGAAGATGATATGCGTTCTGTAGCCTCTATGACCTCCTTTGGTGGATCATATGGGTCAAGATTGTAACCCATAGACAGACACAGATCAGTTTCACCAATCATTACAACGTCTGAGTATGTCAATAATTTATTAGCTTTTCCGAAAAATAACAGGAATCACTTGGATCAATCATTCATGAAGCTTGGATTATGCCTACCTATACCTGGCGTTTTGACAATGTCGTCAATATTCTCGTATCCCTCCCTTGTTTCGATTAGCACCGCCACAATAACCTCCCCGTTAGCCTTCTCTCGGTACTCGTCGTCAGACGACCAGCCAAAAGCGTCACGGGAGAATGTCGATCCAAAACCTCGGGTTCCCAGTGGAGGAAACCGGGCGGCTGCAGCGATTTTGGCGGCCTCTTCCTAATTTGACTGTCGTGTCAGTACCTAGGGGACGGGGTTAATCTTACAAGACAGGAGAAAGCTCACCGGTGTTGATACCAAGGGGATCACAATGCCATGGGCCCCTGCATCCAACGCTCTCTTGATGAGCCATGGCTCGCCCGAAGGAAGGCGCACAAGTGGTGACACACCAAACGGAGCTATTGAATTGATGGCGCTCTGCATTTCCATGTCTGCTAGGCCGCCATGCTCGAGGTCAATCGTAACGTACTTTGGTTATGGTTATTGAGTCAGTTGAACGAATATCCAGAGAAGGGGGGGAAGGGTCTCTCAATTAAGATGACTGGTCTACTGACTCACTGTTAAGCCTGGAACACCGGCAATTACACGAGCAACATGAGCTGAGGGCAACACCATCTGCACGCCCAGCGCAGGTCGGCCAGACTCGAGTGCCTTTCGTAGAGGACTTCCGTCAATGTTGAGGCCCATGGCTGCCTACCCTATACACGACTGCAATCTTCAATTTCCAACAAAGCGAATGAACACTGGATATTGGTTTGTAAGAATAAGGATAAGGATTAAATCAGATTGGAAGGGTTTTAAAAAAAAATACCAGGAATGCCAACGATTTCAACTGATATCTATCCAAGACATCAATGTATTTAGTTATCATATGAGGATAGGAGGCATGGGTTTTTCTTCACCAAGCTTTACCATGAACCTGCTAAATGGGTTGGACGGAATGAATCTCCGCGGGTTTCCATAATCCGGCCAGCAACTTAAGCTAGTAGGTTTTAGGTTCCCCACAGCCGCAATTGGAAGTTAATAGAGATGATTGTTGGTGAGATGCGGAGAGTCTCCGACACCCGTTAGAGATAAGCAACAAAGGGCGCGAGTTCATTGGCTGGTAGATACCACAAGCGACTGGTCTTGAATCATCGAGGAGCTGTCATCCCCGCGAAATGCTCATCTTCCCAACAATCTCCTATTCATGCAACGACGCACCATTGATCAGTAAGCTTCTGTACCCAAACGTCTAAAGACAATGGACCCAAGCTGACTTGTGCCTACATGCACGCAGCTTTGCACACGCACGAGATGGCTAAGAAAAAGGGCACCATGGAGACTATGTCGGGAAACCAAGCCTCTTTCCACGTGTCAAGTCAATCTGCACACGGACCGGGAGAATCCCCTGGAACGCCGGGGTTTGACCCTCCGGCGAGATTTACAAGAAGGAAGACCTCGCATGTCAGTCGAGCGTGTGATACGTGTCGTCGGAAGTACGTTCCACTTGTATATCCTCTCAATATACTCTATCCGTAGCTTACATGCCTCAAAAGAAAGACCAAATGCAACGGAATTCGGCCCACGTGCAGTAAGTAGCCAATACCTAATCCCTATCCCCCTCCCCTACACTCCATACAATGCTATGCTTAGATAACTAATCAGGAACCGGTAACCCAAATAGCTCCTTGTGCCACATATAATGAGGAGTGTAGCTATAGTAATCAGGACAAGAGACGGCCAGTGTCCAAAGCCTATGTCGCCGCTCTTGAAGACCGTCTGGCTTGGTTAGAAAAGAAATTGTCAGAAAAGGAACGTGAACGAGGTGCCGACGATGCACATGCCGTCGCAGGCTCATCAGATGTCTCAAGCTTACAGGTTGAGGAAGACCAGTCGCCGTCACCATCCGGCCCGAGCGATACGATTCACCGGCAGTCTTCCTGCGAGCCTGCCGAACGCCTCCAAGTGAGTCATCTCAAGTGGATTTAGGTATAGCCACCGCGAAGCAAATACAGCTAACAATATGCCTCTTATTTCGTTTGTCGAAATAGATTGACAACGAAACAGGCGAGATTCGAGAATACGGGCCGACATCAATGTTCAAGCACCTGCCAGCCGCCCCAGCCTCACCTACAAGTATGGGGAGGTCCAGCTTAGGCGCCTACTGCGCATCTACTGGTACCCAGGACTCTTTTGCTCTGGGCGCTCTGGACGAATTCTCTTGCGCAGAAGCCCTTCGACTGTTCTTCGCATTTTTCAACCCGTGGTGCATGTGGGTGGATGAAACACGCTTCCGGCAAGACATGGACCGTGACGGTGGCAGACAAGGGTCAATCGCGAACCGGCATACTCGGACAGCATTCTATAGCCCTCTGTTACACCTTTCAATGCTTGCTATTGGATTCATGTACTTGGAGAAGCCAAGCTACGCCGAGAAGATGGCAATCTCGGATAGTTTGGCTCAGGCAGCAGCCCAATTCTTCCAGGAAGAAGTTGAGGCCGCACGTCTGAGCGCCGTGATTGGTCTTATGCTCCTTGGTTCTCACCATGCCGGCCACGCGCGGCAGAGTTTGGGATACATCTATTCTGGCACCGGCCTGCGACTAAGTCGGATTCGTGAGTTAGCAGCAGCAAACCCCGAATTAAACCAACGACTTCTCTGATGAAGATTGCTAATGATGGAGTAGTTGGTTTAGGTATCGACTCGTCTTCTTGGGTCGAGAAGGGCCTCATTTCAGCAGAAATGAAGCGCTCGCGAGACCGAGTCTGGCATTGCGCTTATATCCAGGATAAGCTTTGGTCGACGTATGTCGGGAGGGCTCCTGCCCCAAGTCTCCGCCATTATCGAATGCCGTTTCCAGACGTGAATGAAGAGGAAGATGCTGCCGGCTGGATCGGCCACAATAGGAACGGCCAACATATCTTAGTACCTTCATGGCAGTCGTCGACTACAGTCTGGACAAGTAAGCTTGCTAGGGTTATCGAACTTCTCTTAGAGAACGTGTAAGCTCACGGTTTCCCTTCTCAACGATCGTAAGGGCTGGAGATGTTGACAATACTTGCTACTCTAGGTACTCCAGCCAAGGAAATGTACGTCTCGACGATTTGCAATGTGCAAAGAAGGAAATCAGGCACGTCCAAGACTCTATGTCCTTGTTTAATGGCTTGGTCTGCCTTAATTAACCAACACCTCTCATTATTAGTGTTCTTCTTGAAAAATGGTACGCAGAGCTACCAGAGCCGCTCCGCATGACTCCTAGCATGCTTCGAGGTGACGTCTCAGATGTAACACTGATGCCGCATGTAATGACTGTGAACATGATGTACTACTTTGCAGTCATTTTACTAAACCGGCCGGACTATTGTGATGGCCCAGCATCTACGCATTCTCCAAGATCAGCATCTAGTTATTCAACGATGTATTCTGCAACCGATAGATGCAACCAGGCAGCGTCGGTGACCATTTTTGTTCTTCCCCTGTCGATGAAAAGATGAAATAGACTGACGTTCATAGATCACAGAGTCAAAATTTTACAGATAGCAGAGCTGTTTGATGAGAAATTTGGTCTCAGTTGTGCACCAATCTCCAGCACCCAATTCATCTTCACGGCCGGAGCCATCCATCTACGCAGTGTAGTTCGTAGCAAAAATGCCGAATTTAAGCTAGAGGCAGTGGAAAAATGCATTGCTGCTCTAAATGGAATGGGCCAAACCTGGAAATGCGCCGCATTGAGCGGTGACGCGCTCCAGCGGCTGCTGGAAGACTGGCAAGCGAAGGCAGCGAAATCAGCAACGCACGCACAACGGACGAGAGTGCCTTCAGAGGGAATAGGAAATTCACCTACGAGCATTCAGTCAATCGACATACAACATATGCTTCGAAAGGATCCCGACGTCGCCGCCCAATTAAGGCGACTTGGATGGATGCCTCCAGAGGAAGCCCATATATCCCTACAAGGCTTTCATAACCCAGACTTTGAGACGCTGTTGACTGGAATGGATTCACAGGTATGTCACGAGTTCACGGTCATACTACAACTCGGCAAAATGGTCTGGCATGCGCTGACTAGCTGGCATTATGCAGAATACGCTGGGCATTTGCATGGGCAGTGGCACGCGCTCTGACCTCTCAATTGCAGATGGCCCAATGACCGATGTGTCGTGGATGGCACAGGCTCCTGGTTGGATGTACTTTCCGAGTACTGACGGCTTGCCCCAAGTCCAGCAATCCTTGTTCGATATGGTACAGTCAGGCGACCGGCCGGTGGCAGAGAGCTGGGTGAGTGAATCCCCAATGGGAATAGCTACGGGAGCAAGTTGCCCTCAGGGATGGAACAAAGCCATCCACTCTGCGCAAAATATTTGAGAAGGACATAGAATTATATTTGCAAGTTTCAAATTTACACCAATACCATGTCTTTAATTTAGCTGTATAGTAAGTATGTACCCCTTTTACCCATCTCTAGGAACTCCCCATAGAATTGCTTAAACTACCCCTTCAGTACACATCTGACTAGCTCTCCTTAGCCTCCCCATCCATCGTAGTATGGTCGACCAGCGAATAATCATGACCAGTATCACCATTACTAACGCAGAGATTGGAATGCAAATAGCCCAGAACTGACCAAACCCATCCTTGCCGGGAGCCCAGTCATCCGCCATGCTGAAAATCGCCGCAATGGTACTTATTGGAAGGAAGAAGCCTCCGACCACTGCGAGTGCCAGCACGATCTTGCTCTGCGCGTTAGCTCTCTCGACCTCTTTGACATTGACCTGGCCATTGACATAGCTAATACTCTTGTCTAACCGCTCGATAGTCTGTGCAATCTGGGTCTTGATATTCTCAAAGTCCATCACCAACTCTTGGGAAACCATGTCTGCGACTCGGACTTGCTCCAGACCCAAGCTCTTCCCATTCCACAACGGCTTTCCTTTGGAACGGCACGAGTTCAGCTGTTCCTGAATGACCTCGCAGTACCACGTAATCCGTCGATCTACTGAGAATAAATGCTGCAAAGCTGTTCGATACAACTCCTGATTGTTCTCATCCGACATGCGGTCCCCTCCTTGTAGGGCCCAGTGTATCGAGTAAAGGTCTCGAGTAACGAAGCCAATGATCCTGAGCCAATCGTATCCTATAATGCTGCGCAAGTCCTGCGTGACTGTGAACGGAGCTGGTATACCGGCGTTTCTTAGATTGGTATTGTTTTGAAAACAGTCCATAATGAGAGACCGTATAGAAGTATGCCCCGAGTACACGTGGGCACCAACAACATAGCGCGACGGGCGCTCTTGTCCCGGAAGCCCAAAAAAAAGGCACACGTTTGTCGACAAGTATCACACCTAAGGAATTGGGGAGATGGAAAGTCAGTCGCGTTCTTCGATTTGATGATTGGGATAAAGAGGAGATGACGCACAAGTGTCCCAGGGATCGCCATCAAACCAAATAGCCACACTAGCTCTTGTGATTGCGAGCGGTGGGAAATCGGCATCTTCTGGTGTCAGCGGTGGGCGCTGCACTGGATTCAATGGCCCATATGCGTAAGAGGCCCTGAGAGCTCGAGACTCCCGCGCGGAGTTCTGAATCTCGAAATAGCTCAACTTGAAGGGCCGGTCCAATTCGCGCAGCTGTATGTGGATGAGCAGTTCGTGCTGCTGTTTGTTCTGCACGGACGGCGCAGGACGGATCCGATATTCCACATCTGTGAAGTTGAAGCTCGGGTGATCGTGTAGATACTCGTCCACGAAACTAAGAAAGGACTGGCGCTGGGTATCATTCCGAATGCGCGTCGCAAGGAACTCTCTCAGACACTCCGGATCAAGCTCCTCGACAATGATGACCTCGGCTTCCTGCCGTGCATCAGAGCCCCTCGCAGGCCAAGAAGCACTTGACCTCAGCCGCTCGTGAAATGCTCGTTCAAAAACGGGCTTTTTATCTTTGAAGAAACGCACACGATCAATCTTGGCTACAAGGCGACGGGTTAGTTGGCGTCTCATAAATGGTGTAATGAGCTCATACCGTCACGGTCGACATCCGCCCTGTTGAGAAAGCGGTAAATGTTTTGATATTGTTTTCTTTCCTCCTGGCTGTTCAAAATACCATGGCCGCCGTTATCGCCCGGGTTTCCTCCATCTCCAGGCTTCGGATCGACTACACCCATTGCGACGCGCAGAGACAGCAGCCAGAGAATCAATAGAAAAGAAGAATGGCCGCCGTATTAGATGATTACGAAGAATAGACTGCGGATTTAGGATCCAGTTCCATATAGAGGCAGCGTGGCGGTGTGGTGGCTGAGAGGCATCCAAAGTTCAGCTGAGTTCTTTTGCCAACCAGCCCCTTCTGTCAGCCTCAGAGGAGACCAGGGTAGGAAACCGATTCTCTGAGGAAACGGGCTCACATGACCAAATGGCTGCTAGAGGAAGCGCTGTTGTGCTGTCCCACTCTCAGCCGCAGCGATAGCAAACTTGGGTAGAATGGCCTTTTAGTCACCTATGGCACCGCGATATGAAGAAGCAGCTCAGTTCCTCCTTTAAGATAGACCCATAAAACGGCATGAGCGATTGAGGTAATATTATAATGCCCTTTGGGTTGCCTAATTGTTTTTTTTTCAGCTACGTCGTCATCGATACAATGGCTTCAGCTTAACGAAAATTGCTCCAGTATTTATTGGCCCATTTGGCACACTTCCAGGGCTTAATCAATACAGAGCTTTAATCAAGGACTCAAGACCAAAAGTCTACTTAATGGTATCTGCGATAGGGTTCGCTGGAATCTTCCAAATCAAGTCAAACTCTTTGCATCCGCATCAATTAACTTCTTTAGGAGAAATATCCTTTTTTTTATCACTTGCGTCTGCTCTTAATGTCAAGGTATAGCCCAGGTTAGTAGACATAGCCACTAAAATGTGAAATACTTTAACTTATAGTGATAGTACAAGGAAAGAGTAGTGGCTGCCTTATAATCGAGAACATTAATCCTGTATGTTCGATGTGAATAACATCTATAGTCTTCACCGCACCAACGCTAACCTATCGGCGTCCATGGTTTTTTTCGATCCCTCTGGTAACTTGAATGTGTCATTTGCCTTTCTGTTGTGATTTGGTCTGCTGCTTTCCAAATTTTCCAACGGCATCTCCTCATAAGCTTTAGCCTCTTATCAAATTCTATCGAAAGAAAGAAAGAAAGAAGCAATCTCCGTATTCAAGGTTCAGGCCGCAAGCTGCCAGGCAGGCTGAGAAATCATAAAAATCTATTTTATGTCCTTGCTGGCTGAGATCTGTCCAAGAATTCGGAGGCAATGGTCGAGGGGGGTTGGTAAGTTGTTGCGAAGATTCTGAAGATCGTCTATCCCTTGCGGTCGACAAAATCTATGAATCTTCCAGATGAAGTCGCAAATAGGTGACTTGATCCACCAAAAGGGAGGACAGGTAGAACCACACCAAGAACAAGCATCAATAAACTTGTGTTTGCCATCGAAAAAGAAATAATCTGGCTTCCGCTTACAGTTGAAATCCGCTCCATAGAGACGGTCGACGTCATATCGGAGACCTTTAATCCGACGAAAGGTTGGGCGTATTGGGATATCCTTCCTAGAAGTGATAAGGTATATTCGAGTCCAAAGAGGGACCTTACCGATAGACCAGGACCAGTGAAGCCTCATGATAAGACCTCGGACTGAGGCTTCGGAGAGATAACCACGCACTGACTCTGCCGTGTTCCCTAAGCCTTTTTTCCACTCATCCTTAAATTCAAAGGCAAGATTTAAGTCCGAGGTGTAGGGAAGTTGAAAAAAAGGAAGACGAGTGAGCAACTTATCCCATTCTAGGAAGACACAAGCAGCTAGGTGTTCTGCCGGAAATCGAAAGCAGATGATATCCCTATGATTGAAGTCTATGCAGATGGAATGACGACCTTCCTTAATTAGAGCGCTTGTACGCCCTGCCGCGATTTTCCTCCTTTTTATTGAAAGCTGACGCTTTGTAAGCGGTTTCTTTCTAGGCCGTTTCTTTGGAGCAGGTTTCTTCTTTGGTTTTTCTTTCGACTCTCTTGCTATTCTCAGTTTTCTCCAGCATTGTTTTAAAGCATAGCGAGATTCCCAGCAAGCAGTTCGAAGTCCCGCGTTCCAGTAGTACTGGAACCGATTGGCCTCAGTCCAAGCGAAGTTGGCGCGCTGAGTTCGTAATACACGACGGTCTTTTAATGGCAGTGGCTCTTCATCTTGCAATCGATTGCGTTCGCTCTCCGATTTAGGACAGTACATGTGAGCCCATAAGAGTAAAGGAAGATAGCTCTCGCTATATCCTGGGTGGTCTTCGTTGAACAGAGAATAGTAATGAAGTTTGGGAAGCAAGGGTATAATGATAGCCATATTCCATATCATTACACGTATTTCAGCAGGAAGCCTAGGGAATAAAGGGAAACAGGTCAAGGGCTTTGGCGAGTCCATTATATGGGTTGTGTTGCTCGTCATGTTGCCCTTCACGTGCCTGCGGCTGCCGTGTCGTTGTTCGATTGCGAGGTGAGCTTGGCGTTCGGCCTTAAGCCTGTGAATTTGGAATTGGAATCAGGGAATAGTTCGGACAGTCTTGGTGTGATGAGACGAAGTTATGTTTGGGTATGAGGAAGGACTCCATCAAATCGCTAAGAGCAATGAGGGGTTATCGCAGAGTGAGTCACTCATCGAGAACTGACTTTTATGCTAAACGCTTGTTATGAACCCTTTTCCAAAGCCTCGGTGCTATCTTAGGATTGTTATTCTTCGGGGTTCTTTTCTTGCGCACTCGGTAAATTGTATCTGTATGTGATCCTTGTGCGGACTCAAGCATCTCTTTTGAACTCACACTACTAACTACCTTACTTGCCCAGGGTGCGGACGTCTTGGAGTACAGTAAAGCAAAGACACGTGGTTCTGGTGTTTCAGGCGTGGTTTTTATACTAGGATACCTGCGTCAAAATTTAGGTCGAACCCCTAAACGAAAAAGTATATTTGCGGCTACTGGTATTCAAAATATGAAAGTTCTAATGCGATGCGCCAAAAAAGCAGGAGAAAAGGACAATCGGTCGCTACTGGACACCCAATTTTCTTCCAATAATAAGAGAGGCAGAGAGGACATCGAAGTAGATGTGGTAGGAGAGGGGCGAGGACGACGGGGCAGGCTCTGGTGCAAAGAATGAAGTAAAGTTTCTTGTTGCTGCTTCTGCTACTGGGATTGGGGCCGGGCCAGCGACTATGGGGCCTCCCAAGGCCTAGTACATATTAGAAAGTCAATATATTAGATCAACAAAGAGTGAAAACCTACCGTGAGCTGTTGCTCGGCGGGCTTTATTCAGTTCCGAAGTCAGTTATGTCTTAGGGCACCGATCCAGTGGTTATACTAACATCTTTGAATCGCTCAAAGGCCTATGTATTCATGTTAGTTTGATCATTTGGAGACAAACGATTGTGAGGCTTACAGCGATTTCATCTCGTAGAAGCTGTTATTAGAGTAATATTAGTATTCTAAAAGATTCGGCGGCGTAGAGAAAACTCTGTACCCAGTTCAACGCTTCTTGGCCCTTCAAACTCGCCTTTGTCAGTAACACACCCTGTACAGGTGGGTTATGGTTGGTAAACCTCTTACCTGCACAGTGGCCTCTCCATTCTTCTTCAAGGTAAGGCCCGTTAGCACATTGATAGTCTGATAGGATCTAGTCGCTTGAAAAATTACATACCGCCCGATTGGAGGACCGCTGGCCGTGACAGTGTCAGCTAAAGTGGTCACGATACATCTAACAGTGGCCAACTCACAGTATTTCCCGCGTTGGCGGGGTGGCCAGGCATTCAGAATAGGTTTTGTGATTTTGATCAACAAACTCGCAGCCTTTTGCCCGGTGGCAGGTTCGGCAGGCTTATTGTGAGATTAGCGCCAGAATCCAGGCTCAATAACTTCGATCGGTAAGCTCACGAGATTCTCGCCGGTGACGGGGTAGGGGAGAGGGAGGTGAGGCGACGGGCGCAACAGCCTTTCGTGCGAAATACCAAGGGTTCAGTCAGTTTCTCAGGGAAGTGATACGTGAGGTGGTGGTCTAATGGCGATGATGAAGAGAAGAGGATGAAAACTAGAAGAAGATCCATCGTCATGGAAGACGTCTGGTGTTTGCTGCTGCTTCGCTGCAAAAAGGGAAGGAGCAGACTGGCTTGAACCCCTTTAGTTCCTTCCTTCCATCGCAACATTATGACTATCAACGCCGATACCAATCAAATCACAATCTAATCTTATCTTATCAATGGCGTGACTCTCGCTGCACAGTCAAAATGACATCCCAATAAATTAGATGGGCGGCTTCGTCTTTTCACAGTGACTCTCAAACAACCACAGTGCCACCTAGGCCAGCAAAACGGAGTACCAGTTCGAGTACTATATTAGTTGACAATTTTCCTAACAACATTTCTTAGGGAAGGCAATATACCATGGTTATTGCCTGTTATTTATTGTGTGTCCGGTCCTGTTTTTTTCTTTCTGTCTCTATATGCCAAATTCATCTTCTCTTTTCCCTTCACAAGTTTGCCAATACGGGAAGAGATGTTATTGCTATATCTTCGATTGTTCAATCCAGGACTACGATTGGTTCTCCCAATAGGACATCGAGGTGAATACTCGGCATCTCCATCACTACTGCTCTCAAGTGGGCGTCAAAATAACAGCGACTGCAAAAGTGTTTATATATCTCAACTTTCTTATACAATCATGATAATGATAGATAATAGTGTATTATAATAATAAATTATTGAGTAATTATTAGATAGTATTATTTATTCATACACAAAAGGATTAGCTATTCTGACACAAAAGGAAGCATTATTATGTGACTGCCAATAATTCTGTCGAGGTGACTCTGCGGTCCCTGTTTTATGACGGCCACTTGCCTCTATCGAATCTTTTGCGCCATCAAGAATTATTTTTTTCATGCCATTACTGATACCTCAGTACCCAGAGGCTTCTTGGAATGCCCAGGTCTTGCGTCTTCAGTTGAGATTTGGATCTCCTCCGTCTTTATCACATGATTTTTCGTCTTCATAACATTCAGCTCCACATCGCTCTCAGCCACACCATCCTTAGTGGTACCAGGGCCGCTGTAAGTCCTCCAGTAGACGCCTGAGCCTTGGGTGTGTGTTGGCTTCGATCGGCCGGTCTTTGTGTGCAAGCCGGCTGAGGTCCCTCCATACTTGTAGTCGCTGTCGCTGTTGGTTGCGTTGATCAAACGAGCTATCTTCCGGAGGAGCGGTCTCAGAGCTGTGAGCGCAACAACCATGATCGAGACACACAGCTCAGATGTGGCCCATAAATCTGTTTGGGGTGATTAGGATCGACTGCACCGAGTCCGTCGGCGGAGAGAGTGTAAGACTTACAATTTGAGAAGCCATTGCCTCCAACGGCCATGTTGACAAATCGACCGATGCTAACAGCGATAGTAATTATGCCGAGTCCCAATATCGCAGCCAAGCCAACCTTCTCTCTGAACTTAGGGAGTTTGAGGTCTCGAATCAGAGGGAAAGGAAACACAACGTCTAGTCACACCGTTTAGAGAATGGAGACTCCGAGGGATGATAAGAGACCTACTTAATACTTCTGTGGTGAAGTTTAGTGACCAGTGGACACGCATCATGACCATTGAATCGTAGGCTCTGCAAGCATCGGGAGCCTCTGACCTGTACTCGAAATATGATAGCATCAGCGGACCTGAACCTTCTCCGGGTTCTGCGCACATGCAGAAGAGCGTACCAATTCGATTTTATATTTGTTCCGCACCAGAGCGTCGCGTCGAAGAAAGTCACGAGAGAACTTGCCACCGTGATGGCTGTAAGGGCATACAGCGCTTGTCGCATTCGAGGTTGTGTTCGCGGGACGAGTGTGTAGTAAAAGGCGATGATGCTAAACTTGGGGAAATACATGCTAATCTCCTGCGTCAGTACGATGACTTGCTTTCCCTCTGGAAGTTGGCACTCACCCAAAATCAAACCAGTAGTTGACAGTGAACCTGATCTACATCGAGTCTTTAGCAAGGGTGACTAGTCAGGATGATCGAAGACTCCGTACTAGTAGGGTATATGTCCCCGGATCTTCATAGTTGTGCATCGTGCCAGCATTGTATACCAGCGTGTCGCAGACAACCAACGCCAATGCACAAGCGGACGCCACTAGGAGGAAGATATCGGCAAGATGGAGTTTGTCCTTATTAAGCTGTATGCGGGCGAACATGCGGGCAGCAACAAGGACTAGGGCTAGGGCCAGGAGAGTCCATTCGCCCGCCTGTAAGGATCAGTATTCATTCTGGACATGCAACGGTTTCTTGAGAAAGAAAGCTCACAATCACCGATGTTGCATCGGACATAGTGTGCGGTTGGGCGCTGCCCTCCAAACCGACGGAATGGTTCTATCACCGAAATCTAAACTGACGGGAAAAAGGATGAAGAAAAAGAAAAGTAAAAACGCGTAGATGAATAGCTTGCAGATAACCAGGGGCAGAGGCAGATGGTTTGTTGTATGGCCCCTGGATTTCGCTCAGCAGCGGGAAAATGACATACTAGCCGTTCTCTCCTTTCCTCGATGGTGTTAGCCGCATTATGCAAACCTCATCTAAGCTAGCGTTTGTCATGATTCAAGCGCAGTGCTTTTACGTGAAAAAAGTCCAAGCGACTCTGGTAATATCGCCAAGGCCCTTTCTTCTCAGGGGTACCACCCAATCTAAGTGACGAGTTCCCCCATTCGTTCATCTAGGTCTACTCCTACATCCTATACGTGGTCTAGCGTGGTATTGTCAGGAGGCGTCATGCCTTTTGGCCGCAGATCAACCAGCCTGGGACCCTGGGGAAGTGGACAGGAACAATTCACAATAGGGCAAGGCTCCAACGGTCTCCAATGTTTACCACGGGGGTGGAACCAACGCGTTATTTCCTGTTGGTCGGATTCACCAGAGCTTATCGAGGATGTGTGGAGAGGCAATAGCCTGGCTAGTGGCAGCCCGTCCTTGTGCTATTCCAGCTAATGTCCAATAATCACGCCATCCTAATCATGAAGATCTCCAAGCCATTGGCACTGGTTCCTTCACTCATGCTTACCAAGAGCCCAAGATCACTACCTCCGCGCCATCCTTGTCCCTGCATAGCACCTGTTTAACGCACGGAGATCAAGCCAGGCGATCTTTACGTATGACCCGACCCTAACGCAGCATTGTCGGAACTACACGCGTATTAGGAACGATGCCGGCGCACTCTTCGCAACGGGAACAAGATCTAGGCGCCCCGAGAGAGGTGGAAACATGCAATAGGATACCTCGTCTCCTCCGGACAGCCTGCCTTCCACCCCCACCCCATCGTAGTCTCACGCCAAGGGGGATGTAGGCAGATATCTATTTAAAAAGCTTTTTCTCCACATCTAAATAACCCCAAGCGCTCAATCAGCTGTGGGCACCCTTTTTACGCTTACTACTTCCGAGAATTTTCATTTTTAGGCACATGCCTGCCTTCAAGTGTTATCCGCGACAAAAACCCCAAGTAAGCGAACCACTGGGGGTGATTTTACACTCCAGTAGATCATGCGGAAGTTTTCCCGAGACTACATATCGAAGCTAGACGTTGAGTCAGTAGTTTAAAGCAAAGAAAAACAAGAGCTGGCGCCCATCGTGTCCCTCGTGCTAAGATCACACTATGGCGGCAGCCCAGGTCGCCCGGGTCAATCTTCCTTCACAAGCAAGCAAGAGATACTTCCAGCTGATGCCAGCTCTTTTGCCAACACAAATCTGCTAGCTTCTGCTTATTACAGTGAAATAAATGAATGACCATTGGTAAGACCGCCACGACGGAGAAATATATGTCTGCTAGATTTGCCGACTACTACGCCCACAGATATGACCCATGCTCCCATGTCAGGCGCTAATTAATGATCTTCCAAGCTCAACGGCGGCGATTACGGGGCTCAAACGAAAATAAAATCCACATCCACGGATTGTGACGAGATATAGGATCGGTTGAGCAACAAGGAAGTAGGAATGTTCCCTTTGCCTAGCAACTAACTCGTCAGACAGATGATCGTAGGAAAGGTAGCGCTCATACGGTGACGTGACAACATCGTGGGACGTACAACAATGCTCCTTGGTGCATACGCCTTTCATATGATCAAAGGCTACATACAACATTGTGAAGACTCTCCAAGGTTTCTCGTTCCCCAAGGAGACTGCCATGCGACACAAGCTCCATTATATCTTATCGAGTACGAGACGAGAGCAGCAACGTCATTGAGTGGATGTTGAAGAATATGACTGGCGATCTGAGCGGAGGAAGCAAATTCGCTAAGCTTCATGTTGTTGCTCGTGAATCTTCCAACCGCGAACATGGAATTATTTTTACTAGAACTAGAAGTAAAATTAATCTTCATATAACATAAACTGAGAACAAGAGATCATCAATATCTTCAAATCGTTCAAGTGGTACCGTGACGCGAAAAATAAAATAACCAATGCCCCGACACCCAAATCCAACCGGACATCTCACAACACCCCAAACACCATCGAACACTATGCGTTGCCCATCATCTAATAACATGAAGAAGAAAGAGATACTTCCTTACAGCCGTCCCTTCCAAGAGTGAAGTCGTTGCAGAGTATATTGCAAGCTTGGCCTGGCTCAACGAATACACGCCCTTCTTGCGATATTGGAGTAAACCACGGCAGCCTCATCTGGTTCTGTTCCAAGGGAGCCCTGAACCCGGCTCGGCAGGCACAATAATGCTTGCCCTGGCTCGCCACCGAACCGCCTTCGATTAGGATGCAGCTGGTGGTGATGTCGCACGAGTTTGCGTCTTCGGGGTTGCATTCGTTAAGGCACGACCTCTTCTTGCAGTCAGGTGTACATGTGGCGCTTCCGCTAGGACCGTCATCGCATTCCTCACCGGCATCCAGCTGAAAGTCGCCGCACTTGAAGCTGCTTTCAATCTTACAATCTTCCGTGCAGTATCCCGATGGGTCATAGCCGGTTGGCCCAGGGTCACACTCCTCATAATTGGACGGAGCGTAAATCCCGTCGCCACAGATTCCGCGGCACTCATCTGGATACATTTCGCAAACGCGAACAAGGTCCATGAGCGACGGTCGGCTTCCCCTGCCGACATAAACTTTGCTGTCAACACCCATCAAGGGCTTCTGTGTGAAGCTCTTGCCAAACTGCCACTCGAAATAGTGCATGATTGAGTTTGTGTCATAGGGACCCTCATAGTTGTACACCAGAGGGTTGGTAATCGGTGCAAATTGGCATCCCCATCCTGAACACGCGCTTTGGGAGCACTGGGCAGGGACGCTGTTGAAGTCGATGATGTTTGCGCATTCCACGTTGAAGAAACGATATCGGTCGGGCCGCTGATGTTCGTGATGGAGTCCAAGTACTTCAATCAAGGTTAGCATTGAGTCAGAAGGGCTGCTTTGGTCATCAAATCAAAGGACCTACCATGGCCGATGCCGTGAACATAAAATGAATCGTCTTCATTCCCAAGCAAGACAACACTGGCTTTCTGTGTGTCGGCCATACCGACGGGCCACCAAGATATGTCTGCGTCCACGAATGTTATGGTAACTCGAGTGGCTGGCGTATTTGCGTTTTTATCGTAAGAGTCGGTCTGCTCTGAAAATTGTAGCCACTTAAGTCGGTTTGACCACCTTTTCGTGGCGTCTCGAAAGCGTTGCTTTCTGTCCTCTATTAAAGCAGGTGTCAAAAACGTGGCGCCAGCGGTGTCGAAAGTGTATCCTATAATGCCACCTGGCCATCTTGAGTTTCGAGATCGTATGGAGAAAGCCCGCTTCCCGAGCTCTGAGTCCGGTGAGTCTAACTCGGACCTTCTCTGACTATTTGAGACAATATCGCGCTTGATATCGGCCTCGGTTCCGTAGACTATATCGCCATCGATCGTCGCCATGCCATTGATGACGGAGTACGCAACTCGGCGCTCAACTGATGTCACATTGTCGGAAGAACCGTACGCTGAGTGAACCTGATACTGAATGTCCACTGTAGTGAGGCCGTATTTGGAGAGGTCTCCGGAACTGGTGTTGTTTTGGGCATTGCTTGTCGTGCTTTGGAGGAGGAGGACGAAGTATGGCAGTAGGCCCTTCATTGCGGCTTATTATAATGAATAAGAGCAGACAATGATCCCTTTTTTCTTTTGGTTGTGTGTGAATTTTTTAAGTTGTGTTCAAATATCATCCGCCCATCATGGAAAGCAGATATATATTGGCCCGGTGCAATCAAGCTTGTGGAATCAAGAGCTAAGCAGGTGACCGATTGAGCCCAGACGGACCCTTTTCAAACTGCATCGCCTCGACCGGCGCCTCCTCACCTCCATGATGAGAACTAGCGGCAAGAGCTGAAGGCGAGGAAACAGCCACTAAAGACCTCCAGAGTGCGTTCCATGAAGTATAATTAGAAGCCTAAAGCTATGCTTCATTGCCTAAGACTGTAGGGCTGAGTGAAGCTGAGAAATTAGACCGTTTAGAGGAATTTAGGATCACCGTTTAAAGCTAAAGTCTGCCGCCATCTTTGGGGCTGGGTTCACTTTAAGTCACGCTATTGAAATCCAGACCAAGCCATTACACTCGAAAGCCAATTAAAAGCAAGCACCAGGTGAGTGTTCATACCCAAAGGATAAAGATCATTCCGCCTCAGCTGCCCAACCTTCCCAACCTAGCAACAACTGCGCCTACTCACTTCTCCTCCATTGCCAGATAGAGCACGCCGGTCAAGCTTAGAATAGCAATTGGCGTCTCTAAAGCCACCATGGCAACTTCCATAGGTTATCAAGTCTCATGACCACACGGGGCTTGCACTACTGCAAACCTAAAGTCGCAAAGTAAGACACAAGGCAGACCCCGCCAGCCGCATTCTTTATCACCTCGCCGCTCTTCAGCCAAGAGGAATAATCGATCCATCATCCAGACCGACCTGCCAACGGCCACCCAGATTAAAAGCGGCTGCCCCCCTTCCACCGGTGCAAGGATTGTGTTACTTATTATCAATAAGTCAAACTAGAGCTCTTGGAATCACATTCCCAATCTGAAAGATACCCGACATCGCAGCGCTGTTGCCGTCATGCCAGCATTTAAGCTACCCAAGGGGGTTCTGCCCTACCCCCGTGTTTTGTTTTACCTTGTCAAAACGTTGCAGATCACTTCTTCTTGCTGCATCGCCGGCATCATGTTTTTCTTCATAGCGCACTTGAAGGAAGAGAAGTCATCCATTCCCTGGATGTTCTACTTCGTGAGTCACCCGTATTGAAGGAGAACCGCGACAGACGACTGACCACATAGCAAAAGCTTCAAGGGTCAGCCATGTTGACGCTTGTCACCAATTTGGTCATGGGACTTTGGATCTTCTTCCGATCCTGGATCCCAAAAGTCAGTGCCACTGTCAACGGCTTATTAGCCGCGACTTGGGCGGCTGGCTACGGTTTGCTCATAGACGCAATGAAATCGACCATCACAACACCATGCTCTGTTGCTTACTGGGGCGATAATCGTGGAATTCTTGTTTGCAGTCTTTACAAGGCGCTACTGGCTGCCGGTGCTGTCGGCCTGTAAGAGACGTCCCCTTTTACCAAGCATAGTGATGCCAGAAGCTGACAGCATTTGAAAATAGAGTCAGTACGATTGCCATGGTCGTCCTGGACGTTCTTGCCGCTCGAACATTGCGGAATTCTCGCAAGTCTCGCACTGGAATGAAAGAACTGCTGTTGGGGAAGCCAACAGAGACGGTTTATGAACCAGTTTGGGCCACCCGAGATGATATGGCCGTTAGTCTGGAGCCCACAGAGAACGAGAAATATGAAGGCCTGCGACGCAACAGTGACCCCTAAATGGGGCCTAAATAGCCAATTGGAATGCTCATCTCTCACACAAATTGGCCCCGGCTGGGCGTGGTGAGCGGTCCGGCACATATTAATGTGACCACGAGGGTACGGGTTGGTCTCCGGTGGTTTGGGACAGTAAAGGTTATGGAATATACGTCGTTTCATCAATTCTCCATGTTACTTAGCAAATTCTCATTCATGTTGATCCATTCATTTATATATGGAAAAACAATAACTCCTTCTCTTGTAAGAATTAACGAAGACATCGGGTAGGAAGTGCCCAGTCACATGGTGATCTGTTGGCGACTTCCAACATTGATCAACCCCCTGATATCCTCAGATCCGGATGCCAAGTTGGTTCCGGTCCGGGCGGCGAATGATACCACTCATGTGATCGGTAATGATTCCAGATGCCTATCAAGCGATGAGGTTTGTCACTGGCTGGCTCTTCATAAGTGCCCTTCTCACTCTACCGAGCATCAGATCCCGAGAGCACATGTGGTCTTCCCCCACACAAAATTGATGCTCGGCTTCCCATACCGATTAGGTGGCTCTCGTCTCGTGACACTACGCACCTAATCTGCATCCGAGACGTAGCATTTCAATGTTCACTGTTATCAAGAAGCCCATGTATTCACCAAAATTTTGCCAAAAAATTGCACACAATATCCGACGAGAGATAAACAACTTACACTTCGCCAGAGGCCAGTGCTAGATCAACCATTCATTACATGCCGATTATTAGAGCATTGACTTGATTCTCACGGTGAAAGCCGTGCTAGTCTAAGGGGCCGAGTGACAGGGTTCGGGAACCGTTACCGCAGTCAACCACCTACGGAGATTTCTCAAACTCTCGGCCTGCAGCATGTTCGATAACACCAAACGCAAAATGTTCTAGCATCTCAGAAATTGTACAAATCAGGAAACCATTTTGCAAGACTAGCAGGCCACAATATCACAATCAGACGGAGAGCAAGCCGCCCCCATGGGGCACACGTCTTTGTGGGCTGGCAATGATCTCGGGAGTCGAGCTCCACGATGAGCCTGGTTCGCAGACATCAGAGCTGGCCCGAGTATAAAGCTTCCCGTTGACATGTTTGAGTCCTTCTCCCTTCCTTTCCCTCACAAGAAAATCAACGATCACAAAGAGCAAACTCAAACTCAACACCGATTCCGATCTTAGGACACCCTTTCCATAACAGCAAAATGCCCGGCCTTGTCGTTGCTCAGCCTCCCCCGGCTCCCCACGTTATTGGTCCTACAACCAAGAACGTTACCCTTCCATCGGAACCTCTACCTCAATACCTTCTCGACCAAGCCAGAAGCACCCCGAGAGAAGAATTCCACGCCCCGAAGCACATCAACTTCCAGACCCCCGCAAGTATTGTTTCTATGAAAGATATTGGTCTCGAAGGCCACGGAATCTCGCCCAATGCCGTCTCCGAGCCTTTCCGTCTCTTCACCGACGAGGCCATCCAGCAAATCCGAGCTGAAGTTTTCAGCGAAGAGGTTTTGAAGGATTGCCGGTTTGCTTCCACATTCAATAAGCAGATGGTCAGAGGGATGGGGCCCGCGTGAGTGAAACCGCAATATTCGTACTGAGGAAACTAGATCCTAACAACCCGAGAATAGTCGAGCTCCGTTCACTTATGCCGCATGGAATTCACCCGAGCTTATTGCCGCTGTTTCCAAGGTCGCCGGTATCGATGTCATTCCTTCATTCGACTTCGAAGTTGCCAACATAAATATCTCCGTCAACAGCGGCGCCAAACCTGTCTCGGAGCCCAAAAAAGACGATGGAACTCCTCTGAGTGATGGCCTTTCCAGTGTCGCTTGGCACTACGACAGCTTCCCCTTCGTCTGTGTAGTGATGCTCTCCGATTGTACTGACATGGTTGGGGGCGAGACCGCCTTGAGAACCTCCTCTGGTGAAATCATGAAGGTTCGCGGGCCTGCGATGGTAAGATTACTCAAATAACCCCATGTAACAAATGTGACGAGAACTAATCAGCTGCTATAGGGGACTGCAGTCGTTCTTCAGGGTCGGTACATTGAACACCAGGCATTGAAGGCCCTTGGCGGGCGCGAGCGCATCAGCATGGTCACATGTTTCCGTCCCAAGTCCCCTCATGTTCGTGACGAGACGACCCTCACGGGAGTCCGGGGCATCAGCCACAAGTCTGAAATGTATACCCAGTACACCGAGTATCGCCTCGAAATTCTGGAGGAACGCGTCCGCGCCAAGCAGAAGAGTGAGAGAGCGCGAGTGTTGGCTCGTCGCCCCTTTGACACGGAAGAGATCCGGCGATGGTTGAACGAGCAAAAAGCGTTCATTGACTCGACGCTGGAGGAATTGACGGGGGAGTAAATGTATTTTATATATCGTAAAGCATTGGAATTGAATCTAATAAAACTATAACCAAACTTGATCATAACATGCCATCCCTGAGATGACGGACGGTTGCACGTTTGCTTGAATGAAACGCGCGAATTATACCTCACATTTGATGCAAGGCAACTCTCTATAATTTCGAATCTATTCGTGATAAGTTTCTCACAATGTGATATGTGGGAGCATCGGAAATTCCTCTACCTCAAGTATCGCAAAATCTCAAATAGCGATCAGAAGGCGATAGAAGAAAGGTAACACTAATGGAGTTCGATGTTCCGTCCCTATTACTTTTATATCATGTATCGAAACGCGGGCGACTTATCTCCAAGCCTTGCTTTTTCTTCTTCTGTCAAGCTTCTAACATCCATCGCCTCCCTTTTCTTATTCACGTGCTTGTAGGCATATCGAAGAGCGACTGCGGCAATAATGCCAGCAAACGAGAACCCGAGCTCCAGTCCATGTCCGAGATAATATTGAGGGGCGTCTTGAGCTCGGTAAAAGTTGGATGACATGGCTATTTTGTATCTTGTTAGAGACCAATTCCCTCCTTCGCAACTGATCGAAGCTCACCTCCAGCAAAGTTCCCAACACCAATATGAAGAGCCATTCCGGCAGCTCGTTTATAATCACCCGCCAAGTTGTTACTCAGCCACGTTACATTTCCGGGAAGTGCTGGATATATTCCTGTTTCAACAATTAGCGCTAGGGACCTTTTCTCATCTCGCTCTTCCATAAATCTAATTACGTACCGCATACGACAAGGAAAATGCCAAAGTATACAACCCCTGGCACTGACCTCCCAGCTGATGCGATGACAATGAGAAACCCAATAGATATGCACGAGAGATGTAAAATCAGTAGAGGCGAACGCTTGCCGATGCGATCTGAGAAGTATGCAGAAACCACCGCAATGATAGCTGCTGTGACATAAATCGGAACCTAGTTTCTCAACCTCAGTTAAACTATTTCTCGCAGCAGCATTTTCCTGGGCCACTATACTTACTGTAAGGAGTTGAGCTTGTGATGAAGTGTAGCCCAGATCCCGGACGATAGTCGGCAAGAAGAACGATATTCCATACATTGGGCAGACCATACCGTACCAAGCTAACGAAACAAGTGGTTATTCACCTTACTCGACTGGGAAAACGAAAAGGTTCGATACTCACTGATCAACGCAAGCCAAATCTGGAAATCTGTAACCGCGTCCCAGACATATTTCCACTGGAATTTCTCCGAATCTTGGACATTTCCAGCGTATTGCTCCCTCAATCGATGAAGCACCCAGGCTCTTTCATCCTCCGTCAAAAATTTGGCTGTGTCTGGGTAGTCTGCGATGAAATAGAATGATGAAATGGCCACGAGGGTGGTTAGGATACCCTCCAGAATAAATATCCAGCGCCAACCTTCTAGACCTCCTACACCATCCATTTTCTAGTGATAGACCGTTAGCCTGCCAAGATCACATAGGAGCCGTAATAAGGCAGGTTAGACACTTTATGCGCTCCTCACAGACTTACAGCGATAGCAAATGCTAATAGACCTGAGAATGCCCCTGCAACACTAGCTGCACTGAAGAACATCGCCTGGCGAAGCTGCGCTTCATGGCGGCAATACCACATCGTGATATAGAAGGCAACTCCGGGGTAGAGGCCAGCCTCTAGAAATTTGTAAGCAAATGTGACTTGATTCATTGCGAGTCCATGTCGTACCGGTCACGCCTAGGAATATTCGCGAAATAAGCAACCCGTGGTAGTTCCTCACAATCCCCATCAATGTCTAACAAGGGTCCTATCAGCAACTAAAACGAGCAGTCACAAAGGTTTGAAGAATTTTCTCACCATAACAACTCCAACTCCGACCATGATAATTGGGAGCCATATCGAAGGCCTGAGTCTTTTCAAAACCAGATTTGAGGGTAGCTCGAAGGCTGCATACGTGAAGAAAAATACCGTTACTGCAAGGCGTCAGATTTTTTATCCTCCATAACCACATCTAGAGCGCTTTTTCCGCGACTAGCCGACTCACAACACATATTATACTCCTGGCTAGTCATGTTAAGGTCGTCAATAAGACCTTCGATTTTGGCATTGCCGATGTTGCCTCGATCCAGGAAGCAAAGAAGGTAGAGAACTGTAACAATGGGGATCACATGAAGATCTATTTTCCTCAATGTCTTCTTTTCGTCAATTTTAGATAATTGACCTCCTGTCTCCAATTGGGTCACTTGAGCATTTTCAGTGTCCGAATCAGATGCTTTCAACAGTGCTCCAGGGGAACTGGCTGGCTTTTCTGCGCTCATGACGGCGATATTGATAAGGAAATGAGGCGAAACAATGTGTGACAGTGAAAATAAGATTTTTAACTTGTATGTGAGATTCTGTAGAGCGGCTTTCCTTTATTGGCAGCAGGCAGAAGGAATTCTTAGGTCAACGTGGTTTACAAATGCACACACACTTAAGACCGAAAGCTCGGGAAGATATTGTATGTCTACCCCGCAAACGCCCCGGACTTTTCCCACAATTCCACATGGATGTGCTATAACACTTCAGTCTTATGAAGTAAAAAGAGGAAGGAGGATGATCTTTGTGGAGCCGGACGAGATGATTTTGTCACGTTGCTGGTTGTAAATGATGATAATTATACCCGGTGAGGGTCTGTGATTCGGCCAGTTGACTGTTGGTTTCCCCACCCATCACACAACTCGCAGTCAGCGTATTAATACCCGAGGCACATATTGCCGGCTACCAGTCATCTGCCTCCGGTAGAGCTGTTGGATCACTATTTCTTAATCCTGTAGATGGCCTGCACTCGAGCTTCACAGACTGATATCAATAAGCGAGCCCATGTATTCTCAGATAATAGGGATAAAGAGCTTAGGTAAAGTTAGAAAGCTATGTGGCTATATAACATATACCACATAAAGAACCACAAGACTGCCGGGGAAAATTGGCGCAAGGGCACGAACACTCAGGGATACATCGATATCATTCACACCTCAACAGAGTAACATGACATCAGTCTCTTCCGCGTAACGTTTAGAAGCCAAGGATTGCGCCAGCCTGTCCGGGAATAGTGGAAGCAACGCTGCCAGATCCGAGGAGAGAATAGCTGTAGGGGATAGAACTGGGAGTCAGGGTTCCGACAGGAGCGTCATTGATACCACCACCTAGGTTGACATCGTAGACTGCTACAGCGCTGTGGGAAGAGTGTCAGCAATATTTCCATTGGATGAAATACGGGGAAAGTGTGACATACCCCGTTTCGTCTGAATCACGGCTGGTAATAGCAACTGGGGAGTTCTTGAATACAGAGCTCTGAACAAGGATCTGAGCACCCATTCGGGAGTTGATTCCGGAAACGGATACACTATTTTCATGAATTAGTCGCAGAGCCAAGGATATTTTTATTCTCAATGAATGCTGTCATATCGCTTACGTGTCGTAATAGTTATTGTAGATGTGGCCTGTTCCGAAACGGAAGAGTGGCGTTCGAGATCCAACATTCTTGTAGTAGTTGTTGGCATATGTGATGCGAAGATGGCCTTTATCTTCGCTCGCGTTGTTGTCACTGTGGCCAGCAAGGGAAGCCCTAAATGAATGAATAAGTATTTTTCTACAGATTACGGGTTTCAATCAAGGGGGAGGTCGAAACTAAGCTCGCTCAAATAGACCACCCTGGCAGGCGGAGGCTTAGAAAGGTAAGCCGAGGATCAGAAACAACACTTACTTATGGTGGTCATGAAGATAGTTGCTAGGTTTGAATCCGTTAAACTGAGTCCCACATATTGTTCGGTGCGTGGCCAGGATGGACTTACTTGGAGAGGGTCACGTAATCCGATCCATGAGTGACATCAAGAAGCCCGTCATAGTAATCCTTGTCGTCTACAAGAGCTGAATAGAGCTCGTTGTGGTCAACCCAGACATTGGTGCTTGCCTATAAGCTGTAAGCAGGTTGCCGACGGACTTCACACTGTTCTGTAGCCAGCATCCGGTTCACTTACATCAACGGTGATAGCGTCCCCGTTCTCGGCAACCACGTAGGAGATTTTCAAATTTCGGATAATGACATTGCTCTGTCGGCGGACGTAGAGACCAACGTTGTTGAATCCTGTTTCAAAAATATGAGCAAGGGAAGTATGGGGGCATATTGAAACTACGGTGCAGAGACGTACCGGCTCCGGCAAGGCCAATAACAGACTTGTTGCTGCCAATTCGAACCTTGGTATTACCGGAGATAACACCCTTGACAACAACGATGCGAGCAGTCGTATCCTTTTCATCCACAGCAGCGGTAAACTGAGCCAGCGTGGATACAGTTGTCACTGTTCCCCCAGCACCTCCTTTGGTACTGCCACCCAGTTAGCGAGAATGTTTTCCATATGCTTGTACCTTAATTTTATCATCTCACCCTCCATTTTGAGTTGCATAACCAAGGTTAGCAGCCTCGGAGATGGTAGCTCGCTTTTCAAGGGCCACAGGGGTATCCTCCTCAATGGTAGGTGTGGGTGAAGCCGCAGCAACGGCAATCAGGCCGAAGACCAATGAAAGAAATTTCATGTTGACGGGCGGCTTAGAACAGTGAGATTTTCGAATTCCAGGTGAGTTCTTTGTTAGATTGAAGGTGAAGTTCTGTTCTCGTGAAGATACTGGATATGGAACGAGTGCGGGCGGGATATTTATGTTAATCGTTTCGTTGCGTTTCATCCCGAATAGTTTAATTGGCCTTTCACTAATTGCGGCCTCTCATTTATGGATGATCTTTTAAGGCCGATGACAGCATAAAGGAACTATGAAACGAAATCCGACGATCTAATTTTCCCTGCAACCTCCCATTGGCGTAAAATTCTATGTTCCATGGCGCGTGCCATCCATTATCCTCCATTTCCCATCTCGGTGATCGATTCCGCGTTTTCCTTTTTAGGCAGCTCGTCTCAACGCAGGATGAGCTGCAGGGGTCTCGGCAAGTAGACAGCCGTGTACCGACCTGATTTACAGCTAAGAAAAGCTGTGAGGATATTGAAATATAATACCTCTGTCGATACCATTCGATACGAAAGTGAGCTGTCTATTTAGACCATTTAGGTTGGATATGGCGGCAGCAATCGACCCAGGGTCTGTGAAGTCAATATATGCACTTGTGTCATCCCACGTATGTATTGCTCTATCCAATGTATCTATCAGTTTGTGAGAAGACGGAGTTTCTCTCTATTTTTGCGGACAGATATTGACAGCCAAGAATTCCATTACACCGAACCAGGGACATCCACAAGCCCGCCTACGACCTTGCAAAATTGATCCCACTATCACGGCATTGCTACAGAATTTCCTATATGGGGTTCCAATATACGAGATACATAGTAAATTAATAGTTCAGAGTAATGTACCCCCTCCTGGATCAATTCTCAAGTCCTTTATCCATTATTCTCCCAGATGTAGCGAGTCCGCTCCTATTTAGTACACCCTAGGCTTGTATCGGATGAATATAGGGTCATCAGGTTTTCGGATTTGGTGAAGCTTCACATCGACTGGTGGAACTGGCTCGGTCCTCAAGCTACCATCCTTCTCCGAGAGCTCAAAGTCAAACATGGCGAAAAAGTAAGCGTTGCATAGCACCATCTCTAGCTTGGCAAACCTCATCCCCAGGCATGGATGACGACCGCTACCCCATCCCAAATAGGTGTGACTCATCTTCTTGTCTTCAGCTCGATCGTGGAAATATCGAGCCGGGTCGAATTTTTGACTGTCTGTGTATATGTCCGGATTCATGTGCACGTCGTTGAATACGTAGGCCGCATATGATCCCTTGGGAATCACCTCGCCAGTATTGCCAATGGGGATATCACGAGGGCCAACGTTCTTTCTGAACCCGGAGCCTGGCTGTCCAATCCGGATCGACTCCCGCAGGGACAGATCAATCAGAGGAAACTCACTCTCCCATTGATCGATGCTGAGCGAGCTCAAGACCATGGCCGGGGACTGCTCTGGCGTTGATCTATACTTGGCAATCACGCCATCAACCTCGGCTTGGACTTTAGCCTTCCACTCCGGATTCTCAGCGCAGTATATTGGAATATAAGAGGCATGAATTCCGGTGTTTACAAGTCCTGCAAAAAGGGAACCAATCTCAAACTACCCAAGCGTTAGTCATGGCCTTGTCTAACCTCTACCAGTTTGGTCGAAGTATCAAATTACTTACTGAAATCACGTGGGTGATGCTGGCTCCGGTGTCCAGAATATGCTGCAAGGCATCATCAACTCGCTTCTCGGACTTATCCCTGCTTTTTATAATGTCGAGAAATATCTTGTACAGCCTCGCACCGTTGTACATTCTAAGGATATGGTTTGGCGTGGGTAACCAGGGAAAGAACAACTTAAGGACACTGGTCCGACTCTCAAATTGCTCGAAGATGCTTAGTGTATGATTCAAAAGCTCGGGGTTCTCGGCAATCTCTCGGGCTCCAAACGTCCTTGTGGTGAGTTGGTAGACCAGCCTATACATAGAGTCGAAGGGGTTCATGACCCTCCACTCTGGTTGCGAATCTGAGACAGGTGCCACCGCAAGCGCCTCACACATGCGCCGTGAGTCCGTTGCTAGCAAGCCAATGTTTTTGTTGAGGCTGTCCGACTTCAAGAGGCTGGCCAGAGTCTTTTTCAAAAATCGGTCGAAGATGTCGCCTCCCGGTTGCTCGGGTAATCCCGCGAACAAGTCGTTAAAACTATCTTCTGGTCAATCGATCATCCAATGACTGACGCTAATCAAGCTTTCTTCTTACCCTTCATTCAGAGCCAGATCCTTCGAGTCAAAGAATGTCCTCCTACCCTCAGGCCCATTGACACCTACCACATGCTTCTTCCCGATAAAGAAACTAAAGTTGCCAGTTTTGGTGGACCTTTGAGCAGTGTAGTACATCTCCTGTCGGTGGGTATAAAAACGCCAAGCACCGAGGATTGGCAAGTCGTCGGGCTTCCAGAGTTTCGGCACTGCATGAGATAACGATGGCCGGGTGGTCAGCAAGTGCAGTAGCAAGGCAAGACCCGCGAGCACAATTGCCCACATGATGGTTGGCCATGCTTTCGGCTGTAGGAGTCTCTCAAATATAGCCTGCATGGTAGTGTTGACGCTCAAACAGTGTTTGAAGTGCTATATGGGTAGAAATGGCCGGATATCGAACGGATATTTATGCTCATGCTCATACCTAGACCCCTCATTCTGATTTTCGCTACTTATCAGTTTTCATCTTACATCGCGGGTCCAATCACGACGACAAGGGGATCGGAATCGACACTAGGGAGGTCCGTGAACAAACCGGTGTACTAAGGACGTAATATGTACACACCATTAGGTCCAATAGAAGCCCGCAATTTGTCAGCTCCTGGCCATTGTAGCACTTTGCCATCGAACTAAGGATGCAGGCCTAAGGCCAGCAGTTTGCTTCGCCAAAATCAAATCCCCATTTGAAACCTAAGAACAAGATTCGCTTTCCATCCCGTTAGATCCAGTAGCATAGGCCACATTTATTTTTAAGTGTCGATCAAATTTGTCCACTAAATCACGTTATCTGCGAGTTACTATAACAACAAGCCTTGAGTGACCCCCGACAGTACCAATGTACTTGCTCGAGTTGTGCCACCCCTACCATCATTTGCATAAAAATGATGTCTCACAAATGAAAGTCAGAAAACGTCCCATTGGCTGCATGTCCGCATAACCAGCATGAATATTGGGGTTGGCGCTTCAAAGTGCAACAGTTCAGCCAATGGGGACTAGAGGAGGGGGAAAGAGGCAGAATCACTACCCAATGAAAGCAGAACACACAAGCAAAGCAAGCCACCAGAACTCTCAGCTGGTCTTCTCAGATTGTACGTGGCGGTCTCATCTCTCTTCCATTTCCAGCTTGGGTTGCGAGGACATGTATATGTACATGCGTGGCTTATGCACAGGAAGCCGTGGTAAGCATCCCCGACACCAATGGAAACTGAGGCTTTAATTATGCACAGCCTCAAGCAGCTTTTTCAGTGGTTGTGCTAGCGAAATAGCCTATAGCGTTACCGCTACCAACACTATTAACGAAGGAAAGCATTAATTCCCCCCAAACTCCAGAGCTCTTAACACTGCTACGTCACGTGTCAAGATTCAACAAACGCATTTTCTTCCATATCACACCCCTAATATACAGTACCTAGTTTTATATTTCAAGAAGCACTCCAGTTTGGGACTTTCCAGTTAAGTCATCACCCTGGACAGTACAGAACATATCCAATGTGGTGGTTCCTTGAAACTCTTTGCACATCCCCATGCTCAATGAGACTACAAGTAATGCAAGAAGTGCCAATCTAAGTCCAGGATCAGACGGTAAATATAGTTCAAGTCTAATCTTCGCATTCTTTTATAATGCGCAAGCATGGGAATAGCTTATTGTTAAAACCAACGTAATTACAAGCTCTCCTTGAACTCTATCAATCCGCCAGAGGCCACCCATCTTACTCTAGTAAAGGAACTCAAGGCCGAGTGTGTACCGATTACCTATGAGGGGCTAGTAAAATTTGTCATACTTGTCATCATTACTATTAATAAGAGCACAAACAATGCCCAGCGCCCAGTTACTCGGCCGCAAATCATGAAAGAAATCCTGAAAGGAGTCAAGGAAAAGATACCTACTTGAATTAATATCCGTTGGTCTAACCGTGCTTGGATCTAATGAACAGGGGGGTCGGAACCACGACCAATCGAATATATTAGGACCCCAGGCCATTTGCCTCGACATGGGCTAGCTTCACGATCCAAACAATCTTGATTAGTCGAAACAGTAGGTAAACGTTGCTGAACCCTGCTCATCTAGACGCGCTCTGTCAGAGGTCAGAGACCGTGCTCCCTTATTTCTGCACGTGCTGGCATCATCTACGTTGCCACGCCATCATCTCGATAACCTCGCTTCTAGATTCCGACCCCCCAGACTGCTCAAACCAACCATTGCCTGTTTCCTAGCTTCCGCATTCAACGGACCTCACATGAGATATGGCGAAGCGCAATCAGCCCAAAGCCAAAGCCCACGCCGGTTCGTCTCCAGCCTTCCCCAGCCGCGCACCTCGTCCTGCAGCTCAATGTCCCGACCACTCAGATTGGCCGGATGCTCACACTGTAGAAATTTAGGTTGCGTCAGATGCAGGAAGTCGCATGTCAAATGCGACGAGAAGAAGCCTGCGTGTGGCCGCTGTTTCCGCACCGACTCGCAGTGCGTCTACTTAACGCCGACGCGGGCCACCAGCAGACAGGACACAAGGCAGATACTGCCGGCTGCGTCGGGCCAGAGCATCCCACCCAGGCCCCGTCTACTACAGTTCTCGTGCCGTATGCTAGAGCCAGGTGAGGTACTGTACTATGATCGCTTCCGAGACCAGGTAGCTCGGCAGATGAGCTTCCAGGCCGAGGGTCCGGTTGACTTTTGGCTCCGCTCAGTCCTTCGTGAAAGCACTGTAGACGGCTGTATCCTTGACGCCATTCTTGGGATTGGCGCCCTTGCGTATGCCCAAGACCAGGCCACAGCTTTCCGCCCGTTGTTCTTGGCCCCCCAGTCTGACTCGCACTATTATCAGGCTCTGGGCCACTACAACAGAGCCATCGTAAAACTGCGAGGCTGCATAGCAGACACCCCGGGGGGCGTGTCGCGAACAATGATTATTGCCACGGTTCTCTTTTCGTTCTTTGAGTACATGCAGGGCAACACAACCGGCGCAGACACCCTGACAGGACGAGGGATCATGCTGCTCAAGGACGACGTCCTCCTGCCGGACTCGTCCCCGAGATCCACCAGAACAGACGACGAAGGGATCGAGGAAGCCAAGTACTTCCTGGTCCGTACTGCGTGCTGGACCGTCCAGCAGTCACCCATGTACCCCTGCCAGAGAGAGAGCCTGCTCGAGATCGCCAATCAGCACACCTTCGAGTTCCCCTCCCCCAACCCCAGATGGGGCACCAGGGAATTCTGCAGCACGTTCTGGCGCATGGTCACCGTCGGCAGTCTCTGGCAGGTGCGCGCATTCGATTTTCTCTACAACGACAACCCCACGGCGACGCACATGCTCGAGAGCGAGTACGCAGGCATGGTCAGGCAGGTGAACTTGTGGGAAACGGCGGCAGGGCTCAGGATGGGCCGAGAGAAGGACATGGAGGCCTACGCCATGGTCGCAGCGGTCTACCTCGGGGCCAAGTTCCTGATCGCGGCGATACAAGGCACCCTTGACCCGGCGGAGACGGTATGGAACACGCGCAAGGAGCTGGGCCTCCATTTCGTTGGCCGGTACACCTACGCCGCCAACAGCGGGATGCCATCCTACGCCCGCGCCATCATCAACGACGCCCTCCTTGCGGGTGTCTCGAGGGTGGTGCTCTCATGCCGGGATGCGGATGTGAGGCACGGGGCCCTGGGGGTGTGGAAGCAGCTCGTCAACCGCAAGTCGTCCTGGGATATCAAGAGCACGCTCATGGGGGCTTGTGCATTGGTCAGTGTGGAGGAGGAGGCGCGAGATGAGGATGGCTGCATCCCGCAAGATGCGCGGTACGACTGGACCTCGGGGACTTGGAACAAGGACCACACCGAGTTTCTGGTCAATTTGACGGCCAGGTATCCGGAGCCGGACAAGCGACGCAGGCAAAAGCAGGTGGTCATGAGGCCAGAGGATCTCGATCTTGTGTAGCTCCATCTGCAGGCACAGTATCACACAGCTGTGCCTTTGCTCAATCTACAAAAGCCAAGGCAGTAACTTGATCAAAAGAACTGCCTAGACCTAATAATATAGTTATTTTGGAAGGTAGAGTCGTGGTGAATCAAAAAGGGGAGGCGAGGGCGAGCTATAACTACGACCTTTATCACAGGGAGTGAAATGCAAGACATGGTACATTAGACAATCAGGCAAAGTGAACATTCCTAGGCTGCCAATGAGGCTTTTTCGGAAGCTGGTCATGCGCTATGCCATCGCCGACGGACGAATAAGCAAGACGTGGGAGATCGGCATTTAGTGAGCCAACCAGAATCCATCATACGCTTCCCCGCTCTCTCCAGAATCCATTCACATGCTCTTCCTTATCGGCTTGGATGATATCTATGATGCGTCTATGGCCTGTTCCATTCTCGCCACTCGCAACCCTCAAGTACTATTCTTCACATCTTCCCATCTCCTAACGCTTGATAAAACCATTTCATCTCAACCCTGATCAGCATACAAAGATATCCAGAGCACAGCGACATCCAGCACAAAATGGAGAAAGGCGACCAGCTCCCAATCTCCGGGACTGTTCCCCGCCCGTCAAATTCGCGCAGCAGCCGCGACCAGAGCAGCGCGTGTACGAAGCTCGTAATACAAATCTTCTTTGTTGTCACTGCCCTTTGCTTGGCCTGGAGGATCATGCAGCTCGATATTATCCCCATGCTTGCGGGAACCTATGGCCAGTCTGCAGATGAGCCTGCCCAGCCGCTCCAGCCCGGCGAAACCATTTGAGGCGATCGCCAATTCTTCGGAATGCGCCCATCGCACTGCTCCTAAGATATCCCCAATCATTTGCCATCTCTTGTGAGGGTATCACTGAGCATATTTCCACCATGCAACAGACGTCCCGCCCTCTGAGGTACCGTCGGTTCCTGGCACCGGGATCTGGCTCCTCTGGGTTCCGATTCCTCGATCCTCCAAAGAACAGGCGCAGAAGGCATAACTAGGAGATTCTCCTCCTTACAACTTAACTTAGCCTTCCCAAACATGGCTGAACACAGTAGCGGCAAAACGTCTCCAGGGCCCCGTATTGATTGCACCAGCAGTCTCGATCCATCATCGAGCCTCTCAGTGGCTGGACTCAGATTGGAGGCGAAGGAACCTCGAATCAATGAGAGCATCCTTCGCTCCATGAAGACTTATTGGGATGAGATTAAATATTACCTTAATGGAAGGAGGTCCAGCTTATATATAACCCATCTCAGGTTAAACCGGACTGAACAGCGTTGTCGAATATCTCATGCCAAGAAAGACTTGAGCAAATAATGTATCCATAAAGATCTATGCACACAGATGTATTTCGAACTATCCTTACAAAAAAATGAATTATTTCCACATTAATAAATACCATCCATCAAATATGAAATCTGGATCCGACAACCATTTCTCGCAGTGGCGATGCATACGGTTGCTATGAATCTGGCCAGAAGCACGATGGTGAGCATATTAAAACTCGTCCATTTTTGTAGGCACCAGACAGGTCCCTTCAGCTTACCAACTGTCGAGGGGGGTTAAAATTGCTGTGCTCGTCGCACTTTATCGCACCTTTTGTAGGCAAGGACAAGTCCCGTCAGCCTAACAACCGTCCGGGGGGAGTTAAAATTGCTGTGTCGAGATGGATCAAAACAGCTGTGCCGCAAACGAAATCAGTCACAGATCAAACAAGAATGCCTCGCAAATCAAACAGATCAAATTCAAGAAATGTTGATTTATTTTATTTGATATGAACGATATTTTTAGCATGATCTGATTTTAGCTGGGATTTTCCCAGATTCCCTAGGAAGTAGGGTAGCTCGCTATATTCTGCTGATTACCTACATGAGTACACCTTTCTATTCTAGTACGCTGAGCGGAGGTCAGGGAGGTCAGCTGTGATAAGGAGGCATTTAAAATCCAAGAATTTTGAGCCTTTGAATGTACCTTGTTGAAGAAGATGGGGAAATAAGGTTACCTAACCTTTTAATAACTAGGTAGTTATTAATAAATATTCGGGTCTGTCAAACTTGAATTCAAATTTTACTGATCAAATGAATAAATTGACTTTGAGGGCGGTTTGTTTGTTTGATTGGAAGCGCTGCTTCCATCGAACAAGAGACGAGAACAAATCAGCCCACCGGGTATCAGGGCTAGGTACAGCTAGCAATAGTCTGCGCAATATGTGACATTTTCACTTTCAATTGTGCTGATACCCCAATTGCCGATGAGTATTAAAGTTAAGCTACGACATTTCTCATGCCTAAGTGTACCACGTAGCCTCAGGGGCCTCCCCAAGCAGGTAATATCTCCCCTGTTCTCGGTTCTTGTAAGAAACAGGGTCATGTAGAGTATGAGTCCGAACGTCTCTCCAGAACCTATCCAGGCCAACCTTGGCGGCCGTGGCCCTCGATCCAGTCGCCTCGAAGACACCGGCCGTGACCCGGAGGCTGGTGTCAGTGGCTACTACCTTGGTACTGGCAACCCACTCGGCAAACTCCCCGCGCTCTTCCGCGGTGAAATTTGCGCGGTTCTCAGCGTTGGCGTACTTGGTGAAGAGGCGGCCGGCCTCGGAGTTGGCTCGATCGGCCAAGGCGGTGGCAGCACGAAGGTGGGCGAAGAAGTTTCCATAGGTTTGCAAGATGTAGAATTCGTCCTCAGCTTTGTCCTTGTTCTGTGAAAGAGTTAAGCATATAATTCAGTACCCCAGAATATAGTCAGAACTTACATCGCCACCATATGGCCAGGGTCGAGTATATTTGCGAGTGTACTCCTTCGCGAATTCGAGCGCGCCCCAGGCAATGCCAATATAGAAGTTGGCAAAGGTAAGTTGAACGCTGTCTCAGATATCAGCATATAATCATAATCTCTTAAATTTTTAAAAACCCACAGTGGAAGGAATAAGCTAGCAAGGGGAACGCCAAGAATAGCAGGATCGGGCTTCTTCGTTTGGGGATCCCATCCGAGAGCGTCGGACCATTCAACAGCCACATTCTCAATCTTGACGCCACCTGACTCGGTCAAACGCAGGCCGACATTGTCCCAGTTATGTTTGAACTGAATTCCGGCTTGGTTCGTGGGTACTACCGCAAAAATGTGGTCACTGGTATCGGCAACAACACCCTCGAGAACAGTTAGGTCCGATATCACACCACCAGTACTGAAGTTCTTGAATCCGTCAAAGACGAGCTTGTCACCTTCAGCTTTGATAATCAAATCGTTATCTCGTGGGTTGACAGCGCCCCCGACGAAGTAGTTGTTGCTGATGATTTCCTTCTGGACTCTTTCGGCTTGCTCCTTGGAGCCAAACACATCCGCGATCTGAGACCAGACAAGGTGGTACCCAAGAAGCATACCAACCGACCTCAAGAGCACGTTAATAAGTATTTATTTTAAGGTCCAATTAGGTAATTAACTTACCCGTCTCCTTTGGCTACCTCGCGGACCAGTCGGTACCCAACGGCGCGAGACTGCCCACCGCCGCCATACGTGGCAGGACCAAGTGCCTTGAGCAAGCCGGAATGCTTCAATAAGGCCACTTCGGCCTTGGGCGATTTATTCTCCTTTTCTCTATCAGCAGCATCAGGCTTCAAGACGTCGGCAACGTCTTTCGCTCGCTGGATCCATTCCTCCTCATCCTTGGGCAGTGCTGACCATTTCGCTTCGTACTCAGCGTATACAGCGGGATCCGAGCTCGCGAAGGATTCCGAAGCCATTTCGAGACGAATTATGCGTGATATATATAGCTTTGCTTTCAATATTTAAGTAGTGCAGAATGTAGACCTGTAGTGGCGAGAGCATGAGTTTGCAGCACGCTTGTAATATGACCGGGTAGTGGCAGAATTTATACATGGCTTCCCCACCGGTGACATTACGTTTTCGCAATAATTGATGCACATCTTGTTACTTATCTCGACTTCTGCTCATCCTCGGTGAGCCGCTTGGACGGAAGCAATGACATTGGATGTTGATGACGAGCTCGTCTGGAAATCGGGAGGGGCAAGCTAATTCGTCAGAACCACCGGTAAGCACGCGATCGAGATTATCCCCTTTTGGAAATCGATTACGGAGTGATATGGCGTTCGTATTATGCGTTTCTGTATCCATGGCAAAAAGCTTTTGGGTCGATCAATTCGATGTGGGTTTGTAGGGAAAATAAACATTTCCTGACTGCGACTAGGGTAAGAGCTTGGCCTACGAACACGAATGTCGGAAACCGGAATGCAGAAAACAGGACTCAAATAGGAGAAAGCTATCGCTTCTTCTTCCTGATCTCAAATAGAGAAAACACAAAAGAAACAAAGATCAGAAGAAGATTCCAGTGAACAGAGCTACAAGGTGCTAACAGCTTTTAGAGCTCTTTAGGATGTTCAAAATCCATTCAAGCCGGTCCATGGCTCTTCTGACAGCTTACACTGGCAACCCAAGAATTTTCCAACGCCAACCCATAGTCTACTCTAAACTTTAAAGAGGTGGCGTATTAAGAAAAGAGTTGGGTTAGGTTTATGTTCAGGTGGACGAGTGCGCAGGGGTGAGAATGGGGGAATCAGGCCCTAAAGGAAATAGTAAAATCAATCAGGAGAATACACCATCGGATAGAGGTAATAGGAAATCTTCGCGAGCTTATATCAATTGGGATAGTGATAAAATCAATTATTGGTAAAGAGCGACGGTTCTGCCTAGATAGAAACGACCTTCCATCTTATTAATCCGTGCCATGAGGGATATCAGCATGAGGACCAAGCCCGTAGATTTGCATTAACTCCCGCTGAAATCAATATCAATTCCTGAGCTGATGGACTGAATTGTACTTCTTATAAACCTCTTGCTGTTGGTGGATTAGCTTGGACTAATATTGCAGAAATCGGATGACACCAACGGGCCATGGCTGGTGGTATTCTTCCTTGCACCGCGGATTAGATCCTAGGGCGAGATGTTTGCCCTTTCGGCACTTCGACGTAGTATGAGATATCAAATAGCCAGCCATTCAAAATCCGATGCTACTAAATCATCTCATGCTTGATTTCTTAAACGCTGTACTTAAGCACACCGAGCCGGATCGCCAGCCGGATCTCCAGCCGAGGTTCCAGCCGATCCTGATCTCTAGAAAAGGGGCATCTTAGCCTTAAACATTGTCTGCTTTTGTTCAAGAGCCAAAAGGAAGATGAAGTAACCAGCCTGCCGACCTCACACCTTCTCGGCATGACGTTTGAGGAGATCCGAAAGGCGAACACCCCGAGGTCGGCAGGATGTAAGACATGCCGGGACCGGGGGCACCATGTGACCGAAAGAACCTTGATCGATCTCGTCGTTGCAATTGGCTGGGACGAGACGAGAACTGGGGCCTCCCGCATGGGCCAATCGAATTCCCCCGCGATGGTTCGAGAGAAAAATTACCATCTAGATCTCCATTATCTCTAAGTCTTGTCGATGGTGTTTCCTAGACTGGGGAAAGAAGATGAAAAAGCCGTAATATCTCCCCGGCAGAGGTTCATGTTGAGATCCAGCGATTAGCTAGGAGCACGCGTCTTCTCCTTTCTCGTAGCTTTCGTTTCACACATCAAAGATGCAAGAATAATGGTGCAGTTCCCCCCGCAGCTGACGGGAGGGGAGGGGAACAGTCAATTTTCCGGTCACGCAATGAATCAGTGCAGGGGTTTCCAACGGCTCGCACCTTTGTTTTTCTGCGATTTTCTTCCTTCGGGAAACTCGTTACTCTCTCTGTTCTTCTTCCTAGTTGTAAGCGTGACAGGATTTGATTTTATAGTTCTTCTCGTATGTCCTCTTGTGGTCTGGTACTACCAAATCCCACCGTGAAAAATGGCACCCTCGCCCAAGCAGACAGAAAGGTCGCCACTCCTCGTAACCGTGACCGAGACCGATGATCCCGAACGCAACGGAAATGATGCCATTCAAGAGAGCCGTGAGAGCTCCCAGGGCGAAAAGAAGACCCCGAACATGCTAATCATCTTTCCCGCCATCACCATAGGTGTACGTGACGAACCTAACCACCGTCTGACAAATCCATCACATCACGGGGAGCTAATCCATCTCCGCAGATCTTCCTCGCCGCAGCAGACAGTACCATTGCCCTGGTCAGCTACGCGACCATTTCAAGCGAGCTTGATGCTCTGAATCTGGCATCATGGATCATGACTGCCTACGCCCTTACGCTCGCCTCAATCCAGCCGCTCTACGGCAAGCTGTGTGACATATTCGGCCGGAAAGAGTGTCTTCTAGCCGCCTACGTGCTTTTCGCTCTGGGATGCCTGGTCTGCGGATTCGCACGCTCGATTGAAGAGCTGATTGCCGCCCGTGTGCTCCAAGCAGCGGGGGGTGCCGGCCTGGGCACCGTGGTCTCCATCCTACTCACCGGCCTGGTGCCGCTTGAAGACCGCGGCGTCTGGCAAGCTGTCGTGAGCGTGGTGTACTCGCTCGGCGCAGGCCTGGGCGCCCCTCTCGGAGGCCTGCTGACCGCGTCCGTGGGCTGGCGATGGGCATTTTTCGGGCAGGTTCCCCTCTGTGTGATTGCCACCGCGGTGATTAGCGTCTGCCTGGATGGCGACATTGGTCGCCCAGTAGACTCTGGGGAGAGGGGTGCCGAGGACATGTTGGCCAAGCTGAAAAGGGTTGATTTTCTCGGCTCTGCCAGCCTGATTACCATGATAGCGTCCTTCATGTTTGGGCTTGACCGGGGGAGCAACGTCTCATGGACCGTGCCAGAGACGTATGGGTCGTTTCTCGTCTCGGGCTTTGCTGCTCTTTGGTTCTTCTATGTTGAGATGCGCGTCGCTCGGGAGCCGATCCTGCCCATTGCCTCGACATTCAGCGCTGAACTCCTCCCCATCTACTCGTCGGCCTTCCTTGCCTTCTTTGCCATTGTTGCCCTGGATTTCACGTTACCGCTGTACTACCAGGTCAAGGACCAGCTTGGCCCTCAGCAAGCGTCCCTCTACATGCTGCCGGCCATTGTGGGAGGCGTCGTGAGCTCCGTGCTGACTGGTTTTTGGATGAGGCACACAGGCCAGTACTACTGGGCGTTGATGCTCGTCTCAGTGCTGCAAATAACCGGAGGCCTTTTCGCCTACCTTTCGTCTGGGCCCGTCGCCGAGTCTACGCCTGGTCTAATCGTCTCTCAAGCTGTGGCCGAATTTGGCATAGGGAACTCGGTCGTTTCTGGGCTCATTGCTCTCAGTAAGTTTGATATGTCCCGGTCAAATCTAGATTACGAGGCGGGGGACACCACATCTGACAGAGTTCCAGTATCTAATGGCCCATCTACTAATATTGCCGTCATGACCGCCATGTACTTTGCCTTCCGGAACCTCGGGTCGGTTCTGGGCGTTTCAGTCGTTTCCACGGTCATCCAGCAAACCCTCCGCGACATCTTGACCGTGGAGCTCCAAAAGTACGACAATCTCGACGTAGGTAAGATTGTGGATGAGGTCAGGAAGAGCCTCGAGTCACTCCAAACTCTAGACCCCGAGATCGCGGCTCTTGTCCGGCGCAGCTACGGTCAGGCAATGAATAAGGGATTTCTATTGATACTTGTCGCTTCTGTTGCCGCTGCGATCCCGGCCTTGAAAATACGGGGCGGGAAGAAGAGAAGAAGCCCCTGATGATGGAGGTGTCGCTCCGGCTGCCATGGGTCAGTAGACTCGAGACCTGCATACTGTCACATTTACTACACAAGATACTGCGTCGGCGAAGTTTATGTGGTGAGATCCACCTTGAGAACGCGTCTGAACAAGCAAAACATCTAGTAGCGTAAATAGACCAGTGAGCCTACGCGGCACGGCTGAGTTACAGGATAAGGTGGTAAAACTAATTTGGTATTCAGATATTTCAATAGAATATCCGTGATTGACAGAAACATCTGCACTTGGGTAGAGGATGAGGGTAAAGAAGTGGTATTTCAGCTCTAGGGTAGGGAGTGGAATTAGGTGTGAGACGCTCATCAATGAGACATTATTGTTGTAATCGTGCAGGTACTTTTGTGCCGGATGCGACATCCAGCCACTTTGAGTTCAGGCCTCAAACGCGAGACCAGTCGGGTTCCAGATTAATAATTTGATGACGCGCCTATTGTGAGTCTTTTAGTCGGTGAGAGATTTCTTTTGTTTGAATTTTTCCATTCTGAAATTTTCTTTTCTATTGAACGGTGAAGGAGGTGTGGAGCAGTCCCAGTGGCCACAGCGGTGCCTGTGGCTTGCGAGACAACAAAACGAGGCGCTAAGACCGCGCAGAAGGGAAAGGATGAGCACGTCCACGCCAGCAGGGCAGAGCAGAGCATAACCGGCCGGCAGCAGCCAGAGCGACCGTGAGAGACAGAGCCAACCGTGAGACAGAGCCAACAAACAAACAAAGAAAGCACTTGGGGCTAAATTAGTGACAGGAACGGCGCGGAAAGAGAGTCAGCCACGGATCGGCTGGGGGCCGGGACAACAAAGTGAAAATCCTTTTTGGCTCAGGCAGCTTGTCCCTTTTGGTCGTGACTCGTACCTGTACCGGCAGCATGTGAGGGCTCGTGCCAGACGGCTGCGTTGGCAGGCAGGCAGTATGTACCGCTACGTACCCGCGACAATGCAGGAACAAACCTAAACAAGGGCCGCTGGGCGACGGGGAGCCGGTTGCTAAATTTAACAGGGTTAGCTCCTGCAAGCTCTTCCACGGCAGCCAACGGGCACGCGCCGTTTGGTTAGTCAGCGTGGGCGGCGTGTCAGCCACTGTGTCGGCCCAGCGCCTGGCAGGGATGGCTCACGAGTCACAGTGACATTGTGCCTGGTTCAGGCACCGATGCAACGTGCGGTCCCTCCTGTCAGTGCAAGGGAGCTGAGGTACCTGTCCCAAGGCGGCCCTGGACCGACCGTGGATCCATGGCGTGGCAGGCACAAGGAAGGCACGAGGCAGGCCTCTCCCTCCTGCGCGGTTCCCCAGTGGCCCCATTATATAGCAGCCTCCGGCACCCCCCGCAAACATGGCCTCGATCCTCGTTCCCTTCATCAAGCCTTCGTTGATTTGATTGCGACAAACGACACCGCGTGTCATCCTTTCCTTTCCAGCTCTCGCAAGCCTCGACTTTGTGGCAGGCCACTCTCTTTCTGCACCACATCGGCTGCGCCAGATCCCGTCTCTCGACATCTCTCCGTCACCGCACTGCATCACTGCACCACCGCTCTCTCCAGAGCCCGACGACGCCCAGGCCGACACATTGGCCTCATCGCAATCAATCGCTTTCCTAAGCACACTCTTTGCTTCGCTTTGGCCCAAGTTTCCGACTCGGATCGCCAAATCAAACCAAACCAGACTCTCGTCCCATCACTCCTTCTTTGGGAATATCCACTCGAGACCAGCATCGCCAACATGCTTCCCTCAACTTCAATTGTTTCCATCCTTGCGCTTGCCGCCGGCGCGGTAGCCAAGGGTGTTTCCATCACTCCCCACGACAAGTACTCGTCCTCGGTCGGTGTTCTCGGCTGCAAAATCGACACTAACCGCGTTGCCTACTGGCCCGGATCCGTTGACTGCAACAACATCTGTGTCAAGCTCACCTACGAGGGCCGTTCCGTCCACCTCCTGCGCATCGACCAGTCCGGCGGCGCCTACGACGTCAGCTACGACGCCTGGGTCTACCTCCAGTCCGGCAAGTCTGCCAAGTCGAACCCCCTCAATGGCGGCGGTGTCAACGTCGAGGTCGAGGAGGTTGACGCCTCCGAGTGCGCCGACTTGATCAAGACCGAGGACAAGAAGCTCCCTCTGAGCGCCTCCAACAGCATCAACTTCCTCACCAGCTGCCTTGCCCAGCCCAACAGCTGGGTCGCCAAGAACCACGCCCTCTACAACATCTGCGATGCCATCTGCACCCTGGGCTTCGACGAGTCGTGCAAGCTTGACATGGCCGTCAGCAATCAGCCCAGCTGCAAGAACACTCTTGGTCTCACCACCAAGCTCTCTCTCTCCAACCCTGTTGTGGACATCCAGTACGGTACCGGCAAGACAGTCCTCGCTGGGACGGGCGACTCTGGTACTGTTGTTGACATTCCCGATACCACCAACAGCCCTGCTTCGTCGTCGTCTTCATCTTCATCTTCATCTACTACTACTTCTTCTTCTTCCACCTCTACAAGCCAGGCCGCGTCCACCCGTGCTGCTGCACCCACCGCTGTCGAGCAGAAGCCAACCACCACTGCCGGAGGTGTCTTCCACGAAGTTCCCAGCAGTGCTTCATCCGCTGAGGCTGCCACCACGGTCGCCGCTCCCGCCTCCAGCCAGTCTGCCCCTGCCACATCGGCTGCACCAAGCTCGTCTGCTCAGGTTTCGTCCTCGCTGCCCTCGCTCACCGTTTCGTCGAGCGTGATCGCCCCCAGCTCTGGCCTGACCAACACATCAACCCCCAGCACGACATTGTCTTCTGTCACTGTCTCCACGCCGGCCACCACTCCTTCCGCATCGACTACCAGTGTTCCAGCCAGCGCCGGACATCGTGGAGTCGAGATATCACTACTGGCCCTGGTGTCTAGTGTGGTTGCATGCTCACTTGTGGGCCTTTTTTAGAGTAGACTCTTCTTTTTTACTTTGGTAGTCTACCAATTTTTTACGACTGATGAAAAAAGGCTGGCTTTGTTTTCACCGGATTAGTGCTCCATGTGGAGCCTTTTCTTCTTCTTTTTTACTTTTTTTCTTTTATTGTTTATATTTATCTTTGATACCAGGACAAAAGAATTTTTGGATTTTGAATAGAATGGAATGGAAATTGACTTCAAAACAATCATTGTTGTGTGCCCACTACCCAGTTGCCGTGACAGTGTGTGGCGACAGAGATGGACAGTGCGTGATTTCGCCCGTAGTTTCTCTTCTCACCCATGTCAGCTGAAGTACCAGGCGGGTCAATTCGCAATTTTGCGGCCTTTACGCTGTTTGGTCTCGCTGCTGTGCCGTGTCAGCCTGCGCCCAGCCGCACGACGCACCTAATCATCACTGCTATAATTGTGTGTCCCCGTTGTTGGCAGCGATGGATTTCGCTCACCTTGGGGTTAGCCCATCCTACGGGAGCAGATAGAGGTGGTATTCGTGAGTTACATGCCGACCTACAGCGGTTCCATCATGCATCGTCTTTAACATGCTGCCCTACCGTGCGGAGGATAGCAGGGCAAGGTCGATCCGGGGAGGACAGGCCAGGATGGATGGTTCAGTCATACATGCGGCCAAGACAGTCGCATGAACCTCGCTGCCGTCGTGTATGCAGCCTGTATGCGCACAGAAACTCTCTCGGGGGGTTATGCGCCCGGTCGTGTCTCACGTCTGCTGCGTGTTGGGTAGGACAGGACGCTGCATGCCGGCCGCGGCCAACAGCGCTCGCTCCCCCTTGGCTGACACAGCTGTGCCAATGTGAAATGAGCATTTACCGCTTGAGTAACGGAGCACTGTTTCGTTTACGTGGTTCGAATCAAGGCACGGAGAGAGCGCTGTTACGGGGAGCGATCGTCCACTGTAATTTCATTCGCCCAGGGAGGCGCACAGGCTCTCTGGGTATTTACAGGGGCTGGTTCCGGCAACAGGGCACTGGGCCAACAGGGCAGTTTAGGGCCTTGCTAGTAGTTTCACATTTGATGGCCGCTGATCTGCCAGCACTGCTGGTTCATCCTGCATTGACAGGTGGCATAGATGATGGAATGTGTTCTGGTCATTTGCTCTCTCTATCTCTAAGCTTCCCGCCAATTCTATCCCTCATAGAGGCCCTCATAGAGGCTGGCGCTGCGCCGGTTGTTATACTCCCAGGCAGTCACGTCTTCATACCGGCAGGGCGTAGCCTCCGTAACAAACTGCTTCAACGGGAGCAGCGACACGTCCCTGTTCAGCTTGGAAAAGTAGGCAATAGAGTGGCGCTCGGGTATCATCTCATCGCCGTCCTTGTCTACGCTCGGGGGGTACGTGACCCGGTGGCGGCCGGCCTTGACGGTGTCGTTGGTCAGGCGCTGGAGGGAGTCGCCGGCGATCAGGATGAGGTCTGCGAGGTTGGACGACTCGGCGTCTCGGAATGTGCCGGGCTCAGTCGGGTCCTCGACCTGCAGGCCGCCGACAGAGTCCTGGAAATGGAGGGTGATTGTTCCAAAGTCGGTGTGTGCCGCGCATCGCGTCGCTGTCCCGTCGCGCAGCTCTGAGGCGGGGATGGCCGGGTAGTGTAGCAGACGGAACTCGTTCTCGGCGCGGTCGTGGAGGGACTTGAGATGGGATTCTTCAATGCCGAGGGCGATGGCCAATGCCGCGAGGACATGGTCTTGGGTCTCCCGTAACTTGTGGTAGAAGCCATCTATCCAGACCTGGAAGCTGGGGAGGACTTCCTCAGGGACCTCGACGTTATCGACAAGGTCATCGATATCAGAACCAAAATCAAGAGACTCCTGTCGGAACCGGCAGTGTTAGCCCGCGATTTCCTTCTCCAGGACTGAGGTAAGGGAGGCAACCTTGATATCACGCGTGCTTGCAGGCCCCAGACCCTTCCCGTAGCCACTGATGTTGCCAACATTCTCCTGGCCGACGTAGCTGTAGCCGCGGTTGGGAGTGGCCTGGGCAGGGTGCTTCATCTTCATCTTCACGTCGAGCGGTAGGTTGAAGAACTTGCGGTTCTGAAACCAGCCCATGTTAGAACTGGACCTCGACGCAGTTGGATGCCAAAGCCTTACAAAGTCGAACTGCGCGTCGAGAGTTTCCTTGAAAACGCCATGATTCCGGATCGTGGCGAATCCGCGCTTCTTCAACGCGTCGAGAAGCTCGATGCAGAACCCTTTCTTCTCATCTTTGGTTCCGAAGTGGAACTTGTCCATGTCGAGGGCCATGTTGGAGTTTTGCAGAGGAACTGTTATGGATGATATGCTTGTCCGTGTAGTGGTTGGAGTTTTCAATACTGTATCACTGTCGCGTGATTTTATTAAATACTGGCTTGTGTTACTTCGGGAACTGCCATAATTCGGACCTCCTTACCTCGTTTGGTCGTTGCCGGTACGGTGCTGCAAGGACGGTGTCACAACTGAGACGAACAAATTGGATGGGATTGTTCGGGTTCTGGACCAGCCAAGTTTCTGCAAGTGTTGGTGTCACGAACGAGCTGAATGGGTTGTGGGTGGAAGGTTTGCATTGCGAATCTGAGGTGCTCAGCGTCCATTATATCTTCGAGCATACGTAAATTATGACAATAGTGTCGCCTATTGTTCGCAGGCCTCTCAATGCATCCGATATCTCACATGCTGCTCAGCTCGATATGCCGTGACCTTGCAGCTCTCCTTCGCTCCATCTGGTCTTGAGCATCAGCTGGCCCTGCAAGCTGTCGGCTTGGGCAGCCAGCGCGGTAATCATCTCATGTATGCCTGCCTATCCCTTCCCTTTTGAGGGACGAGGCGTATTTGTGCCGTGTGGTCTGCATATCTTAGGTAGTAATCGCTCTGAATTCCATGATGCCATGGTTCAACACCCCCCCAGGTTCAAGAGAATTGAATAGCTTGAAATGGCATTCAATGAGGGCATTGTAGGGTGCGTTCCCATTATTCGAGGGGTTTTTCTCTATGTGAAGGGTTTGTGTCAATTGAATTATCTTATTGTTGGGTAAGTTGAATGGGCCCGCGATTATGAAAGTGAGGCTTAAGGTGAGGACACCTATTGATCGCACGCTTCAATAGCCGAGATAGCCATACGGTCCTCATAAAATAGATACTGCTGTAGCCTCGTAGGAATTTTCTTTCGTGAAGGGTTGTACCGATCGTAGCACAAGCTGACATCACTTTTGATTGCAGCTGCATGAATCACGGTACATGCATGTACATACCTATTGGTTCAACTGCTGCATCCAAAGACGGCCCGATCCTGGATCTGTGCATTTCAGCTGCTTCGAAATACGCGGACCCATGTATGTCTCAAGAGCAATACGACGTCGCGTACTTGTAATAATAACTTATTGATCGCAAAGCAGAGCTCCCTCCGTACTCAGAGCAGCAGGGGGCTGCAGACGTCCGATTGAGGAGAAGAGGGACGAGATTTCCCAAGCTGGGTAGGACCATGTTGCAGCTGGGTAGAAGGCTGAGGTAGTAGGCCTGAGACGCACGAGGTAGGCTCTGGCTATTTCTGCTGGCGTCTTGCGATGCCTGTAGCTGTCGTATGGTGGAAACTTGCATTCTTTCTTATGTTCTACGAGATTCTGGAAAATGGACACTGAGAAAATCTATGTGGTTGGGAGCGAGTGCAACCTTTCTGTTGCCTATCCGACCTCGGAACTTCCAAGTGCCCGCTCCCTATCAAGTTTGGCTGATCTCTAATCAAGTAGCGGCCAGTGGCTCTCTTCATTTGTACATACCAGGAACCAAGAGTTTTATTTAATATTATCTCCTGGGCTGCAGTGCATGCATAACGTGCATCCGATCTCATAAGATAACATCGCCGTAACCCCGTGGGGCGATCTCGATTAGATCTACCGCCCGGGGTGACCTGCATCATCTAAGAAAACAACAGGGCAGGATTGCCGCCGTGGAAAGATAACGTCTTGACTGTGCTCGGAATCCGGGGCCGGAGACGTGATAAGGAACGGATGAGGAAGTTTTCCACGAGCTGCGCGGCCTAAATCGGGGCACGTTATAGCCACTAGCTATTCCCACATTCCGCATCCAGAATCGCCCAAATATATCAAGGCAAGGCCATCCGAGCGAACCGCTGGCATCACTTTCAACCCGTCAAACCAATAATCCACACCGGCTACTGCCGGGTGTCTATCGGGATGACCCTCGTCTCCCTGCTGCGTTTCCGGTACGCCTAATGGAACGTGTCCAGGAGGGGGAGGGGAGCAAGACGTTTGGCCGCGGGGGCTGCAGGACCTGTCGAAGGCGTCATCTCAAGTGTGACCAAACGGAGCCAGCATGCAACCGCTGCCGGGCATCTGGTCTGACTTGCGAGGGGTTCTCCTCAGCTTTACGCTGGGTTGTGTCAACAGGCGCGGATCAGGCGTCTCCGCCGGAGGAAGACGGGGCTGATCAATATGCCAGACGGCAGCTATATACCGGTGTGTAGTTTGAATACCTTATCCCGAAACAACATGCTTGATTCCGCGTTGAACGGTGCGAGTTCCTGAACGGTGAATAGAGACTAATGTACAACCTACCCCAACTTAGAAACCAGCCGGCAGTCCATGTGCCAAAGCTTATTAGCGACACGCCCTTCAAACTTGGCAACTACTCTTGTAGAAGTGGACGATGAATCCAAAACTTTCGAAACCCGAGCCTCGGGCGAGTTTTCTGTCGGGCCGTTCGGTGTCTTCAAAGTCAACCAGATTAAGCCGGTAGAGACACCTCCCTCAAGCCGCTCAGGTCCAATATCAGAGCAGCAAAGAACACTAGATACCGCGGGACCGGTTGCAGAGCCATTGCCATTTATCAGTCGTTTCCCCTCCCCAGAGGATGGACTATCAGGACCGGTGGATTTCCTCCAATGGGCAGATCTATTCACATGGGACGAAGACATAACGGGGATCAACACTGCCCAGCCTTCCAGCTTTGCTCCATGTGCGCTGGATACCGTTGTAGCAGAGACCTGGACCTGGCCGATCGGGCAGGAGATTGACACGGGATGCGATGTGATAAATGATCCAGACTCTAATGTTCAGCCAGGCTCTCAAGATCCATTGTGGCCAGAGATCGACTTGGTGGTGGATGCACCGATGCTCTTCCGTCACTTCAACGACCATGTCATCGACCAGATGGGATCGCTCCCGATTCACGAGAAGTCCGCTTGGAGAATCTTGAATCTGTCTTCAGCCCTGATGACCCTAAACGAGATGACGATACTTCTCACCAACAGGGAGAATATAAAGCATGCCCCCTTGGCCAACTTCTACGCAGTCGTTGCCGTCTCCGCGTTCCACCTCTCCCTGAACTTCGCGTCCTTCCCCGATCCTCCCCGAACTGTCGCCCACTGGAAGAGATTGACGAACCAGGCTTACGCTGCTGCAAAGTTACATATCAACTTGACCTTGGAGAAAGAGTCCTTGGCCCCTGGGAAGGCAAAATACAAGGACCAGCTAATGAGCATAAATGCTACCCTCGCAACTGCGGTTCGTTCCCTATCATCTAGAAGCAACTAAGCAGGACAAAACTCTAACCGTCGTGCGGTAGGTATTATCAGGAAATGAGCGTGATTCACGGCGGTATCTGACAGAAATGGAGAGGGTCATTCGACTTCGAGGGTTGACTGGCAAAGGCATCTCACGTCGAGCGCGGCTGCTGCACCAGGTCTATGCCTGGATGAGAATCGTCTCCGAAAGCACAAACGTGTTGCACGAGGACTCTACACTCGATGAAGACACATCGGATGGCAACCAAAATAGCGACCCTGGCCGGGCGTTTACAAGGGCACCAACTCACCATTATCACCACCCCGTCCAGGCGATGCCGACTCGCCACCACGACGTGACTCTCGACAACTTCCTGCGCCTGGAGCCGCGGGCTCCATCGGGGCTGGGCCTCAACCCTCTTGTCCAGAGGGAGGACCCGGACTCGAGCGTCGGCGACATACACATGCCGGACGCCCGCCAGGACCGCGACAGCGTGTGCATGCAGATATACGGCGTGCCCGAGACCTGGCTCAGCCTCGTCTCGCAAACCACTCGCTTGGCCAACGTGATGGAACGGCTGACGGCGAGCAAGAACCCTCTCGACGCAGAGCATCTGGCTTCCTTGCAGCCGCGGGCCTCCCGGCTCGAGAACACGATATGTACCTTCGTGTCGAACAACCAAACCACTAACACGACGGAGCCGGGCATGTCGGACACGAACAGACCCCACATGCACATGCTGAAAGCCCTCAACTCAGCGCTGATGATTTATTTCTATCGAAGGGTCCGGAACATCAACCCCTGGGCAATGCGGCACGACATCAGCGATGTGATTGAGTCCCTCGAGGAATTCGACTCGTCCCTGGGGCAGAACGGCCTCCTCGGCCCCGGGACGGCATGGGCGGCTTTCGTCGCCGGCGCAGAGGCCATGACGGCCAAGCAGCGAGGGCAGATTGTTGCGTGGCTGGACGCCGCCTCGGCCAAGTCGGGATTCGTGAGTTACAGTGTCTCCAAGGAGATACTCGTAGAGACCTGGAAGCGGCGGGACGAGCACACTTCCCACGGGGGGAGGATCGGGACGCAGACGGAGCTGGGGTTCCCAACGTGGATGGAGGTGTGTCGAGCTCTTCGTCGCTGGCCGCTGTTGTGCTAGGATTGTTACCAAGCCATCGATTTAATTCCGAGAAATCTCCTCGTGTTGGAGCCGGTTTCGAATCGTCCTCGTCAGCGGGCGCATTAGGTGTACTAAGGAACTACCATTTGATATCTATCTTGCCTAGATGTCCGTAGACGATATCTGATGGACCACGAACCGAAGTCGGTCCCTTGCATACATACTGATAACGGTGGGGTCAGTGCTGATTGTTCTCGGAGTCTCTTGTCAAATTTTCTTCTTTTCAGCGGCATATGGGGCCGGAGCTTCCTGTCTACCTGGATATGGCGTAGCTTCTTCCCATACAACCACTAGGAATAAGCAGTTTGGCCCCACGATAAAGTTATTCAGAACTCTACTGAGTCAGGGCCGTGTGGGATGGTGAGGGTAGGGCAGAGACGTTTGGCTTCCCTTGACCAATCCGATCTTCTTCAGTAATCTGCATATAGAGAAGTAATGATGAAGACTTTGACTGTTCCAAGCCCAGGCAAGCGGCTACGGCTCAGCTCCCCTTGATGCGGGCCTCAGGACGACATCACGGCCTACGACGTACGAGGCGTGCCAGGAGCCAATGAGAGCAGACCGAATTAACGGGATCACCGGTGTTGATTACACTCTATTGACTCTGGGCCATGCTAAGAATAAAGATGATTCCACGAGCCGGTGGCAACTCACTCAGCAGCCGGAGCAGGTTCCGCTCCGACGGTCGGAAAGCCAGTTGGGCTCGTGTCTTTTTCCTGCTGGTCTGGACCCCGGACGGCGCATGTTTCTGTCACGTAAAAGTTTTGCAGCCGCTTGTGGGGTTTGGGGATAACTTTAATTAACCAAAACCAAGGTTGTCTGCTATGCTTATCAATGGCGATGAACCAACCCAATGAAAAGCCTAATGCGATTGTTTAATCCTACCGTCCGAGTGTCACCATTATTGGACCCCTGCACTAATAAATGCGTGACGCGTTGCGCCTGAAGTGGCTTCATCAAGCAAACCCTGCTCTTCCTTCTCGAAGCATGCAAGTCGACCATCGCTAATGAGTCATTCACTTAACTATGAATCTGCTCAGCTCGTCGCGTAGTAGCTTAGTCCAAGTGCTTTGCTGAGTACACGTAGAAAGAGCCTGGCCCGAATAAGCCGGTCGCGAGGAGGGGAGATGATGGGCAGGTTGAGCGAGCCCGGTCGAAGGAAAAGCGCGCATCGCAGCCGCGACGATGACGGGCGCGCCCTATAGTACATCGCATGTTTGGTTTGGTCAGGGCGTAGGGAAGATTGAAAGTGGAATGGTTCCAGAAGTCTTCGACTGCTCGACTCGCTCGGTCCAGCGCGCCAATCACAGGGCCATGGCTATCACCATCCTGGCATCAATGGCAGAGTCTGATCCACTCGTTTCTCCCTGAGATGAGAATGGTTAGCCCAAGGCATCAGGGTGGGCGCGAAACCACGCCACCCTTATGCATAGTTGCATAGCAAGCCGCCTCGAGCGAACACCCGGCGGGAGACTCACGCCAAGTAGCCTGGGCAACGATTAGAAACTGGCCATCGTCCTCACTCCCATTCCCATGAAGCTACTAGTCGATCGATACGGCACTTAGCCAGACGTTTATCAAGGCGTCTGCTCCACCAAACCCGGTGCAGCGACCGGGACTACAGAAGCCACGCTCAGTCGTGCCGGTACAGACGCCCCACCGAAACCGGCAAGTCAGACCACCATTCCGGTTTGATTGAGGCGATTTCTCGCTGCCGTCTGTCTGGCTTGGGGTCCCCCGGCCTACTCTACAGTGGCCTGGCCTGGGCCTGGACGGCGTGGCCAGTGTGAGAGCGTTCGCTTCTCCCCAGATCTCAGCCGTGTAGATGGCAGCGAAATGCGGACCTGGTTTTTCCCTCTCGTAATGGAAACCAAAACCCCAGAGTTTACGTACTAAAAACTACCATTTGGAGGGGAATGTCACTGGAGAAAGTCGGTCCCCTGGAAGATAAGCTTAGAAGCTGTGTCTGGACCATGACTCGACCCTGATCGTCGCCCGTCCAGCTATAAAGACCAGCCCGTGGCATCGCCGTTTGCTTGGATCCTCGCTTCAGGTTCGCTTGGTTCTCACCATTCATCACCCTCTCACTCACACACCAAACTTCCTCCTGTAGCACATTCTGCACAATGAAGGCCGAGGAGAACATTGAGGCGGCCCGTCCTGCGAGCCCCCGACAGGGCTCTCAGTTCGACGTTGAGATCAAAGGAGCTGGCCGTGATGCCGAGCTGTCAGCTGCCTACGGTGTCACCCAGCGTGGCCTGGAGCCTCGCCATGTCCATCTCATGGCAATCGGTGGTTCCATCGGTATTGGTATCTGGGTACGTTTGCAGTTTTCCAACGAATTCTAGCTTATGGCTAATAATTTTGCGCAGGTCGGTATTGGCAGTGTCTTGAGCAAGGCCGGTCCGCTCTCCCTGATCCTCGGATATGCCATCTGGGGCTGCTTCGCCATCTGGCCTCTCTACCTCGTCGTCGCCGAAATGTGCGCCTACCTCCCTGTCCGCGGTTCCATTTTCGAATTGGCTTCTCGATTTGCCGACCCGGCTGTTGGTTTTGCGATGGGATGGACATACTTCTTTGCTGGTACTATGCTGGTCTGCACCGAGTACAGTGCCGTCGCCACTGTTATGCAGTTAGTTTACCCTCCCTTTTTATAGAACGCTGAGTTGGTTCTAACGTCGCAAACTTGATAGATACTGGAGCCCGGATACCAACGCAGCAGCCTGGATTGCTATGGCAATGGGAAGCTGTGTCTTGCTCAACATTGCAGCTGTCAAGTGGTTCGGCGAGGCTGAGTTCATCATGGCCTTCACCAAGATCATCCTCCTCGTCATGCTCGTCCTCCTTACCCTCATCACCATGTCGGGTGGCAACCCAGCCGGTGACGCCTACGGCTTCCGCAACTGGGGCGCTGGAGCGATGCACTCATACTACACATCCGGCGGCGCTGGCAGATTCCTCGGTGTCTGGAAGGTTGTCATCTATGCCGCCTTCACCCTGGCCGGCCCTGACATGATTGCTCTCGCCGCTGGTGAGATCCAGAACCCCCGCCGCACCATCCCCCGAGTTGCCAGCCTCATCTTCTACCGAATCGTTGGCTTTTACGTTATTGGTGTTCTGGCTGTCGGCATCATCTGCTCTTCTCGTGACCCTGGTCTGCAGGAGGCCCTCACCTCTGGAAAGTCTGGTGCGAATGCCTCCCCCTGGGTCATTGGTATCCAGAACCTGGGCATCAGCGTCCTGCCCCATATCGTCAACGCCTTCATCCTTCTCTCTGGATGGTGAGTTGCTTCCGAGTCAAAACAACTGTTCGTCCCATTCTAACTTGAGCCAGGTCTTGCGGTAACGCCTATCTATACTCTGCTTCCAGAACTCTCTACGGTCTTGCGCGAGGTGAGAACTATTCCCCTGTTTGACTTTCAATAAATACTGACCCTTTGCAGACGGCCAAGCTCCCAAGTTCCTCATGAAGTGCACCGGCAATGGTGTCCCCATTATTGCCGTTGGCATCGTCTCCCTCATCACCTGCATCACCTTCCTCGTCTCCTCCAACGCGGCCGTCGAAGTCTTCTTCTGGTTCGTTGACCTGACCACCACCGCCCTGATCGCCACCTACATTTGGATGCTCATCACCTACTTCGGCTTCTGGCGCGCCTGCAAGGCCCAGGGAATCACCAAGGGCGCCCTCCCCTACGCTGCCCCCTGGACCCCCTGGACCCCGGCGCTCTCCCTCGTCATCTGCACGCTCACAATCATCTTCGTCGGCTTCGACGTGTTCTCGCCCTTTAGCGTCCGCGGATTCATCACATCGTACTTCGCCGTGGCCTTTGGCATCTTCATGTTCCTCCTCGGCAAGGTCATGTACGCCTACCAGGGCCGCGCACCCTTCTTCAGCTGGGTCAAGCCCGAGGAGGCCGATCTCATCAGCGGCTTGGCCGAGATCAACGCCGAGTGCGCCCAGTGGGAGGAGGGCGGCATCGAGGAGAACGAGAGGGCCCGCCTGGCGGAGATGAACTTCTTCGCCAGGACATGGGCGCGCATGTGGTAATTTATTATTAGATAGGTGGGTGTACCCCCTAGAGTTGATCAAATGATGTTAGTTTAAGCGCAATGAGAAGGGTTGCATTTCTTCCCTCTAGACACGACTTGTCTGATATAAACAAAATATATTTCTATACATACAATCTTTGCCAAGCTAGATCTGAGTGGCCTGAGTCGTGATAAAGTGGTGGCTAACTCGTTTCCGCTGTAAAATGTGATGACCCAAGACGACTCCGGCGGGAATGTGACCAGAAGCTCAAATTGTGATCTGATCACCAGCAGGAGGATTTGTACGCTAACTCTGCCAAACCTCACTGTATGACATTTCGTTACTGCCAGATCAAGACAATCATAGATTCGTAAAATTACTTTCAAAATGATATGACTATATGAAGTTTTCATATGAAGGTAGCGGCGGCTCTGGTTCTTCCTCCTCTCCTTTCGTTGAATCAGAATATCGCCATTCAATCGGCGGATTCTCAGGAAGTGGAGATAGGGTTTTCCCTCCTGATTTAGCCCTTCTCCTCCTTTGGGCCACCAATCTCTCGTGACAGCCTACACAGAATATGCCCCGGGAGGTTCTGGCGTATCTCAGATTCTGAATCTGTAGGTTACAGTTCATACAACGGAAACATGTCGCGCAAAAGGCTTGGTCCCCTGTTAGGATGGCAAAATCCTCGATCTTGTTCCCGCAGGCATTGCATTCATATACACATTGGTTGCAGATTGGTGATCCGTCACCCAGAAGTAAGAGGTTTGAGTCGAGATCCAGCAGGACCTGGCACGTGTTGCACCTGAAACAATCCACATGCCATCGATTTCCAGCTGCGACGCCTGTTAGTATGATTGCCCTGATTCGGCCAAGTTAAACAGGCTGGGTTACTTACCAAGCTCATAGGCCGTTCCTTCCACCAGCAGCTAAGCCAAAGGTCAATACTGTCTAGTTTAGTTTTGGGATTCACTCAACTCGGCAACTTACCTGGTTACAAGCTTTGCACGGAAAGCTAGGTTCTATGTGAATTGCCCTGTCACTCAGTGTCCCCTCACTATCTTCGTGTTTTATTCGGTCTTCGCCTACTCTTAATTCGCCTAATTGACTGTTGATTTGTGGTTCTGGATGCTCAGGTTGATATGGTAAGACTTGGCGATGACCTGGCATGTCCCCTTCATCACCAGCGGCCATGGCCGAATCAATCAACCCAGACTTTACTTCGTAATAATGGCCATGGTTGATGTCAAGCAGGGTAATTGGCATGGCTATCACAGACAAGATCGAGATATGCGCCATGCTTATGCCTGAAAATATTGACCACGTCCTTGATCGAGCGTCGGTTGTCGTGGTAATAAATGATTGGTCGCAGCCGTTCTTCTCGTTTCGCTTGTAGACCCACGATTGTTGAAGAATCTTCTCAAAAGCGAACGAGATTCTATTTGAAATATTGGTAGGACGGGTTGAGTCTCGAGACCGATCCGCCGTATCACCATCTCTGATTGTGGCCGTTTCGCTGCTCTCGTCGACATCACGAGTGAAAGTGCTTCTTGCATCAAAGCGATCCTCCAACAGATTCAATTTCGATTTCAGGGCTTGATTCTCGTTAATGACGGTCTCGACCAACTCTTGAAGCCTCTCCCTGTTCTCATGTGCTTCGATGTTCGTGTCACTATTAGTCGTTAGCACTCGAGCGTATTCAGGGCAGATGAGTACGTTTAGAATCCTGAGATTACCATTCGACTATAGTAAGCATTAACTTAAGTGATTCCTTGAGCCGCTGGATCCTTTCAAGATGCTGCTGGAAGAGTTTAGAGTAGTGAACCCATGTTATCCTTACCCCAGCATTCTTCTTCGTCTCAAGTTGCCGGAGGAGTTCCTCGAATTCCGAAAATACCATGATCGCATCGGAGAATGTGATAACGAGGTCATCAACTTGAATGAGCTTTTTACGCTGAGGGTCGACTCTATCAAGTCGCTGGAGGTATCGCTCAAAGGATCGCAACCCAATTCCGACCAGTGTGATCTCTTGTCGACAATCTCTCAAACGATTAGTCGAGTTCCAGGACGCCGAGAAGGACTGAATCAATGAGCACAGATGCTCTGCCGCTGTTCGTAGGCCTTTTATTGACATTGAAAGGTTCAATGAGTTCATCTCAGTTGGTGTGGTAACACCATGCCATGCAGCTGCTTGACAGGTAAGCTGACTCCCTATGCCTACTTCATGGACTGTTAGTGCAAGAAAAGTGGTAGCAAACCCGTTGTCCAATCCAGGGGAAAAGTGTTTGCTCGCCTTCTCGCAGTGCGGCATCGTAAATGTCCTGAACGTTACGGCGCACAATCTCCAAGTTGTCCTCATCCACCTGGCTTCTACCGAACTTGCATACACCCTTATGATCAGCGTTCAGCTTGACAATGTGCTCTCTGTCGCCTGACATGCCTAGCCTGGCGCTTTCTCCCGGAACGACCTATGGATGAATAGTTAATAATGAATCACGCTTATCGGATGGGTGCCTGAAGAACTCACGGTATCTAATGCACCCCAGAACGAGATGATATTGTACTCCACCATCTGATGTCTCCAGTGCTCGTGCATAACATCGGAGAATATACTGCCACTCTTCAAGGTTTCCAACACGTCATCACCTTGCTGGAGGCCGGCCGTTCGTGCAATCTTGGTTGCGATGGAGCCAAGGCCAACCAGCGTCATGTCCCCGCCGTGGTGCGGCGTAGCGAAGAAGGCGATCCCTTTGGTCATGCTCTTGATCATGCTGTACTTGGGATTCATGCCAGCGTTGATAAGGGCCTGCTTGACGAGAAGTCCGCCCATGCTGTGGGCCAGAAACAGGATCGGCCGTTCCTCATCATCTCGCTCTGCTCTGACCGCCTCCAGGAGCTCATTCGACTTGTCAACGAAGGTGCTCTTGTCCTTGCCATAAACTGCCGTCGCGTTGTACTCGTAGATGAATATGCGGGCATCGGGAGTGGATTGTGGAAGGTCATCACGGAGCCACAGTCTCCCACTGGCCCTGTTACGCCATGTGTTCCACGCGTGCTCGGTATCGTCCCTACTTCGAGGGTTCAACCCATGCACAGCGAAAATACTGGTCTAGGTTAGTGAGAGCACTTGATCGAAAAGCGCCAACTTACTCAAGCCTAGTGGAGGCAGCTCCTGGTACTGTCTCAGGGTCAGGATAGACCTGTCGCAGCGGCTGTTCTCTCGTCAGTGCAAACCCAGGGCTTTGTCATTCGGGCGCATCAAACAGACCATGGTTCCGGCAAATTTGCCTCAACATTCTTCATTCCGCCGCAAGTTGCTCCCAAAGAAGTTGCCTGGCAAGATCGTCATAGGCGGGGAGATGTCAGCTCAGCTCAGCTCAGCTCAGCTCCCCCCAGCTTGAGATGCCCCGCTGTCCTCCTGGCAAATCATGTAGCGTCATCGTTTATTGGCCTATGCAGCTCCAGGATGTCTCCTTCACTACGCATTGCTTATTTATTGTGTCATCTTCCAACCCGTTCAGCCTCTGCAAATGCCTACCCGTTTGCCTGTGCATGCCCTGGCTTCAACGTCCCCACCAGGACGCGCAGTTGGATACGTAAGAGAAGAGCAAAGCCTTCAGCACAGCAATTTTAACCTCTACCGAAGAGCTGGTTGACAGCAGGGGGACTTGGTTCTTAGTAGCCGCTCCCTGCTGTGGTCCGTGAGGAGCTCCTGTAGTGTAGGCTCTAAATTTTGTGTTTCATCACCTCCTCTACAAGGCTCTACAAGCGGTCAAAGCATGGAATGTGCTGTCTTTTCCGAGCTGCAGCGACACTTGGATAGGTTGAAAAATCCTGGCGGCCAAGCAAGGTATGTACCTAACCTGAGCAGGTATGCAGAATGCAGCCTTCGATTTATTTGAAGGAAACCTTTGTTAGTGAAAATCTGCAATTTCTCAATCACCACAGCTGCTCAAGGGATCGAAGTGATGCAAATGCGAATAGCACTAAGGCTGTGGCCTAGGGGGGAGGGTGTCAATGTTCGATACCTCAACCTGGGATGGATGGGGGCACCGGGGGGGCCGGAGGGGTAGCTGGAGCAGACTGCACAGCGATTTTAACCTCCCCCCAAGGGTGGTTTGGCACGTCCCCGACTTAGGTGGCTATGGGCGTCGCTGTATTTTTTCACAGGCTCTAATTTCTACGCCTCACAGCTCCTATTTCCGGACGAACCAATGCACTGAATGATGAGAGTATAGCTTATGCTCCTCGCTTCACCGCCAAACTCAATACACCATTTATCAATTGGAGCTGCTCTCGGCCGACGTAGGAATTTTAGCGGCAAATACATTCAATGTACTAGTTCTGAGCCTGCTGAAAAGCTGGCGGGCGGTGAGGAGGTGAAAACTCTGTCGTTGTGGCTGGTGCATGTGGCACCTGCAGATCACGTGCCTATGTCCCCACCACACCCAGAAGCATTCAACTTTTTTTTTTGATCTTGTGAAGATTCTCTGCAAAACTCTACATCCCCAATCCCTCACAAATCCGAATTCAGCAAGGCAGTGATCTCTCCTAGGGTGAGCCACTGATTAACAATGTCCTCCGAATCTGCAGGTATGTCCCTCCTCATGAGAAACCCTCTGCCTTTGATGCTCTTTCTGACTCGAGCTTTGCAGCCTGGCCCTTGGCCGACGAGAAGTTGACCGTCGAGCTTCTCGATTTGATCCAGCGCGCGACACACCTCCGACAGGTCAAGAAGGGTGCCAACGAAGGTTGGTTCATGAATCCCAGAAGCTGCCCTCCCATGCTCGGCCAGTCGCTAATGAGTCAAATTTAATTAGTTACCAAGGCCCTCAACCGTGGTGTCTGCGAAATCGCCGTCCTCTGCGCCGATACGACCCCCCTCTCGATCGTCTTGCACGTCCCCCTCCTGGCCGAGGACAAGAACACCCCCTACGTCTACGTGCCTAGCAAGATGCACCTGGGCCGTGCCTGCGGTGTCTCCCGTTCCGTGATCGCTGCTTGCATCACCACCAACGAGGGCAGCGAGCTCGCTGGCCAGATCCGCGCCATGCGCGACAAGATCGAGCGCCTGGCCATCTAGGCTCCTGGTCTGGAAGGCTTGTTCGTGATTTGGCCGACTTTGCTACCGCACTGGCAGGAACTTGACGGTGCCCCGAGAAGACTCGGTACAGCAATGGTGGGAGCCGACTTCCCATAACCAAATTCGTTGGATCTACCTTAGAATCTGTAGTGCTTTGTTGGGCCAAACAAATGGAAGCGTGATGCAACACAATTGCTGCTCTTGACGAAACTCATGTGACCTGAACATTACCTGTTGTCCCACCGTAAACATCCAGTCTTCTCCAAACCACTCTTTCAGCTTCTCTTTCGCCTGTTCTTATCCATGCAAAAATCAATCTTGAGCTAAGACATCGGGAAGTGGATCCAATCTCAGCGTTGCTCGATCACATCACAAACTGGTTGACTGACACTTGGCAGCAAGGACGGAATCACACTTAATTGTGCAGGACGCATGGCCACAAGTTCAATTTATTTACCGACTGAGAGACGGAATCAAAGGCCCGTGTAAACAGCCACCTTCTGCATGCAGGGAGCTTACCCAGGTACCCGGGCAGCTGATCCGACCATCGACGGAGAACCAAGCTTCACCATTGGCTTCAGAGTGGCAGGGGTATGCCTATTCTGGGACGGCTCACGACCTTCCGTGGGATTCAGTCCCTCCATGCACGCAGATTCTCATTGAAAACGGAGATTTGGAAGCCGGAGAAAGGATGAATTGTGCGGGGTTAATTCTAATGGACGTTATAAGGCTTGGGTGCGGGCCGCGGTGGATGGAAGGCCCTTCCTCTATTCAAATGAAGGCCTATCTGAATGTTGGCCACTGTTACTGACTGTCATATCTGACATCACAAAGTCCTCTTCGCAATGTTAAGACCTGTAGCGATCGCCCTGACTCTTATTGGGGCCGTCTCTGCCCAGTCCCCTGATGCAGACAGTCGCTACACAATTCGTGCCAACGGCATCAAAGCGCAGGTAATTGGTAGTGAACGTGTTTCCGTCAAATGGTGCTGACTTGACTTTGCTTAGTTCATCCCCTACGGTGCGACTTTGACCAAATTGTTCGTCAAGGACAGGGATGGGAATGACGTAGATGTTGTCCTTGGATATGATGATGCCGACTTCTACCGTGAGAACCTCACAAACGCTTCTCCCCATTGAATCCCTACCATCTAACAATCGACGTGGCGCCATAGCTGTTGACCCATCTCACCCCGTATATAATGCCATCCCCGGGCGCTATGTGAACCGGATAAGCAACGCCTCATACACAATCGGCGACGAGATTTTCCAAACCGAAAAGAACGACGGAGAGAATACCTTGCATAGCGGCACAAATAACTGGTCATTCCGAACATGGGACGTGACCAGGTTCACCAGAGATTCAATCACCTTCTCAATACTCGACAAATCCAACTCCTCCCAAGGAATGATTGGTGATGTCTACTCCAAGGTGACGTACAGCGTCAAGGACGCTGTGTGGAAGATCACCATCGAGGCCACCTCTCCGCAGGCACTGACTCGTGCGTAATCATCTCTTCCTTTCAAGACTCACCGCGCATGCGTCTAACATTTCACAGCCGTCATGCTAACGCAGCATACTTATTTCAACCTGGATGCGTACAAGGACCCAGACACGGAAAAGGTCTGGAACCACACATTGTACATGCCATACTCGCAACGCTATCTTGTCAACTCCGACTCGGCCATCCCCACGGGGGAGATCGGGGTCGCGGAACCCGGAAGCATCAATGATTTTGCTAGCGAGCCAGGTATCGAGCTGGGCCATGCTTCGGACGATCCCGCATTCCCCGGCAACTGCGGAGCGGGCGGCCAGTGTGAAGGCTACAACGGCTATTTCCTTATCGAGGACGCACCCAAGGACGCCGTCGTCGTGTCGCTCGGAAGCCACTTCTCAGGAATCAAGGCCGACCTCAGAACTGACCAGCCGGGCGTTCAGGTCTATACTTGCAACTGGTTCGGCGGCACAACAGACCTGAAGAGCACGCAGGGTCTTGAAGACAGGACCACAGTTGGTCGGAGCTCCTGCGTGGCAATCGAAGCACATGATTACCCAGACGGTATCAACCAGTCAGTTTACAAGCCCATAAACCCCAGTCATCGATATACATGCTAATGAGTCGCAGCCCGGAGTGGGATAGAAAGGATTACCAACTCACCGGGCCCGGAGAAACCTATAAATGGTCAAGTTCGTGGTCATTTGGCCTCTTATAAACTTACAAACGCATATTCATTTCAGCTTCTTTTTATTACTTATTTTACTTTACATTCGATAGCAACGAAATTTGAACGAAAATTTTATGATTTATGAAAAAGGCGCGTCATTAAAGATTATCATTAACAATCTAACTTCATCGACTGCATGCTGCTCAGCTGTTTCGACCCTTAAATGAAAGCGGCGGCAGCGACCGCCACGGCAAGAACACCGGCCAGCGAACCACGCATGTTGTTTCCGGCATTGGGAGGGACGGAGGTCGTGGTAGCAGAGATGGTGCCATTGCTGGGTGCAGCCAGGCTGGTTGAAGGAACGGGGGCTGGGGTTGTCAATGGCGTGGTAGCAGCAGAGGTAGAGGCAGAGGCAGAGGAAGAGGCCGAAGTGGAAGCGGAGGTGGACGACGATTCCGAAGCTGTCGATGTGGGCTGCGCAGATGTGCTCTCTACGCTCGTAGAAGAAGCAACTGACCCGGCTGCGGTTGTTTTCTCAGATGCGGTGCTAGCTTCCGTGGTGGTCTGGGCAGAGGAGACTGTCGCCAGAGTAGAAACAGCCTTGCCAACCCCGACAGTCTTGGAGAAGCAGGGCATGTACGAGGGCTCGGTCTTGCGAGTCTCAGTGCCAGTGTAGGCAGCGCAACCGGGGACATTGTACTTGACGGGAGCACGACCGCCGCCACAGTCCAGAGGGTCGCAGATCTCACCGGTATTCGGGTCGTACCAGTGGACAATGTTGTCTTCGCATGTTCCGTAGGTGTGGGTTTCGCAGCCGGCAGCGGCGAGCTTGGCCAGCATGAGCAGTGGCAGAGCGGAGAGAATGGAGGTATGCATCTTGGGATGTTGTATATGTCGATAACGAATGACTGTTTTAGAACGAGAGACTATGATTTGGTGGAAGAAGAAGAGAAAGGACTGGCGAGAGCATTCCAGAAAATAGCAGAGATAATATACTACATGGCAACACGAAGGATTACGCGGTACGCCTAATAGCCTAGGTACTTACGTCTTTCGTAAATTACCTTCCTACCAAGGATTAGAACTTTGAGAAGTGAGTCAAGCGGGTACGCACCGCCCAACTTCATTACGGCGAACTCCTTCGTATTCTCTTTCCTCGGGGATTTTTTCCTGAATAGGGGCTGGCTGGGACCTCGCTCCGGTTCACTTTTAGGGCTCGCCGGCTCAAAGGATTCAGCCATACAAGCGCTCCCACTCTTACGGCCGGTGCGATAGCATCATTGGAAGATCGTTTTGTGATACCAAACACGCGGATCTGGACCTCATCTTCAAGATCAATCAATAACGGTAGAGCCATTGGCTGTAAAAAATCTCGCCATGTTTCTAATTAGGAGTAAGCAAATGGAGTGAAAGGGAGGCACTATGGTGTGGTGCTGTGCCGTTCTGACAGAAACCAGACCCTGGATCCTGCAGGCACCCGTGCGGTCATGCCGTTTTATAATTTTATTATGCATTACGCATTCCTGATTGGTCTGAGACCTCCACGTTTTTGGGTACCTAGGTGTTATTATGAGTCATGCGAATCTCACAGCAAACCTGTCTACCCCCAGAGCCCGGAGGAGACTCCAAACTCCAGTTGCCTAATCAATAATACGCGAGTATTATATTAATTAGTTTAGTAAATATCCAAAAATAATTATATTTTAATCTACTTAAGAACTTCCGTTCCAAAAGCGTCATTTTTCTTCAAGACAAGAGCTCACTTTGCATCTTCGAGTTGAAGCTACATAACAATAGTAAGACTAGAAAGAAGTAAGATTTATTCGGCTATGTTATCCTCCAATACTTCCCAACCAGAGAGTACATATCGCCCCTGTCATTTCGATTGCCGTAACCAAAAAAAGCTGGTATCTAAACCGCTTGAGTAAATTGATCTAACGCTTGAAGGTGACTTCCAGTATGAGTCTCGAAAGAATTTGCAACTGAATCCATTTCTCGACAAATGCGTCAAATACTTTCATGCTCATAACGAGTGCAAAGTCACCCCGATAGAAATATTGTGGCAGTCAGTCACATAATAATACTTCCCACTATGTAGTAATACAAAATACTAGGTATCTGATAATTACTCAGAAACTTATTATTCTTATAGACTATGGTCTCTCAATATCGTCAAGTTGAGATGGAAACACCTTTGCAGTCCCTGTTATTCTGACGCCCACTTGCATAATACTACTGAGAGGTTATTTGGGGATGGAGTTGCAGCAGCTTCAGTCGGTTGAGTCACTTGATGGAACCTATCTCTCCTCTTCCTAATCTAGCCAAGATACCTACCTCAGGCAGGGAATACAAGGTGAGGTGCAAGAGTATGCTAAGATGCCTCAGGCAATGAGCGCCAGGTGAACGTACTCTAGGCCTTTCAAGCCTAGGGCTCTAGCTCGTAGCCCGTTCACTTTTCAAAACATCCCATCTTCAAGCAATACACGCGTTTCGCAAAGCAAAACCATCAACCATCCATCCACGCGATCTCATCCAACCAAGCAAGCATATCTCACGACGTAATTCTCTCATCGGCAATATTTTGTCTCGGCCATCAAATAATTCGTTTCCTCCAACAAACAAATTGGTCAGCAACTTTAAACCATGGCTAGTCCAACCACCACTTCCTTCCTCTAGGGAGCAACCCCCCTCATCACGTCCCTCCTACCAAAAGTTGCTGAAGAAACATCCAAATGTACAGTATGTGTGAATCTACCCCCCAAAGCAAGACCTAATCTTCAGTACTGACTTTACTTTAGGGTATAGGGCGAGACTACGCTCGCGAGAGCGCCGATG